GAGTATTAACACGGGAAAATTCTTGAAAATCAAACGATCGCGTATTTCACTCAAAAAAATGAAGACTTTTCCTATGATACATATAAAATTAAATTGATTGTAAAGACGGGATGCAGCACTGAAAACTCTTTTTATGAGATTTTCCTATGTGAAATTTCGACATTTTGGCAAAAAACATGTTTTCATATTTTTGCAAATTGCTCACTATTTTCGGTCTGAAAGCTAAATGTAATCAGCGCCGTTCGATGCGGCTTCTTTAGTTCTTTAAAGGTATATTAGAAAGTTGGGTATGATAACTACAGTTTTCATAGTCGGATTTGGCAAAAACGTTTAAAAGATGTGAGATCAAGTCAAGTTTGAACACGAGAATACCCACTACACAAATTCATATTAAATTGCCGCAATTACAGCTGCCGCGGGAAAAGACTGAGACCAGATTCACTGGCCGTGACGTCGGATAGGGCGCCCTCTTATTCTTCCATACCCTCGTTTTTTTTCCCTTTTTTGCCAAACGCGTTTAGTACCAAACCATGGCTGTTTTGGAAACCGTTTGATTGATAATAACACTCTATCTTCTGATAACACTGTCATGCACTGTTAGAAGTATTTCATACTGCTTCTTTAAAGTGAAATATATTAGATACCATTCGATAACGAGCACTGGAAGGCGTAGAATTAACACTAATTGAATTTGTTTATTAGGTTTTGATGATTCTTTTTGTCTGTTTGACGTGGGTGGTGCTGCTGCCAGTACTTGTCTGCTATCTCTGCTGTCTGCTTCTTTGGTTTATCATGTCTGGTGATTGATTCTTTGGTCTTTGTTTGGTCTCTGGTGTCGTTCATTCTTTGGTTTTTCTATGGTGCTGGTGTTGCTGCCGCTAATCTGGTCTTTCCTGGTCTGCTGTATTTGGTGCATGCTTGTTCTCTGGTCTATCTCTGGTGATTGCCTATACTCTTATGGCCTATCTTTGGTGGTGATAAGTGGTAAGCAACTTCTTTGTTCTTTGTCTGCTCTCTGCTGATGGCGTTCGTTCTTTAGTTTTTCTATAGTGCTGGTATTACTGCTGCTGCTACTACTAATATGGTTTATCCTGGTGTACTGTAACTGTTGTATGCTTGTTCTCTGGTCTATTTCTGGTGATTGCCTCTACTCTTATGGTCTATCTGTGGTGGTGACAAGTGATAAGTAACTTCTTTGGTCTTTGTTTGGTCTTTGCTGATGGTGCTCGTTCTTTAATTTTTCTATAGTGCTGGTGTTGCTGCTGCTGCAGCTACTGCTAATCTGGTCTTTCCTGGTCTGCTGTATTTGGTGCATGCTTGTTCTCTGGTCTATCTCTGGTAATTGCCTATACTCTTCTGGTCTATCTGTGGCTGTGGTAAGTGGTAAGTATCTTCTTTCTTCTGGTCGCAATGATATAAAACTTCTTTGAACGCTTATATTATTGCTTCCTTTCTCGTGAGAATGCATTCATGATGCTTGCCTTGTTGCGCTTTTTTCTTTTTGTTTTTCTTTTGTTGGTAGTGTTTCCTCTGTAGCTTTACATGAAACAATACTAGTCATTATGTTGTATCGCAAACTTATAATACCACTGTTGCTTTTGCAGTTGTGCGTATTCGTGTCATCATGTTGCTCTACATCCGACTATTACTACCATGCGCGTTGCTCATGTATGCATTTTTCTTGCAACAGCAACGAGCTTTTTTTTTTGAACATCTTTGATGTTGTGTTTGCTATGCTTTTCTTTGACCCACTTTGTGTGAGTGTCTCTTTTTTGCCTACATACTACTATACTCTTATAGTATTATGTTCTTTTCTTTACTTTCTTTTATTATTATTATGTTTCTTTGAAGCATACCTTTTTTTACGTTGTGTGGATGTGCCTATCCCTGAAGCTCAACAAGACATTATCCGAGGCTAGGAGGTAGATAGGCCGCCTCCACTTGGTTGTCACTACTTACTTTAGTGATGATTGAGAGTCTCAACGCCTGAATTTAAAGCTACGTGGTGTAAGTAAGGCATGCTCTAGCACCTGGGGGAAATTTGATGATAGCAGCGGCTATATTGCTATTATAGCGGCGCTTAAAATTTTGCCTCACATCAAAACAGGGGGAAACCCTCGCAAATTTTTTTTTAAATCAGCGGAGTTTTCCGACAATCTGATTGGCTAAGAGGTTGGAACAACGAAGGGTTACAACTAGTTGATTTCCTTTTGACCTGTCATGTATTATAATTTCATGTTTGCAATAAAAATGTATTCAAATATTGATACAATTTAAATCCTGCATTATTCAAAAGTAAGATAAGGTGCAATTATTGAATTCATCATCCATTAAACAATTTCATGTGAGAAATGTCTTTTAAATTTGTCAGATACGAAAGTAATATAGGAGGCGGTATCACTTTAGCACAGCGTTGCTTACTTTGTTGTTACAACAGTATTATTCTGGCTATCCTGCCACTAAACAATCGTTCTTGTTGTAGTAAAAACGGTGGGAAAAGCAGGTAGAATACTGTTAAAATCCTTCTTTATTTGAAATTAGGATAATGTGCAATAAAATGTATATTCTACGTCTCTATTTATATTATTCGGTTTATATCTCTTATCTGGCAGCAGTTTAGTAGTTGCCAGTGATTCCATTACTTTATATATTTTTGTTGGGTTATTTAGTTGTTGATCTGATGGATCAAGAACGGTATTTCAATATATGGTTTTTGAATCATGCGTAAAGAATAGATCCTTATTGTTGAGCATGTATCCTTTTTAGGTATATTTATGTTACAACACATTGCAATACCCTTGACATTTACTTTAGTATCTGTCATTTCTTATTTTTAGAGAATTTAACCCTTTCTATCACCATGTTAATACTATTATTATGTATGCTTATTTGCTGATGGTAGCATGGTTTGATTGAGATGACATTTATTTTGGGCTTTGTTTATGATGGGAATCTAGTCTAGTTCACTTCAAAGGTATAGGCTGTAGATGGCACGACGGACATGGATGATGCTATAGACTTATATACTTGTATTCCGACATTGACTACGAATGGTTGCCATATTTGGATAAGCACCAAGATTAATGAAATAATATGAATTTGCTGCATCAGGTGTTCACTTCACGATCTACACTATAAGACACATGCTTATAACAGTGACACTAGATAAAGCTACATTATGTACTACAAACTTGTACTACTATCATGAAATTAAAATACTTTGTAGAATAATGATATTGAGTCAACTTTTAAGTAGGAACCTGGTATTGAAAACGCCTGTTTCATGAAATAATCAACATTGGAGATGCTATTTTTAAGCGAGGGAATATACATGCATTAATTTGGGAGCCTTATTATAATTGAGCAAGACAAGCTACAGTTGTCTAGCCTTGACAACAAGATTTTTCAACATATCAAGTATCTATTGATAACTTGAAACCAGCAAGTTAATATGGCCCTTTTCGTTCGCTCCGATTTTTAAAATGCTCGGTCAAATTCATCCTTGTGTCGTGTACACATACAGAAGGCCAATGGAGCTTCAATTTCTATTGCTCTGAATGATGATCCATGGGATTCCGAAATATATCGACCTTAACATTTCGCGTTTCTTGATAGTAACCATCCCTTCAAACTTATATGAAACTTATAGAGAATTTAAAGGAAAATACAATGGTATTCATATCAAGTCTCTGGTGTAAATTGTTCGCCTGATATTTGATACGATTTTTTTTGCGATTTTTTGACTGTTTTCAAAAGATTAATCGGTATTTGTCTTCAAAACACTTTGTTAAGCATTACTAAGCATTGTAGATCAAAAAAGTTCCTATCGAATGAGCTATTGCTTAAGGCTCTGGCATAACTCTACCATGAAATATTTACAATCTTGTCCTGACCAAAAAATCGTCGCCAGATTTTTTGCTTGCTATCACAAGCAGATTTTGAACAAAAATCGATGATTTTGCATAATACCCTTTTTTGGCCATATCTCGACAAATACTCACCGGATTTGCACAAGACAAAAACCATTCTACAGTTCTAAAGCAAATCTAACATATTGTGAGGGTTTTAGGTATCAAATGTTTCTTCCCTTCTTGAAATCACTCAAAACCTTATAAGAGACGATTTGCCGGACCCACTGTTGGTGTAATTGGCTTTGACAAGAAGTACAGCTTGGAAATCATGGCCATCGAAATCCCTGGCTCTCCAAGCAAAGTGCATCAAACTCATAGTCTAGAATATTACGTTCAAGAACAAGATTGACGAGAATCCTGCGATGTACAAACGTTTTTGTGGGTTCCCAGATTTGTAATTTTTGGTCAATCGAAAATTGATTTTGAATTCGAAACAAATAGCTGGCATTGTGTGGAATTCTCAAAGAGACACAGAGATTGATAGCATGTGCTATCGTGGAGGATCAGTAAGCGTTTCATTTCTTAGGGAAAGGTAGGACTTACCACAGATTGTAGCAACATCCCAAACTTGTACGATTGCAACTTACAATTGATGTTAGAAAGCCATCTTGAAGGCGTTTAGAAAAGAGAAGGATTGGCAATAATCACATCAATATCACCTCCAATTGACATCAAGTATCTCTATGTTTGGTCAACTAGCAAGTCCTCCTCGTGCCCAATACTGTTCTGGTTCTATCAAAAGCTCTAATTGGCATTGAAGGCACCACCATTCTGTATAACTTGCAGTGGAAGCACAATGTCATGAAAAATACTCTATCTACAGATTTTCGGTAATACAGATCTAATAAAAATTTTCTACCGAGATAACTTCAGCTACGGGTTTTCATTGTCCCCCTTTAATCTGGAATGGCATTAGAGATTAAAGCAAATTTTATTGGCTTTCAGCTGCTAAATCAATCAAGGACCTAAAAATATGATTTGACCTTCAAAACTATAGTGTATACTTTTATACATACGAGATTTATTATTTAAGAGAAAATACAATAAGGAATTTAAAGAGGGAATGTTTACAATGTGTTGTCATTTGTTCTAATTAGCAAAGGCAGGAATTCCAGTAATAGCCTTACCAAGAATCAAAGCATGAACATCGTGAGTACCTTCATAAGTATTTACAGCCTCTAAATTGGCAGCATGACGGATGATATGGTATTCGTCAGAGATACCGTTACCGCCCAACATATCACGACATTCACGAGCAATGGCGAGAGCCTTACCGCAAGAGTTACGCTTGATCATGGAAATCATTTCAGGGGCAAGCTCACCGCTATCCTTAAGACGGCCAACTTGAACACATGCTTGCAATCCCAAGGCGATTTCCGTGTTGGCATCAGCCAACTTCTTTTGGATCAATTGATTAGCAGCCAAGGGGCGGCCGAATTGCTTGCGATCCAATGTGTAAGTACGAGCTTGCTCCAAACAAGCTTCAGCAGCACCAAGAGCACCCCAAGCAATACCATAACGAGCGTTGTTGAGACAACCAAATGGTCCACCGAGACCCTTTGCATTAGGCAGCATGTTTTCAACAGGGATCTCAACATTGTCCATCATGATCATACCAGTGATCGAAGCTCTCAATGAGAATTTACCCTTAATAGCAGGAGCATCTAATCCAGCCATACCCTTCTCGAGGATGAAACCACGAATAGCACCTCCTTCATCCAAGTTCTTGGCCCAAACAACAAATACATCAGCAATGGGAGAGTTGGTGATCCAGGTCTTTGAGCCATTGATCACATAGTGTCCGTTCACCTTCTTTGCGGTGGTTTCCATGCTGCTGGGATCAGAACCATGGTTAGGTTCAGTCAAGCCAAAACAACCAACAATTTCACCCTTGGCTACCAAAGAAACAAGATAAATACTCAAGCTCGAGTACAGCAATGACCTACATACCTAAACGAGGGAGATACTTGTCCTTTTGAGCATCAGTACCATAAGCATAGATGGGATGCATGACCAGAGAAGATTGGACTGACATTGCAGATCTGTATCCAGAGTCGACACTGTAGCGTTTCATGTTAGTATCTATGGACGTATGCTGTAAAAGAGTCAAACTCACTTTTCAACTTCGCGAGCAGTTAAACCATAAGCAACAGATGAAACACCAGCGCAACCATAACCATCAATAGTGGAACCCAAAAAACCAAGTTCACCCATCTCTGACATGATCTCACGGTCGAATTCTAATCGAATCACTAAATAATCGCCCATGTTTCATAAGCAAACAGCACAACTTACTCTCATTACGATAGGCATCAATAACTCTGGGCAAGAGACGTTCCTGACAATAACTTCTGGCGGCATCACGAACAAAGATCTCGTCTTCGGTCAACAGCTTTTCAAGGTTCAAAGGGTCTTCCCAGTTGTATTTAACAAAGGCCTTGGAGGCCATGGTTCTAGAAACCATGCGAGGGGCAACAATGGCCTTTGTGCGAAAAAATTGACGAGCCAACATTTTGGATGAACAAAAAGGAAGAAAGAGAGAGAGAAAGAGAGAGTAAAAGAATAATGAACCGAGAAAACCGCAGGAAAATGAGGGGGTCCACTTTTATATAAACGTTTGTGGGGACGCATTACACACATTCAAACACAATTACAAACCACTCCCACTCTCACATAGCATTTTTGACGGGTTTATTAAAGTTCACTAATTCCCACCATCCAAATGTTGACTAATAAAGAGGTGTCCGGTACGGTAATAATCGGACGCTTGCAAATGAATGAAAAGATTTCCCGTAAACGAAAATGATGGACTCAAGGTGTCTGTAGATTGTTCTTGACTGAGTAGTGTGGATCATGTCCTTCCCACTGATCTTGCTGCTGCTGCTGTTGCTGCTGTTGCTGAGGACTGTGCTTATGGCTATTCCAACCGACGTGATGTCTGTTCTGATGTCGTTTTTGCTGTGCATGTTGACCATATTTATAGTAATGCTGATGTTGAGATGAAGAGGAATGGTACCTATAGTTGTTTCGATGTTGATTTGTGTTACTCTTATCATACCGTTTCCTTTGATAGCCTTGATGAGTGTGTAACGGTGGCGAGGGAGTGGTTGAGATGGGGGCCAGTTCTTTCATCAGGTCATCCATAACAAAGACATCATCTTGTTGATCTCCAATGCTGTTTGTGTGATTTGATGGTGATTTCGACTTGTAAGAGACATGACGAGATGGCCTTTTGTATGATTCATTACTACGCTCTCTGGTATGGTATTTCTTTTGACGAGGTTGCTGCGAATGATGCTGTTGTGGGATATGTTTCTGTTGCTGTTGCTTTTGCTGCTGATGCTGATATTTAGGTGGCGAAGGTATCATTCGCGAGTAAGGATGTGGGGTAACTAATTTTGAAAACGGGCCGGCTTCATTACAGCCTCGCAAGAGTCTACGTAGATAATCATAGTCAGGGCGATCGTTGAAGCGAAGTCTTCGAGTGTAATCAATGAAATCCATGATGCCATGAGGTAGGCCGAGACACATGTCTTCTAGTAAGATTTCTTCTTTGATTTCCTTCAAGCGATCCCATCCTACTTTTGAGCTTCGAGCAGTTACACCAGACCATGGTAACTCGCCCGCTAAAAGCAGATCTAAGAGCAAGTATCCCAAGCTTTCCATGTCGTCTCTCCTTGAATGTGTGCGGCCACGATGAACATTCAAGGAAGCATAGCGAGCAGTACCCGTCTTGAACTTGATGGGCTTTTTGCACTCAGGATAAGGCTTCTTTGTTTTAGGGTTTCTCCACCAAGTAGCTAGACCAAAGTCAACTGCATAAAGAGATGTTTGTTTTCCCCAGTTATTGAGTACGGTTCTACATGAAGGAGGGGAAGGAGGTGGGCTATTTTCTGGATCATTAGTGGCATAAGAAGGCCAGTTCATTTCAATGTTATCGCCTAGGATACAAGAGGCAGGGAATAAAAAGTTCTCGGGCTTAATGTCTCTGTAGACGATGCCTCTATCATGCATGTGCTCCAAGCATGAGATCTAGAATATCTCAAAATTTAATGAAAAAGAACTCTCCCCAAACCAGCCGATTGTTATTACCAATTGACAGCCCAAATCAATAACAATATCCAGAGGTATATCTCTTACAGTTGTCTGAAGATCTTTGAGGCTTGAGCCTAGCAGATCAATGACAATACAATCAAAGCCATCATGTGGGCCATACCAATGACATGTTGGTATACAAGCTATTCAAATGTTAGGTTCAATGTAACACCAATGACAGGAAAAAACTTACGACCACCTGCTAGAACATCATACATAACACTTTCGTGATGTAGCTGAGGGCATTCTAGCTCCAGTGACTCTCGCTTAATTGCGTAGAAACGGTTCGAATCAATGTCCTTGACTTTAGTTTTCATAAATTAAGTTTACAATCCAATCAAAAATTAATTAATGCAAAATATTACCTTTGAAGACTTCTCCGAAGGATCCTTCGCCAATCTTGGACAAAACTAGCCATTGACCACCTACAATGACATCTTTTGAAGGATATTCCATCGAAAATGAACAGCTTGTTGTTTGCAAATGTTAACAATAAAAAAAGAAGAAGAAGAAAATAGAAAAATCAATAGATAATAAAAATGAGGAAAATCGTAAAATTGGGAAAAAAAAAAAAAAAAAAAAAAAAAAGGTAGGGATTATTTCTTCTCGAACAGTTGTAATGGTTTGGTATTTAAGATGCTTCTTTGGAGAGGATAAAATGTGCCAAAAGAAAAGAGAAAGAGAGTATATCCTTTACTCTCTTACCTTCTCTTTTTTTTTTTCTTTTTTTTGTCTTCTTCTTGTTATCTACTTTCCTTTCTTTTTCTTTTTTCTTCCTTTTTTTTGCTATGAAGAAATGTGTTGACTACAAAACCAAGTAGATGAGAGGGTGCGTTGATGGGAGCCTTATTTTGACTTGATGTGCTGCTTTCTTTGATTTGAACTGATTATAAATAGAGCTCTTGATGTGGAGAAGGGCCCTGGTTTATACAATGAGATTTGAAACTGGATGTGCTGGGTACTCTTGATGCGTTTATTGAGCAAAAGAGTAAAAAAGAAAGACAGAGAAAGGGAGAAGAAGAAAAAAAAAAAGGTGGGAAGATATTTCGAAAAAACCTGGCCTCTTTTGGGCCATTCTCTTTTGGTTTTGTGTGCTTGAGAGTATCCAGTTGATGTGTCGTCATCGTTCCAATGCCATATCAAATTACATTTCGAAAAGGCTCATAATACAAGATGGGCGCATGTAATACGGTAGGTAGATCTCTCCAGGAGTCTATCACTGGGAGATGCTCAACATTTGTTAGAAATTTTATACTGATGAAACGCAGGGGCAAGAAAAAAAGTCTTGGTTCTATCATGTCAAATCAAACTAAATTACATTTGGAAGACAATTAAATAATGTACCTCACCTGCACACTCACACAAGCTTTTCGTACATGCTATTTGTATTTTACGCCTCTATTTATCTTTATAACAATCCCCTTTCGTCCACCTTGAGGTCTTTTGACAAAAATGCTACAATCATGTGCTTTTTAATCATGCATCTAATGAGTAAATGAAACTCAATGGCTTTCTCATTGGAGCAGACAGCGTCGTACTCTACAGATCAAACCATCATCAATGCTGTAAATATATCAGAAAAGCCCTTTTAGGTCAATTGAAATATGGGTCCATTGACTTTTATCCGGGAGCATGCACAGCACCTAAATCAGTGAGCTTTTTCTCTTCGGCTCTATCTATAAACATGAATAGCAGAGCATTTCGTTTTGATTTTATCTACATGGCTTCCTATTGAAGGTTTCTGTGCCTTACTCTGAATGTCAAGCGTTTGAAACCCTTCAACAACACTGATTAACATTTCCACAAAATGTTTGGCATTAGGCCCTTTTTACCAATTAGTAATCCTCTGCTTGTACATTTAATACATGTGGCAAACTTTAAGAAGGCTTGCGTGGCCACTAAGCAAACCTGACTATTCTCTGATTTCTGCTGATTCTCTTCTTCTTCAAGGATTCATGATCATATCATTCGTAATGTGGTGAAAAGAGATTGCATCAACAATTGAATGAAACAGCAAGAGCTCCCATGTATTAATTTACATGACACATGATCCGGAGAATAGGACGGTTGAACGCATTCCTGCTACAAACTACTGTAAATCATCCTTTTTCAAAAGAACTTTGTAAATAGTCTGTATATCTGGATCTGTAAGCTCCAGACTAGGAACGGTTGCGGCCAAAAAGCAAGAGCTATAGTCTGATTATAGTCTTGCAATTAGCTTCACAATATTGACTACTCATTGAGTTTGGTTACAGCGTTACTATCGCATAAAATGCCCTCTTTAATACAGCCAAAACGGCTACAACAGCATTGATAGCAGTTTAAGGCACGGTGAAAGCCCTCTTTTAAAAAGTACTTTAGGATGATTCCCATCAATCAAGATTACAAAAAACTACATTTATTTGTAGCACATTATCTACGCTATGATTTGGTGCTAGCTACTATGCAACCTGCCGTTACTAGCGTTTGATGTGGTGATTGTATTCATGGATGCGAGCACGATTTACCACTAGTGTAATAGAGGCTAATTCACGCTCCGCTGTGGCCAGTAGGTTTTTTGATCAAATCGTCAAATTTGCGATGGATTTGACAAAAAAAAACTTTTGTTGATGAATGCTCGAAAAACAACCTACAAAATCTACATAGAGTACTAATAGTTTCAAGTAATTCCTTGGATTCTCTATCGAATGGTGATAATAACTCATTTATTTTTCACTAAAAAATTTCAGAAATTGTCGTAATCAAAAGACGCTTATTTAGTCGGAAAATCTATTTTTGTATTAGGCAGTATCCAAAATAGTAATTTCATGCGATAAATCGAGCTTCTAGGGTCTTTTTTTTACTATAGCATGTCATAATAAAAAATGTCGTTTTCAGGGCAAAAAACGCGATCGATTGATTTTTGAGGAAATCCATGAGGGATACCTCATGGAAAATGCAAGAATTTGGGTCAATAATTTTGGACCTAAAAAAATTTGAGATATGGCATTACAAAGTAACTATTAATCGTGAGGAATCGTATGGCACTACTCTGACGGTCTAAAACGGTCTCTACGAAGAGATAGAAGCGATCATAGATAGCCAATTTATGCTGCGTTTAGGTGAATAATAGGAGAGCGAGCGTATTTTTTTTATATATATATGATACATCGATTAGTGCATTCAATTGATGGATCTGAAACTTATGACCGGTATCGAGTTGGTATTCCCTTTGTTGTTGAAATGCTGATGAAAAATACGGGTGATCATCGTCAAATATCGCTAAATATTAGCCTATTGATTGAGCTCTGGTAAAACCGGATTAGTTGTATCATAGTCCGAAGGTCCTTGCTGCTTATACAAGAAGTATGCCTTGAGGTTTGGTACAGAAAAGATGCTTGTAGGTTTATTGGATGCTCTTGGATATGGATTCGTGCTAAAGAAATATGGACACCAATGATGTCTAGTAACAAGATTGAGATGAAGACTCGCTACATGAATGTCAATATCAACAAACGGAATGCCAAGCATGTCGTCCGTCTGTTTGGTTTTAATACTCATGGAACCTGCTGTTTGCCTTTTAAGGCACAGTTGATATGAGCTGAAAGGAGTGAATCATGCTTCCTTTCCAAATATTACATCCGGAGTTTTAAGCACTATGATGCTCATAAAAAGACCCACACTACAATGATATTCTTGTTTCTCTTTTCTTCTTTTTTTCTCTTTAAACCTATATCGTTATTGATATCAACACACAATATACAATGTCTGGTAGGTGTATAGAAAGGGTTGGCAGCCTCGAGTGATGTATAGATATGCTCACAGAAAAGACAGCTAAAATAGTCATTGCGCACCACCCTTATGAAGCAACCAGAGACGACGAAATCTCGTTTGTCAAGGACGAAGTTATCAAAGTAACAGATGATTCTGACCCTGACTGGTGGGTTGGTAAGAAGAAGGATGGCTCTTTAGGCTTCTTTCCCAGTAATGTAAGTCATCTGCATTGATGTGAAATTAATAACATTGCTGAACGACAATGATATTATAGTTTGTCACTGTTCGAGACGATAGCAACGCGGGCAATGAAAAGCCAAAGGTTGAGCAAGGCAGCCAAGACGTCATTGACGACACGGAACCTCATCAAGCTGAGGGCGTTGCTGTGGATGATGATACTGCCAATCCTTCTGTGGAGGATGATGTCCATGCCGAGGCACAATCTGAGGAGCCTACTCCAGAAGAAAAGAAAGGTAAATGCAATGCAAAACGGCACTCTCATGAAGATAATATTCATGCTTTGCCGTCTCTAGTTGATCAGGTGATTGGTATGGCGAGAGTGATGGAGGACTATGCATCTCAGGAAGCTGGAGAAATTTCTCTTCCTCGCGGTGGAATCATCAATGTTTATGAAGTCATTGATGACGAATGGTCAAGAGGCGAATTGAATGGCAAGGTTGGCAGATATCCTTCCAAGGTAAAAACAGAACATCCAAACCAAGAATTATGTGCATCCAAAGCTAAATGCTTCAAATGATAGTATGTCGAAGATATCGATATGCCAGGTCGTCCTGATCTCGGCAAGCAATTAAGTGGTGGTTCTGCTGACGGCCCTAGATCACCCCTCAGTGATGAGGATAGCGCTGCTCGTAAGTCGTACAATCTATTTCCATAATTCGGGTTGAAAACTAACCCTACGATCTTCATAGCTAAAGGTGGATTTAAATTGGCTGCTTTTGGTGTCAAGCAAGGTGGTATTGGCAGTTTGTTAGCGGGTGGTTTCCCTGGATTGAAGAAGACTGGAGGTGCACCCAAAAAGACTGAACCTGAGCCTGAACCTGCTGTTGAGACAACGAGAGAGGTTGCTAGCGAGGAACCTAAACCTGCAGCCACATCTGAAGCTACTTCTCCTACTGCCTTCGTCCCTTCAGTGCCCGCCTTCACTGCTTCTGAAGATGTACCTGACAAGAAGCCTGTAGCCGAGGAGAAGAGACAAGAAAAGCCCCGTAAGTTCATCTATCTTGTATGCGTGTCATGGTTCATCTATTAACTATTTTGATTTAACAGTCGGAAAGGCTATTGTGTTGCACCCTTACGATGCTGATAACGAAGGTAGTTGGTATGGCTCAAATTTGGAACGCCATGTGCTCATTCCTATCAATTTAGATGAACTGAGTCTGTTGAGAGGAGAATATGTCGACATTCTCGACCGCAATGCAGATGATGGATGGTGGAAGGGAAAGAACGAAAGAGGAGAATCTGGTGTTTTCCCATCTAACTTTGTCAAGGAGTTGGAACAAGATAGTTTTGCTCCACCAACACCTACTCGATCACGTCGTTCTGTCAATACAGGCAGCGTATCCTCTGCTGCTGAATCCAGCCCCGTGATGGCTAAACCTCCCCAAGTGCCCAGACCTGCCTCTGTACAAACACCCAGTACTACGAGACCTGTAACATTGGGTCAAAGACCTTCATCTGTTCAAACCCCCTCTTCCAACGCTGCACCTTTGGCCACACCTCCAAAGCCATTCACTGCACCTATTTCTCAAACAACCTCTGTTCCCATCACTGAGGAAACCGAGGAAACCGAACAAGCTATCAAGGAAGAGGAACAATACGATGCTGATGAGGAAAAGCCTGCATCTCCTGTTAAATCAGAAGTTGAAGAATCACCTGCTTTCACTCCTGTTGTCGCTGAACGTCAATTGCCAGTCACCATTATTCCAGAGAAGGAGGAGGAAAAGATGGATTCGCCTGTAGTTGTTGAAGAGGATCCTATTTCTGATCAAGAAGAGAAAGAATCCGGTGTAGATGAGGCACCATTCATGAAGGAAGAAGAGAAGGTTGAGCAACTCACTGAGAGCCCTTCCGTAGCCGAGGTTGATGAATCCAACATTTCACCAAAGCAAACAAACAATGGGGATCCCATTTCCGCTCGCGCTGTCTCTGGCAATATTCCCACTGAGATCGAACCCGAAAAGGAGGATTCTGTTGTGGTTGAAGAGGAGCCCGAAGAAGAGTTCAAGGAAGCGTCCGAAGAAGCTACATCTATCATCTCTGACCAAAAACCAATTGTCATTGAGCAAGACAAAGAAGCCGACGCTCCATTTACCGAAAAGAAGGAGGAAGTCGAGACTGACAAGGAAGAGTCTATTGCTAGAGAGGTCAAGGAAGAAGAGGAGGTTCCTGTCGTTGTAGAAGAGGAAAAGAACGAATTCGATACTATACCATCTGGACCCAAGTTATCAGCACCAACTCGTGCTCGTCTTGGAGGCAGAGCACGCAGATCACCACAAGCTCTTCACAGCGAACCCAGTCAAATGGAGACGTTGCAAAAGGAATTGGAAGCTGAGGAAAAGGAAGAAGAGACAAAGAAGCCTGCTGTCCCTGAGAAGCCTGCATCGCCTCCCGCTAAACCCATCAAGCCCATCTTTGCCAAATTCCCTACACCTTTTGCAGCAGGTGCCGCTGATGAGATTTCCAAACGAAACTTGAAACCTACACAAACCCGTCGTTTATGGGATGAGAAGCCAGCGGAAGACAAGCCAGCTTCCACAACCGAGCAAGAGCCAGAGCCTGTGCGTCCTTCTGGGGTGAAGAATATTGCATCTCGCTTCAACTTTAATGGCGGCAATGGGGGCGGCAACGAAGTGCTTGAAACTAAATTGAGGAATCATACCAAGAACGAAATTGAGAAGGTTCGCAAGGAATTTGAATCGTTATTACAAGAGGAACGTGATAAGCGCACTCAACTGGAGACTACAGTTGCTGAATTAATTGAAAAGATCAAATCATTGGAAAATTAGTAGCAGAAAGAAACGTTTTATTTTGAAATGATATATTATTATATATAAAGAAAAAAGCTCAAGGTGAAGAAAGTGAGTGATAGATTTGAGTTAGTTTTTGGGCGCAAGTGATCTTCTGGCAGAATCGTCGTCTTGCTGTTGCTGTTGTTGTCTAGAAGAAGGACTAGCAGGATTGTTTGGCCAGTAGCCATGATGTTGTTGTTGCTGCTGCTGAGCAGGATGAGACATGTATTGAGGTTGTTGTTGCTGCTGGCTGCCATAATAACCAGAGCCTGGCATCTGGCCATAAGGCTGCTGCTGCTGTTGTTGTTGAGGAGATTGTTGCTGTGGTTGCTGAGATTGCTGTTGTTGATGGTATGCTGGACTCATGTAATTGGGATGACCACCATAAGCAGCACTCATGGGAGGCATGACAGGCGCTCCACTGTTTGCGGCAGCACCGTAAGGCTGTTGCTGATAAGGACCACTGCTGTTACCATAGCCGGATGTTCCAGCAGATCCAGATGAAGCCGCAGCAACAGTTGTTTGTGGAACAGGCTCAGTTTTTGCTTCTGTCTTTTTAACTTCTAGTTTCGATTGACTACCACCAGTAGTAGTAGGAGCATATGTGGAATCATTGTCCTGTATTCTATCATTAGCATTCCATCAAATGATACTTGATTACAATGCTTACATTTGAATCACCCTGAACTGCGTCAGGCGCGTTCAAGCAAGCTTGAATAAGATTCTTTCCTTCAGGCTTGGTGACAATAGGTTGAAGCTTGACAGTGGTGAATGTATAGACTAATCCAGTTTCAGAGACTACCAAAAGCAAAACCTGTGTACCTGTCAATGTGCTCAACTCATATGCCTACATATCATGGAAGTTAAGACTTGTATTCATCTATTCAAACTGTGTATTTTCACACACTCTCATTAAAATTTTTTCATAGACATGTAAAAGCCAAGAGAAAAAAGATGTAATGTGGAGCGTTTCCTTACCTTCTTCATGATACCAGCCTTGCGTTTGGAGAAAGTAATGTGTCGACGGTTCTTGTCTTCAATGTATTCAATCTTGATTTTTCTTCTTCCAGAACGTCTCGAGGGTTTAACATCTGATTCTTCTCCCGAGACGTTATCTTCTTCGTTCATATTTTCGATGATGGGCTCATCAGTTGGTAATTGATTTGGATTCATGCTGAACTAGTTTGAGATATTTTTCGTATGTAATCCAATTAGGGAAATATTTGCAAAGTAGCAGAGAGGGTTACCAAATAGAGAAAGCCAAGTTCTTTTTTGTATAGAAGAATATATAAAAGGAAGACTGAAAAGATGTGAGACTCAAAAGTGGAGAAAGGGGGCTTTCTTTTGGTTTAATTGGACCTCTCAGCTTCACGTCATTTACGGCTAATCAAATGCCATCTGATGATTTGATGAGCTCTTATTGCATGCATGACGTCTGCGATGCTAATTATATATCAATTGACATGAGGATATCTTTCTGAAAGAGCTTGGCCAGCTACGTGGCATCTTACGTTGAAAATCAACGGTTAATCTACTAATAAGATAGATGAGCCCAAATCAGGATGCATCTGTATAAATTAAGGTAAAAGCTATCATCATTAACTCAGTTTTGGTCGTTGAATTCAGAATTAGGTAATTTGTACCAGGAATTGGAGGGATTTCAGTGGCTCAAAGGATTTCTGTAGATCTTTTTCTCAACGAAACAGATTTAGCTGTCATAGATATCGTTAAAACGAACTGAAGCATCTAGTAACATGTCATGGTTGATGCCACATGTGCCACTGGCTGCATAATAAAGAGCCACATCTACTCCATTTCAAGCATAGAACAGGTGAGTTCCATGCATACTGTTGCGTCGCCGTTTGTCTGTTTTGCTTACTTGGAAGAGCAGGCGTCTTGAATGTCGAAACATGTGTTTATTGTTGCGTTGACCAGGCCATTGCAACTGAGCAATCTTCTAATGCCAATGAAAGGGTTTTGTACAGCCTCATACCCACTAAACCGAGTTCGCTCTTACTCTTGTTTATGCCTTATCGTCGAGATATGAATGCATTTATCAATTATCACTTGTTTGGACATACCATCAATGCAAGAGCCAAGCAACCATGGTCAAATTCTTGATCCACAACCTATCATCTTCTTATCTGATGCTACATTCAAATGCCGGAATCCTTGTTTTTGATCTGTTGAATGCTAAGCAATGCAAATGGCCATGACAAGCATCTATAAAGAGCCTGGAATTGCGCAAATATATTGAATACAACACTGAAATGCTTAGTTTCATTATTCCACTGCCCTCAAGTTTTCAAATGCTCAACTAATAAATATCCAAGTACTCGTGTTCCCATCTCTTATCTTCACTATATATATTGTAAAGCATTCAAAAAAAGTAGACAAACCGATCGTATCCTTTGAAAAATCTAAAGAACTGAGTACCATACAAAGTGAATAAACCACTGGCGGAGCTGGCATTGAAGAGGGGTTTGGAGGAGGTGCTAAGCCCATCCACCAAGAACATAGCGCATCTAATTCAATATTTGGTATCATTGACTTATGAGGCAGTTTTACCGTAGCGAAGTGAAGGTGCAAAATCATAGTATTCGAGCAGCATATTAGGACTTTCACTTCCTTTATTAATGAGCTTACCAACAACATAACGTATCAAAATTTGCATGAATTAGTCTTACCAAAATCAATATGCCTCCTATTCGAATTAGAAGTTGCACAGGCTTCAGAACTGCCCTTCCAGAAGACTTCAGCTACCAAAGATGTGATTCATGTCGTATAAATAAAGCCATAAAGCAAAAATACGACCAAATTGGACAGCTTTCAAGCCTTTATATCTTGACATGTAGACCTTTCTGAGCCATCGGGATAACACCAAACAATTGTACTTGAGTAGTAATAACTTCCTGACACCTTTGCTCAACTTTTTGGGCAAAAAAAAAAAAATGGCCAAAAATCGACCAAAAAGCAGGAGAGGTACCTCATGCTTTTCATCGAAAATCAAATGATTGCATTTTTGACCTTGAAAATGAAGAATTTTACTATGGTATACGAGCCTTTCAGCACTTCGGGTGGTTTCCTGACCTACGCTTCGCTTCGGTGGAAACCAACCTACGTTCAAACGGCTCGCGCTGCCGCGGGCCTTTGGCTAATATCCCAAAATTAATATAGCTAAAATGTTAGAAGAGGAACCCTGATTGTTGATTGATATGTAATCACTAATCGTATGAGTGTTTATGCTTCGGATGGTTCTCACCGAAGCGTAGCAAAGGTAGAGAACCAACCTGCGCAGCGGCAGCTCGTGCTACTGATTGCTCTTGCGTATTTTATCAAAATACTGCTACTTTCATTTTGACCCTCCACTTACACATAGTAACCCTTCATATTATCTGTGGATCTGATTCTTATGTGATGTTCTACATCCATATACACGTAGCTACTTCATATACGGGCAAGCAGCATACTGGTATTCCCACTTTTTAGTCCTTAGTGTCCCTAATACAGCAAAATATGAGTGCATTTGAGCTGCATTTTCTTGCGTTCAAGGCCGTTTTAGATCGTCAGAATAGCCCCAAATGGTTGCTTTCATATGGCAGTTACTTTCTGACACTTTTGCTCGACTTTTTGGGGACCTAAAAAACATGGTCAAAAATCGACCAAAAAGCATGAGGTATCCCTCATGGTTTTCATCGAAAATCAAACGACCGCATTTTTCATCTTGATAATGGAGACTTTTACTATGGTATATCTTGAATCAAAATGTTTCTATCAATCCAAAGCAACCTCTGAAATTATCTTTGTGGGACTTTGATATGTAAAATTTCGACATTTTGGCCATAAATCTCTTTTCATATTTTTACAAATCATTCAATAAGTGAATTCAAAACATCTATTTTACTTAGTACCATTGGAAGCGCCTTGAAAAGTACTCCAGGAAAGCTTAAGGAAGCATGGGGTGATTATCATACTTCACTTAGTCGAATCTGCAAAAATAGCTCGATCGAGTCCAAAATTATCAAAATATGTCCAATCTGGAACAGACTATGATTCTGGGTTTGAATTAATTTTGGCTGGTAGGGCCAGCTGGAAAACTCATGCCCTTTTCATAAGGCAATACAGTAGTAAATGCCCTTGAAGCGTATAGAAAGTAGGTGGCAGGTCATAGCACTATCGTTTATGATGATATTTTATTGCCTTCTATATCGTTCATAATGATATTTTATTGCATTCTATATTTAATAACGTTAGTCTGGACATTGACAATGCATGGGTTGCATAAAATGTCTGCAGTAAGTAATGAAATCTCTGAGGCTCTGAGACGTCGCTCAAATAAAACATTGACAGCACTGAGCAGAGGAAAGAGGGTAGAAATTACAGTGGTTTTTGTTGATTGATTGTAAAATCATTATTCTCATATGAGCCAGGTCTGATAGATGCCTTGAAACTCAGGTTCCATATTAGGATTGTAAAGTGCAAAAGTACTGAACATTTATTATGTTATGATATCGAATCAAAATGTTTCTCTCGATCCAAAGCAGCCTCTGAAAACACTTTTATGAGTTTTTCGTATGCAAAATCTGGCTATTTTCGCTAAAAACCTCATTTCATATTTTATTAAATTGCTCAATAAGTTCAGTCAAAGTATTTATTACAATCAGTACTATTGGAAGCGCCTTGAAAAGTACTTTAAGAATGTATTAGGAGGCCTAGGGTGGTCGTTACAGTTTATATAGTCGAATGTCACAAAACAGATTACAGAAGTCGAAAAAGGACGAAATCTGTCCAATCTTGAACAGAAAAAAAAAGACCTGAGTTTGAATCAATTTTGGCGGGTGGCATTGCTGCTGGCTGACCTAAATGCCTTTCTGTTGATGATAATGATGATTGCGATGCTGATTAAATGGGGATCATGGAATTGAAAGGACAATTGCTTAGCGCAAATACTTTTTTTTTCTTGGGATTTTTGCCTTATGAAAGTGTCTTTTGCCTTATGAAAGTGTCTTTTGCAATGACAATATCTCAAAAAATGTCGCGCAGGGCGACGCCGACATCGAGCGTAGCGAGATAGATCGGCTAGTCATACTAATACAAGCGATTGCTCATCCTATGACCATGTTAACTTTTATTTGTACCTTTAATAAGTGAAAATTAACATTTGTGGAAAGGGCTACTATACATGTAATGTAAAAAGTTTTCTATTTCAGCTGTTGCGGGATATTGACCTTCAAAGTGATGCGTACAAATGAAATCACTGAATCCATTTATCCTCAAGTGAGTACACGCTGTAATGATCTATATATAACCTTGATGTTGCTCACAAACATACAGAGTACATATTTGTTTCAGCCAAATACCCGCCTAGAATGAGAAGCTGCCGATGGTACATGATGATGGCATATAAATGCTTCAAGCCTGGTATCTCACTCTGTTTCAAGGCAAGGAAAATGCAACAGAATAATTGTTGCTTAGCAACCCTATCGGATAAATAATTGTAAGCAGGATGATGATTTATTTTGGGATGAGATGGCATTTCGTTGTGCATGTAGATCAGTGATCTTTTGCGCATGAAAATCACAATCGAACAGTAACGTAAGACAGCCATTAGCGCGTTTTTTCTTTTAAACTGGGATTGGAAGTGCAACAAGTGCTGTTTACATTGCTTGCTCACCACTCAATGCCATGAATCCCCTATATTTACTTTAGTATTTCCGCGCATTGTGTGCTTCGTCGCAAATATGTGTAACTGGATATTAATCTGCCGCAATCATGTAATAAGATAAATACTACCTATGAATGCAATGCTTATCTAAGATACCGAGGCTATATATAGGCCTTGTTCATTGCTTGAATGCGAAATACTAGAACATGTTACGTTCAAATAATGGATCTTTTGGCGCTTTACTGTGTTGCGCATGAAATCAAACATATGGCAAACCTGAATTGGCCTCGTCAAGGCAAACTTAATCGATCGATTCAGGACATGAAACGTAAACAGGTATTGATGTATTCGAGGTCTTCCAGGGGTCCATCAAGTCAGAATCACATTCAGCTTCAGCAAACTGGTATATGTTATAAGATGTTAAATAAGCTTCAATTACATCGCCTTCTGATTCCTGTTTACCGCGGCTAAGCTACCTAGTTCTGCATAATCTCTATGACCATATAAAAGATGGAGAAGGAATATAGAACATGTTTTTATTGGTCAACCCACGGCAACTGTGGCGGGCTCATATCATGAGCACACCTTTTCCAAAGTATCGGGAAACTAATCCTTCACTTCCTCTGCCTCTCCCCCCCCCCCACTTGGCCACATTAAGTTGATTTAAAATGAACATACGCTCCCACGCAATGGAGCTGATTTATGGTAAGGAATCTTAATTTGCTCTATAACTGTGTAACTAGCAGAAATATATAGGAACATGGCAAGATGTTTTCATGAAGTGTGAAAATGAAAACGAGATTACATTTGGAACCAAATGTCAGCCTATCAGTCATTTATTTACCAACCTGAAACTCAAGATGCTAACAAAGGAGGGGCGGCATGGGGACTTGTATACAAATGCTACCATGTCTGCCCAAAAAATCAAGCACCCACATGTGTGGAAATATGTAAAAGCCTTTTATTTACAATAAACAGGGTCTAGAAAGAAAAGCTAAATGTGAACAATGTTTGCATGGAGCAAGCATTTAAAAAAAAAGTTGAAATAAATATAATTTTTTTGTATCTACATTGGAAAACAACAAGGGTAAAGAAGAGTGTTCATTTCATTGGCTACTACAGTCTTCTCGTTGCGTTTGATGGTGTAAACGAAGCTGAAGTCGATGGCAATGGAGGAGGGTGTGGTAATTGCATTGGCAGTTGTCCTCTATGTTGCAGCCAAGGAGATGAAGATGTAGATGAATTAGACGTTGTATTAGAAGGCGATGATGTGGGCGTTTGGTTATTTTGCTTAATCTTGTCCACTGTTTCGTTTTTGACATGGTGAGATGGCATGGGTAACGGCAAGACTCTGGTAGAGAACAATCTGCTTTTATCTTCAGGTACTGGTGTTGGAGGAAAAGAAGCTATTTTCTCGTCATTATTGCTTGATAGCAAATTCTGCATTGACATTGGAGAAGGGCGAAAGATCTCCTTTGGAGAGGGTAAAGTAGGCCGCATGTCAAAAGTTTTGTTGTACTCGTATCTACATTCAATCAACTGCGGTTCAGGTAAAGGCGATGGCGATCTTCCATAAAATGCAGAAGAAGAAGGAGGATATGATGGATGATGCTGCTGCTGCTGTTGATGCTGATGATGATGATGCTGTTGCTGTTGCTGTTGCTGAAGTGAAAGTTGCATAGACGATGGCACTTGGGATGCTTGCTGGTATTGAGAGTGCCTCCGGTGTAGATGTGGTTGTGGTCTTGGCATTGGACTATCCTGTGGAGAATAATCATCTTCATCTGATTCGTATTCGTCCTGTCTCTTTCGTCGCTTGCCAGAAGCACTATCATGCCGTGAGTTGTCTATGCTGCGCATCAGACCCAATTCTTTAGGTTACCTTGCACTGGATGATGAGCTTCTTGGCTCTTTTCTGATTCTAATCCGTACGCCTTGATCAGAAAAAGATCTGGTAAGAAAGGTAGATTCTATATTGTTAATGGTATTAGATGAAGTATTCTTTCATCAGCTACTACTCGCGATATAATACCTGACATGCCAGGGAAACCTATGAGATGTGTTAAATGACTGTGAATATCAACCCTTCTCATCGCGACTTACTCTTTGGAGAGTATACTTGAAACACGTCTGATACAATGGAGCATAGACGATTGACAAGAGGACCATCTATTTCGTACAGGGTAAATTTCAATCTATAGTATCCTTCTAAACGGACACTGATGTCTGAGAATATAAAGAAGCCACCATCTATCATCATGATATGTCAAAATTTGAACCATCAAAGCGCCTAAAAAAAAAAAAAAGCAGAGCACGAACCTGTATTGTCATGATCTTTAAGTTTATGGAGAGATTGTACGACGGTTCCAGCTGTAGTTCTATTACCATTGACGAAATGTAAATCTGTCTCGCCACGTACATCAGTTAATGTGGCGTATAGAAAAAAGTATGGATTTTGAAGGTATTCATCACTAAATGTAACGAAAGCTTAATTTTGTATTTTCTTAATTTGGTACAATTGCACTTACTCTGGCTGATTGCTCGATAGCTGTATGATAGGAGGAGGATCAATGGGCCTTCTGTCGACTGATGCGAGATCTTAGTCGGTCTGTTTACATTTGATAAGACGGCACAAATGTCTTACCTTTCTCTTTGAAACTACACAATCTTGCTTTGGATGGCTGCTGGCGTACAACCAAATGAAACCTTGATAAAATATACGTTAACGTCCATGATACTTGGCACATTGCATTGGTAGCTTACAAAGATGAGCGTGTATTCATATTGATTGTTGATGTTTTGCTGACTTTTTAAATGGTTCGCTTCAATGTTGAATGTTGATGCTGAGATGCTCTTTCCAGATATATTGCTCGATCAGGGGTTGCAAGATGAAGCAGAAATCAGGAATGATGTATGGGATGAAAGACAAGTATTTGTTTGTTATATTACTTAATACAAAAAGTGTAGAAATAGAAAGGCTACAGCATGGAATGTCTAAATTAGGCAAAAAAAACAAGTAGTATAGATATGTTAAAAACGAAAAGAGCGAGGAAAAAGCGAAAGAAAGAAAGAAAGAAAAGAAGTTTAATAATTTGGGGTTATTTTTTGTCAATTTTATATAAAAAAAATTGTCTAAATATAATAATAACACAAAAAAAAAAAAAATCTTATTGTCACAACGCTTTCTTTCCTTTCTGTTTCCCCCCCCCCCTTTTTTTTTTTTTTTTTCCTCTCTTCCCTACCTCCTTCTGATTTCAGTTTCAAATTGATGTTAATGAAGGGAACCCCGAGTTCCAGGATAAAAGAATGAGTAAGCCAATCATTCTTTCATGTATTCATCATATCACCTTGTAGCTGCATACACAATACAACATCCGCTCCTACATCCATCATCCATTGATCCGTGCCTTGTTTCATTTTGTTGCATCGCAACACATAATTTTGGTACCATATTTCTACTTTTTCCAATGTTTTTCGTGCTAAACCACCTATTTACACTCTTGTGCAATTGCCAGATCAGATTGACGCAAGTAGTATCCAAGGAAATCGAGTTGATTTAGTGGCTATGATAGCCAGCAGGCAATGTATTGGCTAACTCCGATATAGCGGGGGCAGCAGGGAGGCACAAAACCACAGTTATGGTTTTCTTGCAATGGAAATCCTAAATGAATCTGGTTTCATTTTCTTCGCTGTTTAAAGTAGCCTTTTTTCCTAAGCACACCATATGCTTAGCCCTTCTAGAATAAAAGGAAAAATTGAGGCGTAAATGCCTCAAAATTTTTTTGGCCCAGCATGTAGTTTTGATCCAATGCTGTACCTCAAAAATCATACATCATTGGAAAGACACATATCTATAAAAATATACTTTTTGAAGTCGGAGATCTACAATGTTATAATAGCAATGTGACCAAATGTAGATGGGCTTAACATTTGAGCGAAATACAACAAGGTAGAAGGGTTGGGTTGGGTTGTCAAATGTAACGCTGATGAAACTAGAAGAAAAACCATGTTGTCGGTACAAATAAATCGGTAAATGTAATGAGAAATCCTGAAAAATAATCATCTGGATATTTGTAATAAAATCAGGGTGAAGAAATCCAGCTCTGTCATGTTTCACTAAATGTTAACTCGCAGAGAGCCTTCTTCTAGCGCTAATTCAACGTGACATGGCTTTTGCTTTATTTGGTCAATATAAATTCACACAAGATGTATCACCACATATTGTGTAACTGCTTAAATTGCATGCAAAAAAAAAAAACTTTTTGTTTCAAACACAAGACCTAGTTTAGCATCGAATTGAAATTGAAATAGGTTTCACTATGAGAGGGACTCGAGGGGAAAAGAGTCAGAAAAGAATGGGATCTGCTTTTTACGAAAATACAGGTGACACATTTACGCCTACTGGCAAGCCATTGGGGCCTGACGAATGATTGCCCCTCTTTTAAGCATTTAACATGTGCGGTACCCAGCAAATGGGATAGAGATGAACCCCATTCGACGTCATCTAGTAGAGGCCATGGTGCTTGAAGGGGTAGTTTTCCATTTCAATCACAAAAATCAGATATACCACAAATACATCTCTTTCTTTCCTTATCAGATATTTACAGAAATGGTTTTCTCTGCCTCTGAATTTAGACCTTTTACTGTAAATGATCATAGAAACATAATCTAATGTAGTCTAATACTAACATTTGGCATTGATCAGCTCGAAAAAGTCGAACGCGTCAATCACAACGTCAGTCTTTTCCGTTTCAAGCTTCCCAATGAGACAGATGTTGCTGGTTTGCCTGTTGCTTCTTGCGTTGTCTTCCGCTCCAACATTACAAAGGATGGTAAGACGGAAGAGGTCATTCGCCCTTACACTCCTACCTCTGTCGAGTCCCTCAAGGGCTATGTTGACTTTGCCATCAAGGATTATCCTCAAGGTGTTATGAGCAGCTATGTGCATTCGATGAAGGTAGGAGACACTATCGATATCAAGGGCCCTTTTGAAAAGTGGAACTGGGAAAAGAAGCCTGTTGCTCACGTTGGCATGGTTGCTGGTATGTATCCATACACTGTGATAAATGTCATATATTAGATGTTGATTCGTTTTATTGCATTGTCCTTGTAGGCGGTACTGGTATCACACCTATGGTAAGATATCTTGAGGAAATGGTGTGATTCTGCTTGAAGATGAGTAATGCTCATCGAATTATTATTAGCTTCAATTGTTGCGCAAGGTATTTGGCCCCGAATCCACTGATAAGACCTCCAAATTCACCTTGATCTTTGGTAACACTACTGAGGAGGACATCTTATTCAAAGACGAGTTGGATGGCTATGCAAAGGCTTTCCCTGACCGCTTCAGTGTTCACTACATCTTGGAAAAGCCTGCTTCCGGCTGGACTGGTCACAAAGGCTATGTTACTCTCGACTTGATCAAGAACACCATGCCCAAGCCCGATGTCGAATCCTCTGTTATTTTTGTGTGTGGTCCCCCTCCATTGATGGAAGCTGTTAGCGGCGACAAGAATCCTGACAAGAGCCAGGGCACTTTGAGAGGTTTCTTGAAGGAGCTTGGTTATATCCAAGATCGTGTTTACAAGCTTTAGTTTTGATGAAATAAATAATTTATTGGGCATCTAAAAATCCCACACCAACATTCGATTACGAGCAAAACGGCTGGCGATCAATATTCGACATGTACGTAACTGCATGCAAAGACTGACAGGGCAGTGTTTCATAGACGTTTCAAGACCTGGTAATGCCTGACATCTAGAGTACCCATTGTCTATACAATAAGATGCGCTGATTTAAATGGCATCCAGGTTATCTCTCATAGCTAGCGCAAACATACTTTATCGCTTGCTTGGGGCTCGTGGATTTATTTACAACAAAATACGGCATTGATGATGCATCCATTCTGGATTGGTCGAGTTTCGTAATATGACCATGCACTTTCATGCCAGATGAAGCTGTGATACAGGCACGAATCCGAGTCGTTGGTTCATGCTATCAAAATCAGGCACACAATCGGTCAAACACAAGATATGAGATCACATGCTGTTTCAAGGGATATAACTGTTTGTTTTATTTGAATTGTTGGGTGCATTTGTACATATAGAATGAGTCAGATAAAGCGCGAAAGAAAATAGGCGAAATGAAACAGAAGGCACTTTTTGTTAGCATGTGGAGTATATTTATAGTGGTGTGTCGTGTAGTACAGTATAGTATAGAAGCTGCCGTCTTGTTCGTATTGTGTATGCAAAGAATAGAGGGTATAAGTTGTTCAAGATGTGGATGTAGTATACTGCTGGAATTTGTAACCGCATTTCTTCATCTTCAGGGCGATCTTGGGTGGTAGGCTACAGAGCTTCTTCTTTGGTGGCTCCTGCTGCTCAGTGGGATGGCCAATGTCCAGAGTGATTGTAAGGATTTTATCGCCTAATTGACTGAAATCCCTCTTGATGATATCAACAACGTCGTCAAATGGAATAAAGTACAGTGGACTGGCAATGAATAGCGATTTATCCTGATGAATCATGCTGTTGAGTGTAGGCCATAGCCTTGCTTTACTGTCAGAATGGATGGGTTTTCGCTTCAGGGTCAAATAAGAGTAGCTAGACCAGAACTCTTCCAACGACAGGCCGAGAAACAGACTGACTTGAAGATCAACAACGTAGTAGACTGGCAATTGCGGGTTAATTTGCACTGTATAAAGAGGTGTGTAGTTGCATTCGCGCTCTTTGATCCAGTTCTCGGGTGGTGGTGTATGGATGGGTGAATGCAGCTGCTGTTGCTCTGCAGATATATCCGTTGATGCATGAAACAAATTCTTCTTGGAGGGAGGAGCACATCGCAGAAGTGATGCTCTAGCTAAAGTTTCCTTTCCGTGAACGCCAGGCTCTTGCTTTACTTGGACCACATCAGAATCAGAGTTGCGTGAATGCTTGCGACGACGACGCGGTAATGGAATATCTTCTAAATCTTCTTCTTCGTCGTCCTCTTCTTCATCCGGTGCTAAAGAAGGGCTCTTTTCTAAATCTGCTGCTTGAATCAAACGACGCTTTTTTGTATGAGGTTTAGCATTGTTACTAGCAGTTTTTGATGGTACTAGACAAAAATTGCATTAGCTTACTATTGCCTATGTCTCGCCTTGTACCACTCTTACCACGATCTGCAGCTATTGGTCCATGGTCGCTGGAAAAATCTTCTTTTTTGACTAGTATCTTCTTGTTTCGCTTCTTCTTCACCACTGGATTGGCGGCCTGCAATACCAACATGATGTCTTGATAGTCGTGTTCAGTAGCAATATCAATAGGCTCAGCATCATGGACATTGCGAGCAAAAGGATCAGCGCCGCGTTCCAGTAACAGCTCCACAATTTCGCAATGGTTATTCTCGGTTGCATCATGTAATGGTGTATCTAAATCAGCACCTTTGGAGTTGACATCAGCACCATACTTTAAAAGAGCTTTAACCACTTTAAGGTGTCCATTGAGTGCGGCTTCGTGAAGTGCTGTCCAACCAGCGTAATCCTTCTCGTTGGCATCTGCACCTAATTCCAATAACGCCTCGACACTGCCAACATCTCCTCGTTTTGCGTACTTGTGAAGGTGTGTTCGACCACTGGTGTCCTTCTTGGAAGCGTGTAATTTTACAATACTAGCTTTTTTGCTGGTGGAAGCATCACTTTCAACCGAGAGCGATTTTCTGCGACTAGTCGTTCGTTTTCTACGTCTAGGCAATGTGATAGGTCCAGTGTACTCGTCCAATTGCTGCTGCTGTTGCTGTTTTCCACTATCCATGTTGGCAAAGGCACGCAGATAGTTTTGGATCTTCCTCTCTTCTCGGGTCAACTGGCGTACAGGCTCATTACGAGAAGCTGTTTTACTAGCAATTTCATCCAAAGCGTTGCAAGCTTCCTTTTCCAATTTGACTTCGTCCATGCGTGCTGTTAGCATTTGTCGGATAGTCGGAAATGCAGCCGAAACGTGGTAGGGTTTGTTTCCCGCCTTGTCTTCCATGTTCACATCGGCTCCTGCAGCAATCAACAAACTGACTATTTCTTCGTGTCCATGACGACTGGCTTCATGCAATGGTGTGTCCATTTGATTTGTACCGAGAATATTAATGATAGCGTCTTGATCAATCAGTAGTTTAACAATATCCACATGACCACATGCACAAGACAAATGTAAAGGTGTTGCATCTTCGTTATCCTTGGCGTGGACATCAGCGCCTTGCTTGATCAAATATTGCGCTTTTTCGAGTTTGTTGGCCAAGCAAGCGCGATGGAGTGATGATCGGCCGTCATTGTCTCTGGCTAGTAACTGGTCCAGTTGCTTCATTCTGGTCTTGACAATGCGTTGACAGGTAGCATCCGTGCAGACATCAATGGGCCTCTTTTCAGCTTCGTTCAGAGCAAATACATCCGCACCAGCATCCACGAGTAATTGAACACATTCTGGTGAATTGCTGTTGCAAGCATCGTGTAGTGGGGTATCCAACCCGAAACCTCGAACATTGACTTCAGCACCCTGTTGAATGAGATATTTTGCAATTTCATACTGGCCTTTCAACGCAGCTTCATGCAAAGGTGTCCATCCAGCATTGTCTTTGAAATTGACATCAGCACCGCAATCGACCAACTCTTTTACCTTGTCCAAATGACCAGCTGTCGTGGCAGAGAATATCTTGGTGCGTCCGGCCTTGTCTTTTCTATTTGGATTTTGATATGCTTTTCTCAAACCCTTCTTTACTGCAGGTTCGGGTGATGATGAATGTGTCAGCAAACGACTACGCTTCTTCTTTTGCGGTTTGTAGTTGACCATGTCCTCGTCATCCTCTTCATCTGTGTTTGCATGTATTCTTTCTGCCTGTTTGTTTGTCGATGCAGCATGAGGCGGAGAAGATACTCTGGACAATGTGGATTTGGATGGTTGGGATATTGAATGTATCATACGAAATGGATGCTAAATTGAAGAAGTGGGTTTATTTTCGCACTTTGTCTCATATACATGCGGTAGCTTACGTTTTCGTTTTGTGTTGGTTATATAGAGCGAGAGATAGGAAATAGAAAGGTATATACAAGGTATCAAGTGGGTTTTACAAAAGAAAGAGGTTTGTTACTGTAATCGACAATGTTTAGTAACGTTAACATTGTCATCCAATGTTCAAAGTTAAAGTGTTACCTTTTATATCTTTCTGTAGGAGAGTCGGGTCAACAAGCTTCTCTTGTATACTGTTGGTTGTAATAAAAGCTAGTTTTCAACAAGAAACTGCTAGATGTGTATTTCAGTCTGGGGGGGGGGAAGGGGATTGTATAATTTTGAAAAGAAAAAGAAATGGAAATGGAAAGAATCTCACTCCAATGATATCCTGTCTTTTTCAATTGAAAGAAGCTTGTTGAGTTACAGTGACTGTTGCAAAAAAGAAAATTGAATTGAGATGCTGTAGAGGAAACAAGACATCTCATGAATTGCAACACTGGAGATCCTCTTGAGGATTTCATTGTCATCCCCGCATAAATCCAGTAAAATCAACACCAAACAAAATGCAATGATCAGAAAGCTTAAGGAGTCGTCGCAGTAATTCGATCACATTAGTAAGCTTCCGATATATCTCGGATGGACATATTGGATTTTCGGACTTGAACGTTAATTGGCATTTGAGGCAATAAAAGAGTTGCCTAACTGGATGTAGTGGGATCACTTTATTTTTATTGCTTGAAATGGGGGGGTATGTATCTTGATTCGCTACAGATGACGCTGAGATGATTGCTGGGAAGCATCTTGCTCTACATGTGGCGCTTCTTCATCTGTCATTGCCGGTGCTTTTGAATCCGTGGCAGAAGGTATATTTTTGTTTCTGTACACTTGTTCCAGTTCCTCTTGATCCAACAAAACGGTGGATGCGTCGCTTAGTTCGCCATCGTCTATATCAAATACATTTGCTTCTTCAACATGAGTCACATCCACTGTCTCTGCATCCGCCATGATGGCATCGACATCTTGCATGACATTGATCTCGTCCTCCTCATGCTCCTGGACCATGGATCCAGTCTGCTCATTCTCATGTGGTGCTCCAGTCATTACAGCATCTGTGTCCATTGCTGTGAGTTTAGTATCCAGTTCCACCTTGACAACATCTTGCATTGGCTCTTTGCTTTCAGTCTTTTGGTGTGCCACCACATCTGTCACTTGATTTGATTGGACATCAGCTGTATCCGTTGCTGATTCTGCAATGACCTTATTTTCTGACGTTGAGTGTATGGTGCTTAGATCCGCTTTTACCGCTGTTTCTTGAGACGGCTCTGCATCGGTGCTTACTGCAGGCTTCGTCAACGCATCGCTATTGCTGTGCTTGCTTAGATAATCACGCATCCACAATTTTTTTCTAGGCAGTGGTGCCGTGGGTTTCTCTGTAGGTGTTGGTGTATCTGTGCTTTTTGGCGGTTGTAATGTATTATTAGTAGTAGATGCAGATGCAATGGTATATTGTTTGGTAGATTTATGGTGGTGGTGATGGCGGCTACTTGATTTCTTTTTGCGTGGCCTTGCTCGTGTGCCTTCATCTTCGTCCGAGTTGTCATTGGCAGAATCTTCGAAAACGGATAAACTGGACAGCGATGACAATGATGAGAGGTCTGCGTTTTCTTCGTCGCTACTGTGATCGTCCAACAGGGGTGGGGCATTATCTAATGGCGCAGGCAACTCATCTCCAATATCAATGTCCCCCTCCACATCTAGCAATTCGTCGTCTGAGGTGTCTTTTGATACAGCTGTGCAGCATGTAAGTCAACAGTGCTATGGATCAAATAAGCCAACTACTTACTTTTCGGGGTGTATAGAATAGGATGGGGTTTGATGCGCTTCTCTTCTAGTCTTACGGGCTGTGGTGGCAAGGATTTCGGCTTCAACAAGATGACAGATGACTTTCTACGGCCTCCCTTGTTGGAGATCAAGTTGACTGACGGCGATCTGATCACTGGTTTTTCCTTGGGTGGTGCGCATTGACGTTTCAAGTGTTCAATCAGGCATCTTCGCTTATTCTGACATGCACAGACACCAAACTCCTTTTCAAAGCGATCCAGCATGTTTTTGATGGTGGACTTTCTTCGCCTCTCTTCCTCTTCGTCAATCACCTGGTGCTCATTGGCATCGTGTTGGCCATTCTTTTGCTTGTGCTGTTGATGCCAGTTCATGCTTTCTTTCCATGAGATGTGTCCTCTCTGCCAATTCCAACTGATGGTAACCTCCTGTCCTTTTTCAATAGCATGTCGGGCAAATAAGCCTAAATGAATCGTCTTGTCTTCACGGGACTGAGGTAGGACAACATTTCTAAGCTCTGCATTAGGATGACATGATCGACGGATATAGCGAGCCTTGTTACCGAATTGGCGAGTGTCGATGCAGAGATCCAGCGTGGGATAGAACATGATGTGGCTCAGTGGTGTGCCCAATATCACAAAATCGTTGATGGGATCAAACTTGAACTCGGATTTGAGAAGAATGTCGCCTGTCACTTCCATCAGATATCTAAGCGCAGGAATAGGTCTGGCAGCAAATAGGCCCTGATTGGAGACAGGCGTATCCATCAATACGCCTTTGGTGTACATGGTTGTTGCATCCATCGTAACAAAGGGGCCATGATCGCACAGTAAGGGGCCCTGATTGCTGCTTTCGTCGTGGAAATGCTGTTTCCATCTGTTGTTGGAGCTCCATCGGTCCCTTGCCTCTCTAAACAGGGGATGTACATAGCGAGATATGATTCTGCTCTTGACAGGTCGCTTCTTTTTGGTGTCTTTCGGTAGTGTCTCTTCTTCTGCTGCGTCCAGCTTACGAAACTTCTTTTTGGAGATGGTGATTCGCTTTGATAATTTGGGCCTCTTTCTCTTCAGACATTGGTCGCAAAGGTAGTGATCTGGGATGTTTGCGTGCGTGATGTGTACACAGAAAGCATGCTGCCACACCAGACATCGCTCACATTGGATAGTAAAGCCGTCGTCCTCTGTGGATGGACAGACACATCGGATGAGACCAGTGTCAACTGGAGGTTCGCTCTGTTGCTGCTTGCTGTTGCTGTTGTTGTGCTGTACAAATGAGTCTCTTGGAATTGGATATGCCATAATGTTACTAATCTCTCGGAGTTGCCAGTTCCTTGTTTTGTTGTTGTTTGCCTTGGTTGTATCCGGCTCTGTTTGGATCGTTTGTAATATGAAATCTAAATGGAAGAAGCGGAAAGAGAAGCCTTTTTTCAATCCGAGTCTTTTTGTTGTTGTTGTTGTTTTGGATCAAAGAGTCACAGAGATGAAAGTCAATCAGATCCAATCAAGCATCCAGTGTTTGGCAAAGATGTCGTCTTGAAGCAGATTAACTAGTTTGATCTATGGCCCATGATGCTCATCCAAGCAGGCCTGGATGAGAAGCAATGGATAGACTATGAGCATTTGGAGAGGATGTTGGGATAACGGATCCTTCTCTGTCAATACCAGGCTGTGATTGGGGCCACTCTGAGGTACATGCCCTTGATAGAACCAGCCCAATACATTTGGACCTACAAGTAGATGTACCAGGTGAATATGAATACATTAGCTTGTATGGTGAGCGTTTTACAGACCAGATAAATGAGATTTAAAGCAGACATCTTGTTGCTGGATCTGGCACAGTGCAAACTCTGCTTGCTAAATGACGTAGATGAGCATGGAGCAAGCAGAAGAAGTAGCCCTCCAAATTTACCCCATCTCACGTGCAGTAGTACAAAGGACTATGTCAAATTTTAATTCCCCTAAATAAACTGTGGATGATTGAGGGAAACAAGATTAAAGAAATAGCCCAATTTTCCTTCTCCTTTCTTTCTCTTCTTTTTTCTTTCATTTTCTTCATCAGAAAAAAAAAAAAAAAAAAAAAAAGGACATCATGCCAACCACAGCAGCCTCTCCCTCGTTACCAGAAAAGACATCTGGAAGAGCCAAATGTAGATAGTCGACTTGGCCTTTTGCTTTCAATTCATATCTAACTTGCACTTGTATAGATGTTGTAGGTGTATGTGCCATGGATAGAAAGGCAAGATCAAAGCCAATGCGACACATCTTGAACAGATTGTTGGCACACGGCGACTTTGAGATTGTCATCTTTGGTGACAAAACTATCTTGGATGAAGGTAACGAGAGCAGATCTCTAGTAGTGTATATACTTAGTCAGCTGTAGATGTCGAGAATTGGCCTGGTTGCGATTTCCTCATCTGCTTCTTTTCCGGCGGGTTTCCTATGGAGAAAGCAGTTGCCTACACCAAATTAAGAAAGCCATTTGCAGTCAACAATGTGCATATGCAAACATTACTGTGGGACAGACGAGTGGTGTTGTCGATCTTGGATGCCATTGGTGTCCCTACACCTCCTCGTTTGGTGGTTTCAAGAGACGGTGGCGCAAAAGTAGACGCTGATGCTGCTGCTGCATTCAAGGAATGTACCGGCATGGACATCGATCGTGTGCTGGCCCGATACGCTTCCAACACAAAATCTGTCAATATGTCGGATGAAGGTATCGAAGTGGATGGCGAGTATCTCGGAAAGACATTTGTCGAGAAGCCTGCTGACGGTGAGGATCACAACATCAACATTTACTACTCTCAAAAGAAGGGTGGCGGTGGAAGAAGACTGTTTCGAAAGATAGGCAACAAATCCAGCCAGTACGATCCTGAATTGAACTCGCCCAGCACCGAGGGATCTTGGGTGTACGAAAAGTTAATGGAGACGGAGAGCTTTGAAGACATCAAATTATACACGGTGGGCCCTCAATTTGTCCATGCCGAAACAAGAAAGTCGCCTACTGTAGACGGCCATGTGAAGCGTAACACAGATGGGAAGGAAATCCGATATTGCGCTAAACTGACGCAAGAAGAAGAAGATATCGCCAGAAAAGTGTCAAAGGCTTTTGGACAGGCTGTCTGCGGCTTGGATATTCTAAGAGTGCAGGGCAAATCCTATGTGATTGATGTCAATGGCTGGAGTTTTGTCAAGGGAAACGACTTTTACTATGACCAATGCGCTAAAATCCTAAAGGAGGCCTTTTACAGATCCGTTCAAGAGAGACCCTTATCATTGGCAGATCAAATTCCACCCGAAATTTCACCTGAAAACTCATGGCGTCTCAAGGGATTTGTCGCCGTGTTCCGTCATGGTGATCGCACGCCCAAGGAAAAGCTCAAAATGACCATCATGGAACAGCCATTCATCGACTTGCTGGAGGGATCCAAGCGCGAGGTAGTGTTTAGACAAAAGCATCAATTGGAATCCGTCATCAGAGCATTGGATCAGTGCCTGGAATCACCCACAGCCGAGAACGAAGACAAGCTGAGAAATCTAAAAGAGGTCTTGGAAAAGAAGCATGTGCTCGCTGGCACCAAAGTTCAACTGAAGCCCAAGTTTGATAAAAACACCAGGGAGCTCATCAAATTGCAAGTGATTGTCAAGTGGGGAGGAGAGTTTACGCACGCTGGTCGTCACCAATCCAGAGATTTGGCAGAAAACTTGAGAAAGGACATGAACATCCTCAACAGAGAAGTGCTGGAGGATGTCAAGATCTACAGCAGCTCAGAAAGACGAGTGCGTGATACAGCCCAAGTCTTTGCTCGTTGGTTCCTGGGTGACCCTGATACGCTGGAGGGCGTCATCTCTGAAAGCAAGTACTTGTTGGATGATAGTAACGCAGCCAAAGATCAAGCAGATGCCGTCAAACGTCAACTCAAGGGACTGTTGAGGCCTGGAAACGATATCCCCGAGTGGATGCTGGCTCAGATGGGCTGGTCTGCCAAGCTGCCTCAGCCTTATGTGATTCTTCAAGAGATATCCACCATCATGGGTCGTATGCAGCGTGTCATGCATGAAAACTGGGCGACCAAAGATGTAGACAATATCCAAAGAAGATGGTGCTGCTTCGACTCGCCCATGCTGTTCAAGGAGAGATGGGAAAAGATGTTTCGCAATTTTGCGTCCATACAGACAGGCGATGAAAGTGATGAGTCTGAACTGAGACGTGCCATGCACCCCGAGACATATCCTGATCCCTCCTGGATTCCTGCCCTGTATGATTCACTCAAATACGATGCTCTACACAACAGGCCCTTCCTTCAAGCCATGTTTACTGACGAGACTAGCAGCAACAGCGAGGATTTCGACAGTAACAGCGTCAACACCACCACCACCACCAACACCAACCTGCGTACATCCTCGGATTCCAACAGCGTGCCTGTATTGAACAGATGTGGCTCGGATATTCGCCGTTTATACAAGACGGTCAAGATCATGTTTGATTTCATTGCGCCTCAGGAATTTGGCATTTCAGACACTGAAAAAAAGAACATTGGCATGCTGATTAGTTTTCCGTTGCTCAAGAAGATTTTAAGTGATTTGGATGACATGAAATCAGCCGAGAGTGCAAGAACCCGTCTCTACTTTACCAAGGAATCGCATGTGCACGCTTTACTGAACCTGATTTACCTCTCGGGAGTGCCAACCAAGGTGCCTAGAAACACATTGCCCGAATTGGACTGTAAGTGCATGCCTGTTGGATCCTTGCATCATCTCAAACTCACCTTATGTATGTAGTCTTGACCCAGATCACATTTGAGCTGTATGAACGTAACAGACAAAGTGTTTCTGAGAAGGAATACTCACTTCGTATCGGATTTAGTTCCGGCGCTCATTACAACAGTGTCTTGGATCTACGCATGGATGCAGAGCATTGCTTAAAAGTAGCTCCCAGAAGAAACCTGATCCCACATTTACTGCTGGAGGAAGTGCTGACATACCATAAAGGCTATCTAAACGTGCCCAATCTCAAGAGCATTGAGGAGCAAATTGAAGAAAGAAAGCTGTACTATGCTCAAGAAGACAATGATCAATAAGTTTTTGGTTTTAAACAGAAACAACATGTTTATTACAATTTGTTTTGCATTCAATTATTTTATTGTGGAAAATGATAATAAAATAAAGCTTTGAAAGTAGTAAAGAAAGCTCCCACTTTAACGGTTAGACTTGGCAACACGCTCAAGTTCGTCCTTCTTCTTGATGGCATAAGAGTTGGCAGAACCCTTGGCAGCGTTGATTAATTCATCAGCGAGACATTCAGCAACAGTCTTGACGTTACGGAAAGCAGACTCTCTGGTACCGACAGTCAACAAGGAGATGGCTTGGTTGACACGACGGAGAGGAGAGACATCGACAGCTTGACGACGGACAGTACCTTGAGAACCGATACGGGTGGAATCTTCACGAGGACCACAGTTGATGATGGCATCAACGAGAATTTGAAGAGGGTTGGCATCAGTCAACAAGTGGACAATCTCGAAAGCGTGTTGAACAATACGGGCAGCCATGAGCTTCTTACCGTTGTTGCGACCAGTCATCATAAGAGCATTGGTCAAACGTTCAACAATAGGACACTATAGACTCATTAATTTTCCACCCCTTACTCTCAATCCTATCTGACTTACTTGAGCCTTACGGAAACGCTTGACAGCGAAACGGCCGGCAGTGTGAGGCAAGTAAACTTGTTGACGGATTTGAATGTAATCTTGGAGAGAGATATCCTTAACCTCAACATCCTCGTAAGACCACTTGTTGAAAAGTCTGCGGGTACCATCAGCGGTAGCCAAAACGTCAGCAGGTAAATTCAAAGCAACCATGTTGTACTAGTATCATCAATGAGTATTGTGGTGGTGGTGATGGTGAAATGTTGATATGAAGGTGAAATGTTGATGTGTGATGGTAGAAATTTGAAAAATAACGATTAGTACACTGTCCATAAGATAGGATTCCATGGCATCCATAGCATCTCGATGGGATGAATGGATGAATGGATGGATGGATGGATGCGATTAATTTACCTGTAGTGTGAAAGAAGGGACAATCTATTTCAGCCATTAGCCTTTACTTTTGTTTGCTTGCTGGCTGGCTCTTTCTCTCATTTTCCCTAGTCCGTTGAAAGTTGTTGTCCGCCGCACAATCTGTTGCTCTTCGGTGAATGTTTCAACCGTTCCAATGGTATTGTAACGTGTATTCCAATTAATGCTTGATGGAAACTTGCAGAATTATCATTTTATTCTTCTCTCTCTCTTTCTCTCTCTCTGTAAATATGTCTGAAAAGCAACAGTATTTCGACTCCTCATCGTCTCAAAGCAATTCAAATACATTGAGCCGTCCAGTGCGCCGTCATTTAGTCAATGTATATCTCACATTAGCTGCTATGTGTGCTATTGCAACCGCAGGCACGCAAGTAGGCGACTATCTCGGCGCAGCAGGTTCGCCTATAGGTACATTGGGCGCATTCACCAGTGTTTCCATGTTTCGGTATACAGCGCCGAGAAGTCGAAATCGATGGGCTTTGTTGGCAGTAAGTAGATGTGTGATAGATAGAGAAAGCAATGTTGACATGCTGGTGTAGGCGTATTCTATATTCAGTGGCATCGCATTGTCAACTTTTATATCATTCTTTCTCAACTGGGATCCATCAGGCAATATCATCTTTATGGCATTGTCATCTGCTGTATTGATCTTTCTAGGCTTCTCGGGTAGCGCTGTCATGGCTGATCGTCGTAGCATGCTGTATGTGGGTGCCTTTGCTAGCAGTGTCTTGAGTGTGCTGTTGTGGTTGTCGCTCGCAAATTCATTCTTTTTGAGATCCACATCTATATTCTCTCTGGAACTATACGTTGGTTTGTTGGCATTTGCAGGATTTGGTAAGAGATGAATACTACATATTACACTGTACATGTTGTCTCATCGTTGATATCTAGTCATGTATGATACCCAAATGATTGTGGAACATGCAAGTGCTGGATCAATGGACATACCTGGACATGCCATGGAACTGTTCATGGACCTCTATTCTTTGTTTATTCGATTAGCTCAGATTCTGATGAAGAAGGAAATGGACAAGGAAAATGAAAAGAGAAAAAAGAGAGGGCCCAACAGACTTAGAAGAGATTACTGAATCTCTTTAGCATGAAGGCAAGTTTTCTTTTGTATCAGAATAAAACGGGCCATGCCACAGGCACACACGTTTGTGATGCTTTAAATAGATTAAACTTTGAATATTCTTGGTACGCCTATGAAAAATGCCAAGTTTTGTCAAAAAAAAATGGGATTTTACTTGATGGGATGATTAGATACTAAATGTTTATTGTGTGTCGCTGGGATTATTGGAGATGGACTCAAACAGGCATTTTACAAAAGAGTTGAGAAAATGTGGGGTAAATGGGATTCATTAAATCAAATATATAGTAAAGTAAGAGGTTAAAAGTTGGGCTGCTGTACATTCACCCATCCACATGTCTGGCATTCGTATAGCTTTTTGGTGGATCCACAAGGCACCAAGGGAACAAAGCAAAACGTAAAGCATTCATTATTCTTGATGTAATAGACATCTTTTGCTTGACAATTGGGACAGTGCCAAACATGATGACCAGATTTGCGCTTATATCGTTCAAGACCGACTAGATGGAAGGTGTGAGTTTTATATGTTTAGCTTGCAGTGTAGAATATCTTTATATGTACTCACAGGTAAAACAGAAAAACATGATTAAATAGTTGTAATAAAAAAAAAGAGAAAAAGAAGAAACTCTGTAAAGCATTGGAAAACCTCACCCTTCTATACTTGTAGAGCTTGTGTTTAGTTTAATACGTCATTAAGATGTTACTATTCTAAGACATATGTGGACGTTTGGCATGATTGTGGTAAAAGAGATCGCCCAAACGACAAATTCCGCACCGCATCATTCATTGTTTTGACTAGCACGTAGATCAAGGAATCACTTGCATGTGAGCCGGCTAGGTATAGTGATCTAAACGTCTGTTCGTTTCATAAGATCAATCAATGTGTTTCATGTTAATTACATCTGCTTATTTCTATTCATTTGAACTATAAGCCTCGACTGAGTAGCTCAAGTAAGTAGCAAGTATGTTGGGGTTCTATGTTTCCTTTACACGTGCTAATATAATCAAAACTGAGTTGCTACCACTCAAAGTAACATTTGCAATTTGAATAGGGTGTTAGTTAGGCATTTCGCATTAGGAACCGCATTTCAATGCTCATTTTTCAGCAAGAAAACCTATCAGCCAAATAGAAATAAGCATCTTAAACAAAATGAAAAAGTGTTCAAGCTATGTTAGGATATGTTTCGATTTGCAATTTCCTTCTAATGAGCTTTTAAAAGCATTAATTACTTTTGTAATAAGTATTGCAACACATTTGCCAGTAGTAGTAGTGATAATCATTCAATCTCCGGTCGTAAATTTCTACTCGAAATGGGTCGATTTGCCACTTTGTCGACTTATTTTGCAAGATTCGACTATGTAAAGTGTGATGATCACCCCATGCTTCCTAATGCAGTCCCTGGTGGTAGGGCGAAGTGGTAGAACTCCCGTATGCCAACGGGAGGATCCCCGGTTCAAATCCTGGTGAACGCAAGTTGTTTGATTTTTTGAGGTAGTACTGATGTCCTCGTTTGGTGTTTTTGTACTCTATCCATTATCTATATTTTGACAATTTCCGCAAGACTGTATTGGCTCTAGGTGTCGCACCTTATTAGCAGTAGATTTCTTTCCCAACTTAATTCAAAAATATCTTATTCCCCTTCTTTGCAGACATTGGGTCCACCAACAGTCTTTTCTATCCCTCAGCATGACATTTAAAGGACTTTAAATAAAACCTGGAGCTCGACTCCCCTACAAAAAAAAAAAATGCTTCCTAATGCACCCTAGGAGTACTTTTCAAGACGCATCCAATGGTGCTAATTATAATAGATGTTTTTAATAAGCTTATTGAGAAAATTCAAGAAGTATGAAATGGCGTTTTTGGCGAAAATGTCGAGATTTTACATATCAAAGTCTCACAAACAAAGCTTCAGGGGTTGCATTGGGTCAATAGAAACATTTTGATTCAATATATGCCATAGTAAAAGTCTATTTTTGGGGTCAAAAAAGCGATCGTTTGGTTTTTGATGAAAATCATGAGGTATCACTCACGGTTTTTGGTCGATTGTTGACGATCCTAAAAAAGTTGAGCAAAGGTGTCAGGAAGTTAGTGCTAGATGGCAGCAATTGCGTGACGCTATTCTGGCGGTTTAAAACGGCTTCCAACTCGAGAAATCACTGCTGGAGAGCACTTAGATTTCGCTGTGTTTTGGATAATGTCAAGTAATGAGGGGTATTGCAGGTATGCTGTGTGCCTGTTTTCAAGTTATGCCCATCGATAAAGATGTACAGTATCTTAAAAAGGAGTCAAATCCGCAATTACAGGCAGTCTACAAAGGGTATTTGTGTCAAATGTCAGGTCATGAACTAAGCGTACAGATCCTAAAATCTTGAATCAGATATATTAATCTACCAGCACGTTCGAGCCAAGCATAACATATTCTGTTAACCAGTTAAAATTCATTATATATATTTGGTTATATAACAACAAGAGCAATTTGACTTATAATACTTTCATGATCCCATCAGTCTCTATATCCTTACCCCTTTTTTAAAGCCTGAAAATGGTTGCCATGGCAACCATTTTCAGTGGCCGCATATTAGCATTTAGTAGGCTATTGTGATCCGCAGCTTAGGATCATGTTTCAGGAAGTACAAATATTCAATCTAGTATGGTTGTACAATTCTTCATTATATTTAAAAAATTAAGCTTTACTTCTTGATACAGGGCGAAGGAAAAAAAGTATATATAGAGCGACATCATTCTCTACAATTTCCTCTTCGTCCTTCATCAATCCAAAAGATATTTTCATTGATACACTATGACTAAATCATCACCTCCACCATCACCCACTCGTACTAACGCTTCCATTACTCGAAGAAGTACTCGAGTTCTCAACAATAAAGACCACGTTGGCATAAAGGTATTTCTTTTAATTTCGTCATTTGACAACGTTCTCTCTCTCTCTCTTTTATACGACTGAACCCACGTCTGATTAGAAATCCAATGTCTTGATCAACAAAAGGACCAAGAGTAAAGATTTAAAACACAAGAAAATCATCAAAAAAGGTCTCAATGCTTCTCCTCAACCTGTTCGCATTCGCATCACTGATATTCGTGATTTTAAAAAGCAATTTGTATGTGCCCTGAAATTTACACATCTCCGAACAATTTCTGACATATATATATATATGTGTGTAGGGCTTGATATCGTATCTAGTACGTCGTGAAGGCTATATCGATGACATGTGGGTCACAGAAAGCGCCATTGAGAATCTAGATGTTGTTCAGGACTACCATCGCAAAGTTCAGGCAGAATCTGGTTATTCTATTATTGAATCTGATGGAAACACCGATATGGATGTGGAGGGTCCATCTGATAACCAACAACAAGAGGAAGAAGGACAAGAAGCATCCGAGTCCAATCACAAGAGGCCATCCCGTACGTCAAAGATTCGAGCTGTTTTGGCATTGAAGCAAGCCAGGTTTATGGATGAAGATGAGGATGAGGATGTATCTCATGGAAAGAAGCGCAAGTCGACTGCTGGTGGTAAGGAAGGATCTGCTGCTTCTACTAATGGCGGTAATAAGAAGCGTGCTACTGGCAGTGGAACTGGAAGAAAGACCAAGGCTCAAGTATTATTGGAGCAACAGGCAGAGGATCGACTTGAACGAAAGAGAGAAAGAGAGGTCAAGGACGGCGAAGCCATTCTTCGATCCATGGACCATGTTGAAGGCAAGGACTGCTGCTTGAAATGTGCTGCCAACACCTATCGTCATTTGCTTGAAAAGGGAGATTTGGAGGGATTCAAAAAGTGCTTTCAAGATGCTCGTAATATCCCCTTTCATCATCACGAGGATATTCCCAACGGTCTTCATTTGATTCCTTATGCAATTGTTTTGGAGAAGTTTGATTTTGCCGAGTTTGCTACCAAGTTTAAGCCTGATGCTAATGCCCCTACTCGTCCTGTGGTTCCAAACAAGTATTTTGTATATGACAATGGTACTGGCCATAACAGAGGTGGAGGGGCTTATGGTAGCCGCAATTTCAGGTGTGTATGGATGAAAGAGTAATATAGCATTATATGCTAATAGCGTATATTTGTACATAGGCAGGTGCAAGAGTCGAGAGGAAATCGATTGGGTAACTCTGCTTTCTACGGAAAGGGTGGGAATTCATTGCCGAGAAAGTCCTATATGAATGTCGAGGATTCCATAGGAGAAAGTGGTCTCAGTGCTTATATGCCATACATCAACAAGGATGTATTCAAGAAATCTGAAGTCATCAACAACTTTTTGGCCACCATTACAGGAAATGAAGCAAAGAATATTTATTTTGTGGTTGCTTCAGGTAATAGAGTGTTGGCTAGTCAAATGATTGAGGAGAATGTAAAGTCTATGGGTCGCAATACGTTTAATCATCTACATGAACAAGTTCTTAAGGTAAGTCTTTTTTATGTGCAGAAGATTCATTAAAACTGATTGTATTGCGATAGTATGATGGTTCTCAAGCACTGGAAAGCTACAGAAGACCTCAAATACTCAAAAAGGCATTTGACGCTTGCAACTTGACTCCCTACCATTGCTCTGCTATCCATCCTGCTGCTACCTATCTATCCGAGTTATTTGAAGCCCTGGATCATGCTGAACGTTTGGAAACCGATGTCTATGGGCGCTCTGTAGCATTTTATGCCGCTGTCAGTGACACTTCTGCTTGTATGGAGTTCCTGATCTCCAAGAACTTTAACGTCACCATGCACGACAAGTTCAAGATGACGCCTTTAATCCAAGCTGCTCGCTATGGTAAGAGTGCCAATGTGGAAATCTTGATCAGGCTTCAACGAGGCGATGAAACTGAGACGCCTGTAGCCGTCTTTCAATCTTTGCTGCGTAACAGACGTACCGCTTTGCACTATGCTGCTTACTTTGGCCACGCCGAGACATGCCGTGTCTTGATCCAGTACAACTGCCCTGTGGATGCCTTGGAGAACCTGGACAAGCAAACACCTTTGCATTATGCTGCCAAGAACGGTTATTTGGACTGTGTGCGTGTGCTGATTGAAGAGGGCCATGCCAACCCTGAAAAGGATGACAAATATGCTAGAAACGCCTTGCATTTGGCTTGTATCTATGGCCATTTGGACATTGTTCACTATCTCTTATCTATTGGTGTGGATGCAAATGCGCCCGATAGCTCTCAAAACTACCCTACGCACTACGCTGCTGCCTATGGTTATATCGACATTTTGCATCTCTTGATTGAATACGGATCTGCTGACCCTACTTTGCCCAACGTGTGGACTAGCACGCCTTGTTCAGTGGCTAATATGAAGGGCCATATTGCTATTGTCAAGTATCTTTTGCAATTGCCTGGCAACCCGATCGATGTCAATTTCAAGGATCAAGAAGGCTGTAGTATGCTTCAGCGTACCATTGACGAAGCTGTGGTTTCAGATATAGACATGGAGTTGAATTTGAGCAAAGCCAAGCTGTTGCTCTCAATGCATGCAGATGTGAATAGCAAGGACCTTGAAGGTAATGTAAGAATAACTATCCATGAATTAGTGGCTGACATAAGTGACACTTAGGCTATACATCTCTCCATCATTTGGCTGCAAATACCGCCTTTGCCAAGCTACTTCCTAAAGGCTATCAATGCATCTACCCTGAAAAGAAACAAGGCTACGGTTATAGGGTCCTCAAGAACACCACCGGGCATGCTCAAGACGACATGGATGGTATCAATTACCAGCTGGACATGGCCAAGCTGCTGATAGAGCACGGTGCTGATCTGGACGCCAAGAGCCTCAAGAATGAAACGCCTCTTGCTACTGCCATGAGAAACAAGAATCACTCTCTTGTTGCTGTCTTGATCAAGGCTGGATCCAAGTTTTGGCTGGACGTAGATGAAGAAGGCAACACCTTTTTGCATTATTACGCAGTGTTGGCTGCTCGTATCAACTCTATTCGTGCTCATGGTTTTGAAGAAAACATAGTGAGAAGACAGAGGTTCGAAAAGGCTATTCAAGATGTCTGGCAGGCTGCTCAGGATGTCATCAAGGAAAAAGGGATTGATTTCAAGGAAATTGTACGTCTTTGTACGCACTATTTTTTAAGTTACTCACCAACTTTACTAGATCAATAAGCCAAATCACAAGGGCTACAGCTTCTTTGTATGGGGTTTTCGCAATGCTGTTGTATGTGAAAAGACGACCATGGTGTCTGAAAAGAGACTTGTCTCCAGTGCTCTCACAGCAAAAAATCAGAATACCGGAACATATGGCTACTACTCTCACGACCAGCCTTCTTGGATCTCCAGCAAAAAGATAGACGACTATGAAGGTGTATTGGTATTTGACTTTAGGCTCGACTTTTCCTTCTTTGTAAGTCGATTGAGCATGAGATGTATGCTCTGTGTATTCATCTTGTTCAATACCCTAGATTGCTTGCATGCAAAAGATCCTCTCTGTCGCCAAGCCTGACTTGAATGATTGTGTAGCTCTTCCCAAAGACTTTAAAAAGGAGAAACCACAGGCCAAGCGAACTGATTATCCCGTCTTGACAGGCTACACTGCCCTTCACTTTGGTAAAGTATCACATGTCAACTTGATACACAACACTTGTACTAACACATGAATAGCTTGTCAAACTCAATGCGTCGATTTGATTGATTTCGTGTTACGTAGCGGTGCAGATCCCAACACGCGAGTCAAGGTGGATGACTGGCTTGGTGATACGCCTATGCTGATGGTCTGCCATATCAAGAAGGACAAGAAGCAAGAAATGCCCAACAATGACCTGGAGACTGTTGAGTTACTGAACAAGAAATTCATTCTGATCAAACCCGACTTTGAAGAGATGCTGCAACAGTCTATGGAGCTCCTTATAAAGTACAAGGCCTGTCCTTTCATCGCCAATGCACATGGCATCACCCCTCTCTTCAAGGCAGCTTCCAAGTTGAACCGATCTCTTGTGCAGATGATGTGCGCAGATGCTACTCCTTCTCGTGGCACTGATATCAATGTCCAAGACGAACGAAACCAAACTGCGTTGACTGTGGCTCTGGATGCTGTCATTGGCTTGATCGATTCTAACAAGGAGGTGAATACATCTGTGATCAAGGCTCTTTTGATGAACAATGCAAATCCCAATATCGTGGACGAGAGCAAGGAAACTGCATTTACTAAGGTGATCAGAACTTCGCACGTACCTTTGGTAAAGGTATTCTTGCATCATTCTGCATTTCCACTGGACCACAATTGCCAGAACAAGAGTAAGTTGGATGTGAGGATTGGAAAGTACAGTTACTGACAGTGAGGACAGATCTCGAGACTGCCCTAAGCATTGCCTGCAAGTTAAACAACAAGGATATTCTGTTTGCCTACCTGGATCACTTGAAGGAAACCCCTGACCTGGTCAAGACAACCATCAATGCAATTGACGTCAATGGATGGACAGCTCTTTCTCATGCCTGCAAACACGGCAATGCCACTGCTATCGACGTGCTACTCTCTAAACTAGGCGCCGATGCCAACATAAGCCAACCTCAGCATGTTCCTCTCTGTGAAGCTGTCAAAAGCGGTAATATTGAGTCTGTTCAGCATCTTTTGGAGCACGGTGCCTTTATCAATCAATGCGACGAGAACCAAAATACACCTCTACACAATGCTGTGCTGGTTCAAAAGCACCATATTGTAGAATTATTGCTGAAACACGCTGCTGATTGCCACCTTGTCAATGCCAAGCAACAAGTACCACTGCATTTAGCCATTGACGTAGCCAAGAAGCAAACTAATCGATCTTTCCGTGTGGAGCGCGCCTTGTTAAAGAAGGGCGCTGACATCAACGCCACTGATTTCTTGAGTAAGTCTAGCTAATAACAGGGTACAGACATTTAGCTAAAACTCGATATTATACTAGACCGTACACCGCTGCATTATGCCTTTGTTGACAGCAATACCATCCCTCTTACGCGTGATACCATTCTGCTCCAAAAGAAAATGAAGCTGGTCTCTCAAGAAATCAAACAAGAGCAAGAAAAGCAAGAAAAGTTGGCTTCCTATGCCACAGAATTCGACCTTCATGATCACGCCAATAATGACAGCATGGCTCAGGTGAACTCTTGGTTGAAGAATGCCAAATTGGTGCGCTTGAATCAAGAACTGGACGAGGAGAAGAAGAAAGCGGCTAGCAACAACCACGAGGATTTGTACATGACAGAAGAGGAGAAGCACCAGATCAGAGCCTATCACACGTTTCACTTTGAGGCTGAAAAGGATATCCCTGAACGCTTTGATCCTGTTGACATCTTCAAGTTCCTTTCTCAGTACCAGGACTTGAAGCTGGATTTGTTGGATGCCTTTAGTAGAAACCCACTCCACTATGCTGCTTGTGTTGGCGCTTTCAGTTGCTCAACATTGATGATTGGCAAGGGCGTTGATATGAATGTGGTGGATAGTGACAATGTAAGTTGGTGTGCACATGGTTGTCTGTTGAATACTGAACGTTTTTCTTGCCAGAACAATGCATTGCAATTAGCTTTGCGCAACAACTACATCGATTACTCTGTCATGCTGTGTAATATGGGTGCCTCTGTCAAGCTCAACATGACGCTGAGAGACGGGACAATCATCTCCACGCTTGGATACAGTCTGTCCAAGTCATTGATCAATGTTGCTTATCTGATTATGGATCAAGGCTCGCTTCTCATTGGTAAGTTGCTTCTTGTCCTTATTTAAAACAAGCTGCTTAACTCTGTCTCTTTTTTTCACTGCAGAATCCATCAGGGATGCACTGCAAAATGGCAAGTTCCAGATGGTGGAATTACTATTGAACTCTGTGGATGAAGCTGCTCTGTCTGAATTCAGCACTAAATCAGGTCAAAACATGTGGCATGTCCTGGCTGATTTCAATCCTTTTGATAGAGAGATCTGGCTGGATTACATTGATGAGTTTGTGGCCAAAGTCAAGGCTGCCAACCCCCCTATTATCAAGGACAGCTTTGGACGAACTCCTCTGCACTATGCTGCCATGCACGGACAAGACTTACTCCTTGACAGGCTGATCCAATTCGACGCTATTGGTGTCAATTACTATGACATTGATGGCAAGTCAGAACTGGATTATGCCGTCGAATCCTGCCAGGTGGATTGTTTGACGGTATGCGTCGTAGTTCTTTCGAGACGGACACAATGATACTAAGTGACCTTATTTTCTGTAGATTCTCTTGAACGCTGGTGCCATTGTCACCAAATCAAGTGCTTCGACCAAGAGCAAATCAGTCCTTTTGCACGCTGTGGAGAACCAGCAGTACGACATTACTGCTTTATTGTTGAAGCACACAGCCTTGACGGATGATGGCGACAGCGAGAATGGGTGGCCTAATGCTGTGATGATGGCTTGTCAGCAAAAAAACTTGGCCATGTTAAAGCTCTTGGTTAGCCATCAAGCGGATCCCAACACTCCCAGCCACATTGAACGTACTGACAAGGATGGCAAGGTTATCAAGTTGCTGATTCATCCTATCTTCATTGCTTCTCAGATATCAGATGTGCGGTTTATAGAGGTAAATAGTACTTTTTCACCATATAAGCGTTTGTTAACACTATTGTAGACCTTGTTGAAAGCTGGAGCCAGCCCTAATGTGTATGGGCCTTGTATTGAACCTGAAAATGGGCAGTCTTGCTTTATGTACAATGTTTCTCTCAAGCACGTCAAGCACCAAGAGGTAGGAGCAGCTCACATACGCTACAGAACAAGTGAGCTCATTTCAATGTACTATAGATTTTACTCAGCCACCATGTTGATGTGAATGCTATTGACCCTACCACAAAGCGATCCATCTTTTATCAGTTCTTTTTTGGTCTCATGCCCGCTCAATCGTCGCATCTTGTACGTAAACCAAGCCCCTTCTACGAGTATGATACAACAATCTACGAAAAGATGCTTCAATTGACCTCTGGATGTCCTCAAGTCAACCAAGTTGACCCATTCACCAACATGACACCACTTGAATTTGCAATCCGAGACAAGAAGCCTTTGTTGCTACAAGTAAGTGATCCGCTAAGATTGACATGTATGTATCGCACAAACTGACACTGCTGTACAGCGTCTCTTATCTTTTGGTGCTGATCCAAACGTGCAGAGTTGCGCCAACTCTACCAACACCTCCTTTGCTCATGTAGCAAACCCTCGTGGCGTCAATCTGCCTGCTTACGTTCATGCCATCATTCAGGGCAATATGGACATCCTGGTCTCTATTTTCGACATGGCAAGCAGCAAGTTCCACTTTGACTTCGAATGGAAAGACGATCAAGGCAACAATCTTCTTTCTTACGCTGATGGTATTGTCAGTGGCCACTCCCATTGCAACGTCAATATCATGAAGCGAGTGGCTGATCAACTCACAAAGCCTCTACTAAACAAGCTTTTGCGTATGAAAAATGCTAAAGGTAAAGTGCACACACCTATCCGAGTACACATGGAAAAGCGCTGACTATTATATCTAGGAATTGCGCCTATTGTTTATGCTTACCGTCGACAAGACAAGACACTGTACAAGCTGTGGGTTGAGTTAGTCCCCAGTATTGCTTCATTTGCTGTCAACAACTACAGCAAGGATGATTTCCCGCAACATAGTGCTGTATCACCCATGGAAGTAGATCATATATCTTTGGTCCAAGTCGATCATGATGCTCAAATTGAGCGTGAACACTTGCAACACTTGAAGGATTTGGAAAAAGCTCAGGATGCATCAGCGCAATCCAATGAAGAAGATGATAAGCTCAAGGTAGATCTTTACGCTAACCTGAGTAAAGTGGGTGTGCTTGCCATGGATGCATCGGATCAGCCTTATGATATCATGCTGATGAAGGTGGAATTGAAGAGTTGGGGGTCCACAGATACATCGTAAGTGTTTGAGAAGCATATATGTAGTCAATGACCTAACCACATCATAGCTTCTACAAGCTGAGCGTTATTTTCAACAAAGTATTGAGTGTGTACGTTCTCTGGACTCGTTGGGGACCTTTTGGGCAGGAAGGACAGCACCAAAAGACGCCCTTTTTGACAAAAGAAGAAGCCGTGGTTGAATTCAAGTCGATTTTCAAGGCGAAAACAGGCAACAACTGGGAAGGCCATGACACATCTTTTGAGCCCAAGCCCAATCGTTATGAAATCATGAAGATAGCACACCATCCCAAGGATGCCATCATTGATAACTTTGATTTCCTAGACTCATCGGTTCCCTCTGATTTGACTGAAGAGATTGCCAATGTCATGAAATTGATCTGCAACTATACTTACCTCTCTCGCGTCTACTCTGATACTCGCATCGATATGCCTTTGGGTCAAGTGCCTCAGAAGCGTATTGAAGATGCTCGTGATTTGTTGAATGAGACCTATGAGTTGATCAAAACGTACAAGCAATTAAAGAGTTGTTATTCTGACAAGGCAAAGATTCAAGAGTCCAAAGGTAAGCTTGACACAGAGAACAAAAACGCCATATCTTATACATGGAATATAGTATACGCTTTCAAGATTGCCCAAAAGTGTGTTGCTTATTCCCGTCTGTTGCCTCGTCATGGTGAAGCAAATCAAGCCATTCGATCACTGTACAACCACGACAACAGTGTGATCAGAGATGAGCTTTCCAAGCTTGCTGATCTCAGCTACGTTGGTTTTGCAGCAAATGTCATTTTAGCAGCCAAGCACCATGTCGACTCGATCAATCCACTAGACTATGCATTCCGCACACTTGATTGCTCTTTGAAATCCATGTCGCCTTCTGATGACCTGAATGAATACCAACTGGTTACCAAATACATGAACTCTACCTCTAAATCCAAGTTTGACCTAGTCCATCTCTTTGCTGTGAATAGAGCTGACGAAGCAGCCAGATTTCGTCCTTTTGAAAAGGAAGCAAATCGTAAATTATTGTGGCATGGCTCTCGTGTTGGTAACTTTATGGGTATTCTCAAACAGGGGCTTCGAGCCACACCTCGTACTTCGAGCAAAAATGTAAGTGGATGCTGGTGTTGTGTACAAGATTGCATGCTAATTTTATAAAAATGTAGGGTGCTTTGCTGGGCGATGGTATCTACTTTGCAGACACATTCTCCAAATCATTAAACTATTCAACAGAAATTTTCGGGAGCCACAGATCAGCCTACAGATTGATGTTGCTTTGCGAAGTAGCCTTGGGCAAAGAAAAGGTGTATGGAGAAAACAGTGGTGAAATAGATCAAGAGTGCGATTCAATGAAAGGGAAAGGTCAAAACATTCCAGATCCTGAGAATACTGTCTATGATGAGAGTGGTGTAAGTATAAACTCTATAAATGATGCTATAGAATAACCAACTCATTCTTCAATGATAGCTGTGTGTTCCAATTGGGCCTTGCATTCCCAACACTCAGCAAACTACTCAAGATACCCAAAATCAACTGTTTGGATACAGTGCTCCAGTTACACTCAATTTCAATGAATGGGCCGTCTACAATGAACACCGCGTCAAGATTCGCTATCTTTTGATCATCAAAGAAGCCAATAGCTGCTCCCTTTGTCTTGCTCCCAACGTTCAGAAACATTTACTGAAGCCCTACCGTGATCAAAAGTTCAATGACTACAACTTCAAAGGATTCAACGTGTACGAATCTGAAGTTGTCAAGGCCTACCTTACGCACGCAAACAAAACCCCTCAAGATATATACAAGGAAGATGTGGAACACTTTGTTAGCACCAAGGCCTACAGTAAGTTGGTCCAAGTTGCCACTAAGCACATTTGACTGATTTCATCTTTTAGAGAATAAATGGGATACACCTTTGGATTTGCAAAAGGACAGCAAAATCTGCTACGATTGTGCAAAGAAAATCACCACTGTGCTTTTGGATAGACGAATTTCACGCAACAAGGAATCAAATAAGATCATTGGTAAGAGCATTAGTTGTCACTGGTGAACTGAATCGAGATCTCACACATATCTAATAGCCAAAATTAACAAGAAACCTCGCTGCAAGTACGGTAAAGAATGCCGCACTCAATCCAAGATTGACCATGCCGCAAAGTACAAGCATTGGTTTATGAAGAACATCTCTGATGCACCTCTCAATCCACTCATGCAACTTATGGGAGGACCCTTGTCCAGACACAGCGACCTAGATGACGACGACTATAAATCTGAAGATATTGAAGACACTAACGAGGAATCCAATGAGGAGGAAGGCGAAGATCATATGGATACTGATGATGATTTGATGGATCTCGACGACAATTAAACTATATACTACGTTCCCAATCTATGCAAAACAATCTATGAATTAATAAATATGACATTTGACACTCAAATATGGAATTTCGCAGCAAACAATGCTAAAATTCGGTTTGATTTTCCCTATTTCAAATGTTGCAGGAAGAGACAGAACTTTTATCACATTTCATTAATGCAGATTACTAGCTTGGAGATGGTTATTTGATCTGTCGATCTCTTGGAACATGCGGTTGTCGTGACTGTGGCAAAAAGGCAATGCCATTTCATTTAATACGTGGGGATGCTTGTTTCTTGACCCCTATTACAAATGTTCTCTCGTCCACTGCTACGTTCTTTGAGGATAAATTCTGGTAAGCTACTATGCATGATTATTCATCAAAAACTAGTATCAAATATCTAATACGCATGTTTGATTAGGTGCATTCCTGCATAGTTTGCCAATTGCAAGATCCATTCACCTTTCTCGAGCATGTCTTGTCAAAGCAGCTGAAAAGACCAAAGTTAATGGTAAATGCAATTGCAACCATCATCACAACACAACGCTTATTATTTTACTGACCATAGATGTTTCCAAGACAAACGAGCATGACCACAGAGCCATTGGCAAGGCTCAGTCATTATTCATGATCCACCCTGTCAGCCCTGGTTCCATTTTCATGTTACCTCACGGCACTCGCATTGTACACAAACTACAGGATTTCTTGAGAACTGAATACGCTCGATATGGATACGATGAAGTTATGACGCCCTTGATTTACAAAAAGGAATTATGGGAGACAAGTGGCCATTGGCAAAATTACATGGAAGATATGTTTATGGTGAAGAGTGGACGTGAACAGACATGCACTCATGAGCACGACCACCACAAGGGTGATGCATTGATTGATACCGATGAAGGCCTCTTTGGTTTGAAGCCCATGAACTGTCCTGGCCATTGTTTGATTTTTGACAGCACTCCTAAATCGTATCGTGATCTTCCCATTCGATTGGCTGATTTCAGCCCTCTTCATAGGTAAGAAATCTGGATTTTGCGCTTTACACGTGGAGGGACTCAATAGATGAATACTACTAGAAACGAAGCATCAGGCGCTTTGTCCGGTTTAACTAGAGTCAGAAGATTCCACCAAGACGATGCTCATATTTTCTGCGCTGAGAAACACATTGAGCAAGAAATTGCATCTTGTCTATCCTTTGTGGATCGTGTTTACAAGGCATTCAAGTTTCCTCATTACGACTTGACACTGTCTACGCGCCCTGAATCACAGTATATTGGATCAATAGAAGAATGGGAGCATGCTGAAGCATCACTTACACAGGCATTGAACGGTACTGGACGTCCATGGTCCATCAAGGAGGGAGATGGTGCATTTTACGGACCCAAGATTGATATCATGGTCAAAGACTCAAGCGGAAAATCACATCAAACAGCCACTATTCAACTTGATTTCCAATTGCCTAGACGATTTGGATTAAAATATGTAGATGAAAACGACGTATCACAAACACCTGTCATTGTGCATCGCGCCATTCTTGGATCCATTGAACGTATGATGGCCATCTTGATTGAGCACACAGGAGGAAAATGGCCATTCTGGTTGAGTCCTCGTCAAGGCGTTGTTATCCCTGTGTCTACTCAATTTTCTGATTACGCTAAAAAGGTAGCACAATCCTTGTCTTTGGGTGAAGATCACGAATCCAGCACTTCTCATGAACAATACTATGTCGATGTCGATTCCTCTCCTCGTGATCGACTCAACAAGATGATTCGTCAAGCTCAACTTCAGCAATACAACTTTATCTTTGTCGTCGGTCAAAAGGAGATGGATGAGGGGACCGTCAATGTCAGAACTCGTAAGGGTGAGGTCTTGGGCACAATGGGCGTGGATCAAGTTCGCAAAATGTTTGCTTCCATGACTAAAAATTTAGAGTAAAAAAAAAAATAAGAAAGAGTCCTAGATGTATATAATAAATGTAACTTTAAACTATCATTCTTGCACTATTCTAGATCAGAGATGCTCTGACGTTTATAAAATTGAATTTGATACTACAGATCATTCTGCTTCAAAATGATGAGCTCTCCTGAAGAAAAGGGTATAAAGAAACAGGTTCCCTTACAGGATGGCACATTCTTATCTGTCAGTATATGACGTTCAAGCTACATGCAATATTTTAAGCAGGCTCTGTTTCATGGTATATACTCGAACTAGCCGACAATCTCATTACACTTAATGACGGCGTCGCCCTGCGGGCTCTGGCCAAAGACATTCTAAATCAGAGTTAATAAAATGTGGTATGTCAAGTAGGCTTTAAACAATCAATTAACCATGAAAGAAAGGTTATATTAGAGCCAGGAGGAGGAGGAGAGGAGGTATCTCCCTAAGCACCCTTTTTGCTTACACCGATATCAAACGAAGTCTATTATTGAGACGATGTGAAAGAAAGTTCAAGTTTTATGCAGCATTTGTACACCACAATCTCTGCCTTCTGATAGTAGAATTGTCATACCATTCGCTGCTGTTGATACTCTTAAGCTGGTGATATAAAGCTGGTCATGCGTAAATACAGAACTTGTAAGATCTACAACAATTTTTTTTGAGATATTGTCATTGCAAAAGACACCTTTGTAAGCAAAACCCCCAACAAAAGCCCAAAAAAAAGACGTTCAGGTTAATTGATTGTCCTTTTAGTCTTATGATCTTCATTTAATCAGCATCGCAATCAGCGTCGTAATCGCCATTGCCATCATCATTGTTATCATCAGAAAGGCAGTTGGGTCAGCCAGCAGCAACACCGCCGTCAAAATTAATTCAAACTCAGTATATTTTTTCTGTTCAAGATTGGACAGATTTTGTTTCTTTTCGACTTCTTTAATCTGTTGTGCGATATTCGACTATATAAACTGTCATGATCACCATATGCTTCCTAATACATTCTTGAAGTACTTTTCAAGGCGCTTCCAATGGTGCCATTTGTAATAAATGTTTTGACTGAAATTATTGAGAAATTTGATAAAATTTGAAATGAGGTTTTTAGCGAAAATAGCCAGACTTTGCGTATGAAAATCTCATAAAAGTGGTTTCAGAGACTGCTTTGGATCGAGAGAAACATTTTGATTTGATATATACCATAGTAAAAGTCTTCATTTTCAAGGTGAAAAAAGCGATCGTTTGATTTTCGATGAAAACCGTGAGGAGTACCTCATGCTTTTTGGTCGATTTTCGGTCATGTTTTTTTGATCCCCAAAAAGCTGAGCAAAGGTGTCAGGAAGTAAGTACTAATCGAGAGCAATTATTTGGTGTCACTCCAGTGGCTCAGAAAGGTCTACATGTCAAGATTTGAAGGCTTGAAAGCTGTCAAATTTGAATATGTTTTTGCTTTATAGCTTTTATTTGCACGGCATGAATCACATTTTTTGAAGCTTAAATTTTCTAGAAGGGCAGTTCTGCAGCCTGCACAATTTCTAATTCGAACAGGAGGCATATTGACTTTGGTAAATTTAATTCCTGTCAATTTCAATCCGTAATGTTTTTGGTAAGCTTATTTTTAATGGGAATAAGAACCCAAATTAGCTGCTTGTTCGAATACTATGGCTTCACGCCTTCGATTTGATACGATCAATAAAAATCTAATATAAATTAATGTTGCCAAATGTTGAACTAAATGTCTGATTGTCATGGTTTTGAATCTTCACTTCATTACGGTAAAACCTCTTATAACATTAGATACGTTATGTTCTTGGGTAGGGGCTTCTGATCTCTGAGCGTTCACTCCGTTGTTTCTTTTCATAGGTTTCTATTATATATTAGAGAAGTCCCTTCCAAAATGTCCAAAACTGATTTTCTATTTTGCCCTAGGGGAAGACTTCTATACAATCTAAATGACTTTGTAGGTAGCTCAAAAACGCTCAACTGAATGTTGTTGTACAAAAATATTCCTTTATATGGGAATTACATATACAGTCACCTTCTAAAAAAGGCAAAAGTGTGCGCTTAGGGAAGTTTTTTTGAAGTATGTCTATAATGTTTTTGCTGCTCCACTTTAACATGAATCGGGGATGTAGCTCAAATGGTAGAGCGCTCGCTTAGCATGCGAGAGGCACTGGGATCGACGCCCAGCTTCTCCACTATTCTCTCTTTTTTTTAAAAAAATTCAGATAACGTTACACTCCATGCATTTAAAGAGACATCTATGATGTTTGGAACCTTCTTCCAACTCAATGTCAATGCTTGAATCATTTTACATCCTAGAGCAGGTACCTTAGGCAGTTTTCCTTGCTGGTTAGATTATTAAAGCATTTATTATTGATAAGTTAAAGAGTAAAAAAGTGTAAAAAAAAAAAAAAACTAAAAAGGAGAGTTAGGGTATAAACTGTATGACTATTATTCAAACACTGGTAGCTTTTTGTGATGATGGTAAAAGCGATGTAGACATGGAGCGATGTTTTGAAGAATGGCCTTGAACTCGCTCATGTCTTCGCAGAGCATCCATTCGAGTGAACTTTTTGCCACATTTATCACAATAGCAGAACGGTCTGTTTTCAAGATGAATTGTTTGATGGCGAGAGAGATCATAAGATCTTCTAAAGGTTTGCCCGCAAACTTTGCCAGGACCAGTGACATGTTCACATAGATGGAGAGTATTTTGTTGGATATTATGCGCGTGATGTGTACTTGCAACGCTTGCACGGGTTCTTTTGTTGTTGGTATTGAATTGCTGCTGCTGCTGATGTTGGTGAAGATGAAGATGATGACTATGAATAGGTGCAAGTTGAGGATGAATGGGTTGATGCATGATGGGCGATGTAATGGATGAGATGGCAGGCAAAGTAGGTGCAGCAGTCGTAGCAGAAGCAGAATGAATTCTTGGAAATGGAGATGTAGGAGGAGAAGATGGCAGAGGAGCAGTAGAAGATCTCCTTATTTCCAATGGATGTAAACCATGGCTAATTCTATTATTATGATCCAAATTGATGCTATTTCGTAAGGAAGGTAAAGGAGAAGTGGATGGATCAGGCAATTTACGAGGATGGTCTGCTGACATGATTCTTTGCTTCTTTCTGTGAGGTTGCTGGTCTTGTTCATCGTCAATGTTTTCCAGTGATATAGCCGAGTCTTTTCTCTCAGTGTTCAAATCATCTGTAGTGTTGCTACTGAATCGTCTAACATGACTCAATCTGAAGCAATTAGTGCTGTTGTTATCTGGCGACGACAATATAGCAGGAGTCCATCTTAGAACTGTCGGTTTAATAACCGGTACTGCATCGTTTGCTGGAGAGAACATTTTAGATTTACTGCTATTCATTGGTTCAACAGACGAATGTCGACGTGAATGCAGGTCATCTGTCAAAATACTCATTTAATTGCTTTGAAAGGTGCTTGTTCTATTTTGAATTTACCTAAATTTTGTACCACTGTCATAGATGTATTCTTGGGTTGATCGTCTTTGTGATAGAATACAATCTCAAGTCTTTGTTGCTTGTCTGATTTCAATGCATGTTGAAGGCTTGCATTGTCGATGATGATGATTGAATGGTCGGCGGTTGCAATGCGATAATCAGACATGTCCTGCTTCTGTATGAAATGTCAATTTTATGATCAGCAAGCATAACTTATGTGCAACTTGCCTCTGTAATGCGCTGAATCTTTCTTTGCAAGTCATCGAATGTTGGTTCTTTTTCCTTTAAGGCTACTAAATGAATAGGATGAAACTGGCAAGATTCTTGTATTAAAACTCTATATGTTGAACGCTTCTATGAGATACCACATCATTTACATTAACATATGCTTGATATACCTTAATCTGTAAATAGTCTTGAACATGATCATTATTAGAGAAGATGGGACGTTAATATTAGTGCTTAATGAGTGTAGAGAATTGGTTTTAAAGAGTGGAAAGGGTTTGGTCTGAGGAAAAGAGAAAAAAGAAGAGGAAATCAAAAGAAAAAGAGAAACAGCACTCTAAATGAACAGTTATATGTTGCAAAGGAAAGGGGTGGCAAATAGTTTGTGTGCAAAAGGAGATCCATCTAGCCTTTGTGTGATTTAGTCTTATTCTAAAATGAACTGTGGTTTTGCCTTTTGTGAGCAATAGTTTCCTTATAATTGTGTTGTATAACTAGTTTTTGCTCCTATTTCAGAGCGTTTTACCATGGTTTTTTACTTAATAGCATGTGGCAATATCTTGTTTTTATACAAATGTATATTTATAAACACATTAATCGTAGGTAGAACGTGAATAGATGTACAGCTTGTACAAAAGTGAATGATAAACAAAGGGAAAGTGTCTCCTTTTCCGTCTTTTTTTGATGATGGATATGGCAACATATATACTTGCTACCTTTGACATGTTGCCACAAGCAAAGCCCGAAGGAAAAAGAGCAGACGCACCATAAAAAAAGGCCTTGATAGGCATAGCATCCCATGTGCTCTTTGATGTAGAATAACTTTAAAAAGAGGGTAAGGGAAAGTCATTCATATGATTCATCTATTACTACACTCTCCTATACTACAGGGCAAAAATGAATTTTATATATAAAGCACACGTTTTGTAGCCATCTCCTTATACACAACCGTATTCAACATGTTGTCAAAGCAAATTGAACCCTGGAAAGCGTGTAACATGGTAAGATAATAATGGCAATCATCCATAAACTCGCGCTACAAATTGGTTCGCATAAACTATAGCATTGTGTACAACCAAACTAAGAGCTAAATTCATTTGCATTTCAAGGAGCAATCTCGAAAGAATTGACTCCTCTCTCTCTTCTTAATATAGACTTCTATACAAAAACAGAAAGCCTATTGCTCTTCTCCTAATATACAGAGACCTCTAAATGAATGGGCTAGATTGCATGTATTTCTAGACAGCTATCTCTTAGTTCAATTGGATTCCATGCATAGGAGATGGTGGCCGGCGATTTGCATCAAGGGGATTCATGTTGTATATAGGCAGTCGATATGTTTGCCTTAAACAGGTTTTACATTTAAACATTTATATCGAATGTGCTGCCATATGCAAGGGATACCTCATTGTGATCTACAACCATCTCGCACAGATATTTATTGTACGACACAATGGTACTTATGTTGCAACTGTCAAACAAAGTTGAGCATGCTTTTCATTTTTGGTCCAGTAGCCATGCGATGGACAGCGTGGGCCAATACTTATGGAGTGGACCCCCACATCCAGGTGCACTACAAGATGATATGAAACATCCTCATGGCTACAGATTGCTCCTTTCCCAAGCACTCTTCAAAAAAGGATCTTTACATGCCCCTAGATACAAATCAGTGTGTGATATAAAATTGTGTATAATACAAAAAGATACAAAAGAAGAAGTGGAGAGAGTGTTTGTGTGTGTGAGAGAGAGAGAGAGACCCTTTATTTTTCCTTGTTTGATTTGCGAATAGGTCTTTACTCCTCTTTCTCTGCCCCCTTCTTCTTTTTTTTGTACCCCTTTTATCTTTTGCTATTCTTTCTTGATTTTATTATTGTTCATAAGTAGTAATCACATCGTCAATCTTCAAAATCATCTTGACTAATTGAGTGGCCAACAAGTATTGTTGACGCTTCGAAATCAAAGGATCATATACATGTTGATCTTTCATGTCTAGTGCAATGTCATCAGTAAGTACATAGTCAGTTAAACTCCTAATCCTCGTTATCTTACCATTAGAACCCTTATTGAGACAATCAATACCGAGTTTGGAATTGCCAGTAGTTGCCTGTTCTGCCTTGACTTGAGCCAAAGTTTCAATAGGAGAGAGACCAGAGTTTTCTGAGAGTGCAAGAGGTGTGGCATCTAATGCGTCAGCAAATGCGCGCATAGCATACTGCTCAATTGTGGAAATCTCGTCAGCAACCTTTGCAACAGCAAGAGAACAACTGATTTCAGCAGCACCGCCACCATAGACAACACGGTTATCACGAACCAAGTTGCGGACAGCACACATGGCATCATGGAGAGATCGCTTGGCTTCGTCAATAATCATCTTGTTACCACCACGGACGAATACAGTGACAGCGCGACTATTAGCGCATTCTTCAATGACCAACATGCGGTCTTTGGTGGTGCCGAAGCTCAATTCACGGACAACACCAGCCTTACCCAACTTGTCAGCAGATAAATCTTCAAAACGAGGGACGATACGACCGTTGGTAGCAATAGCAATCAACTCAATTTCAGGGCCACCAACCCATCTCACAGCAGGTAACTTGTTTTGTAACAATAAGTGATTTGCCTCGTCATCGAAACCCCATTGACAGATAACCAAGTTGGCGCCAGAGTTCTTTACTTGATCAATCATCAAACTGAACTTTTCCTTTTCGTAGGCCTTCAACTTTTCGTATTCTTCGACAGATGTAATGTCGAGCTTGTGCTTGGTCTTGGGTCTTGGTGGTTCGAATGCACAGGTCAAAATGGCAATCTTGGCATCGTGTACTTCACGAGGCATTTGGGGATGGGACATGTCCTTATCAATGACAACACCCTTCACCAAAATGGTATCTTCCAAAGAGCCACCCACTTTACCGTCCACCTTGATCAACTCGAAATCAACATCTTTACGCTCCAAATCAGCAACTGACAAAACTGCATTGACAGCGATATCAGCATATTGTTCGTGGAATTTAGAAACGCTATTATCAATGACACATATTAGACTTTACACGCGCGCTTGTACAGCCACTGTCAACACTTACATTTTACTGCCAAGACTGGTCATGGCAGTCTTCTTCAAATTGGAGACGTTGTCTTTGCTGAATTCAATGGTATCTGAAATTTCATCCAAATGCTTGACGGCAACAGCACAGGCGCGTTCGAAACCATCGGCAATACGAATAGGATGGATACCACGATCCAAGAGCTGCTCACATTGTTCCAACAAGGCACCGGCAAGCACAACAACACCTGTAGTACCATCACCAATTTCTTGATCTTGACTTTGGGATAATTGAACGAGCAATTTGGCGATTTGGTGTTCAACAGCCATTTGATCGAGGATGGTAGCACCGTCGTTGGTGACAGTAATATCACCATCAGGGGAAATCAAGATTTTATCAAGACCTACACAGCAGAATTAGCTTATTTGCTATAGCCATGTCATATTGATCTTACCGCGAGGGCCAAGAGAGGTTTTGATAATGTTGGATACAGTCTTTGCAGCGAGGATATGAGACTATATAGAAAAACATCAACATCAACATGTCACGTTCAACACTCTTGTCACTTACACGAATAGCAGCGAGACCACTCAATCTTGACTTTTGTTGACCTTCTCTCACAATGATGAAGGGTCTGCCATATTCATCAGTAGCGTAAACAGCAGAATTAGGATCGATATTGGCTGCCATATTTGATTTTGAACAAGGAAAAATGACAAGGGGAACAAGAGAGAAGATGAAAGAATTTTTGGAATAAAACGCGCAACATTTGATGGATGGGATGTCCCGAGTCACTTACTACTGGACGCACACACTCACAAAGCTGCTAGTCAAGCTTATTTACCACCTTCATCGTAGCTCGAAAAGGGAGTTGTGCAGCCAAAAAGAAGCAGCAACCAATGAGCAAGGCACGAGATTATTGAGCTTGGTTTGTATATTCAAATGTTGCCGCTTTGTTTATACGGACACAGACAAAGACAAAAGCTATCGATGCTCTCGCCAGGATCAGATAGAGGGAAGGGATCAGAACTGATGTGGTTAAATGAATGAACATCTTGGATTTCTTTGATACAAGATCACATCCGCTTGCACTTGAGAGTTGTACGACAAATGGTGCTTTGAAAGAACCCAGCCGACATATACCAACAAAGATGCCATGCTTGGTTTAGCTGAATCTATCTCATATACTGGAGATGTGGTCCTTTGTGTCATGGCCAATCAATATGAAACCGAGCCCTTTGTCGATTGCTAATTGATATCCACTCAATAATGAAGCCTATCACTGGATTTACCTCCTAGATGAGATTGCTACTGCTACTGGGTTGGTCGTGCAGCTATCAATGAGCTAGTGTTTCATGTTTTGTGTTGCGATTAGTATTGGTATGGCAACAAAACTTGCGTCTATTTGACTGGTATGTGTGCATGAGAAGGTAATGCTCATCTTTTCTTTCGCAATTCCTTAGTCTTACCAAATCTTTGGCAGATACAATCATTATGAGAATTGTTTGCAGCATTTGTCTGGATGAAGTCGGCGATTCACTGCTCGTATTCACGAATTGCGGCCATGTTTTTGATAGAGACTGGTAATGTTTGTGCTTTATCCACATTGACCTGTATTCATGTGTTGAACATTTAGTGCCATGGCCTGCTTGAATACAAGCGACAAGTGTCCAATCTGCCGCAAGTACGTCTACAACTCAAATTTCGATCTAAAGCAACCTTTTTACCGTGTCTACCTGTCGACAGATAACGACAATAAAAGCAGCAAAAGCGCCAGAGAGTGCGAAGAGCTTCAAGAAAAGCTCGCAGCAGCTAATATGCGTCTGTCAATTCTACAATCAGGTCTCAGCAATGCAAGGCATGATATCAATACTGTTGTCCAGAATTTCAAAAGCGCGATGGAGGCATCAAAAGCGTATAAAAGCAAGTTGGACGCTACTCTCGAGGAACTAGCAACGCTCAAGACGACAAACAGCAACCTTCAACAGCAAATCAATGCTGAAGAAGCTTTGATAAAAGACTTGAAAAAGAGCAAAAAAACTCTTTTACGCAGCCAAAAGGCCTTGGAAGAGAGCAATGACATCTTGAAAGAACAAATAGTAAGAAAAAACGCATTGGTATTCAAACAATATTACCAACTGACCAACAAATCCAACTGTCTCTCCTGCAAAAAGCTGCGATCTCCGCATGACAACGATGATAACGTCGATGAGTGGAAATCAACACCCAAAAATCTGGATAATTTGTCTTGCTCTCAGCTAAGAGCACAGTGTTATAATTTGCAAGAAAAATACGATTGTCTCGCCACGGTACATTGTGAAATGATCAAAGCCAGCTCTGGCTTGACCGAGTCAGCTCACGACAAAATGTACATCAGAAACTTGGAGACCCAATTGAAAGAATCCAAGATCAGGCAAGTCCAGCTTGAATCCTTGTTTGGACGCACCGAAATGGTACAGCAACTGGCAAAGGAGTTGATCAGTGTAAAGCAAAAGCAGCTCAAATTGGAAGCGGATCTTGAGCAAATGTCAGAAGCCAAACGTGCTCTCTTTGACCAAAAGAACCAGGTTGAAGAATCCTTGGACAGAGCATTGGAAGCCATCCTCACACTTCAAAATCAAAAAGAAGAGAGCATCAAGGAGATCAGCGAATTGCAGACAAGATTGACAGAAGCAACAGACGCAAAGCTCATATTGCAGAAACAGTTGAAATCCTCAAAGAAACGAGCTAGACGGCTGCAAATTGCCAAGGAAAAAGCACAGGCAGACAGCGAGAACATTGTGAACAAGATGAATCTTCTTGCAGTTCAATATTTTTCATTTGAAAAGGCTTTTCGTGACTACATTGCCAACAGAAACAATGGGAATAGTGATGACTGAACATTGACAGCCTAATCTCGATTTGCAGACAGTTTTGCAAACCTTCCTCCATCTATATACATACATCTTTAACATTTTCAATTTCATATCCTCATCCTTGTATTTATTGTATTTATCTATCAATAAAGAAAAGCCTCATCAAATCACAAAAATCGTTCACGTAAAATTAGGCACAAACATGGTGAGCCGGTAAAAACCAAGCTAGCAGAGGGTATTACATCTCACGTTTGGCCGAAAATCCTCTTCTTTCGCTTCTGATACAGTAGAATCCAACATTTAGTAAGACAGTACTGCCTGCGTTGTATTCAGCCGGGATAGTAAAAGAATTAGTACGAAATGTTCAAGAAAACTTGCGTGAATACAATCATAGTGAAAATGACAATGAGACCATCAAAATTGTGCTGCGTATTCTACCAGTAAGCGGCAGCGAAGGAGGCATAGCTGTTTCACGCCTTATCTTGATGCTATACGTTGATGGTCATGACGACGCCAAGCTTATCATTCCCGAGATATCAACATCAACCGAGACTCACGCAAAGAAGAAAAGCAAGCAAGCATCTCATTGAAAGTGACATGTACCCTCTTTCCTTCCCCATAGCAAAACGTACTCTTATGATAGCCTTATTATAAATAAAGCACACTGTAGTGATGCATACGTGCCTAATTCACGGATTTGCAAGCTGCGTATCTCAGGACCAAAAGCTGTCATTGCTTGCCATTGAGATTTTTAGTGTAAATGCGTGGCAAGAGTCTACAAATGAAGCCCCTCAAATAAACCATACACGACTGTTTCTTATGCTGATTGATAGTGCAAATCAAGATCGCCTCGAGTAGCTTCCTGGATCTGTCAAATGCGCCTATTGACATGCTCAACAGCCTGATGAGGTATGCGTTCAGAATGCTACAATTAGCACTGAAGACACACTGTATCTCTTTGGTGGTTTCCAAATATTCTGAATCACAGGGCCCGACAGTTTATTTTTAGCTCTGCTAAACACTAAACAATATAGACTTTGTCATGCTCTGATGTTTGAATTGAACGCCGTGGATATCAGTGCCAGATATGAGCAGACAAACGCCATTATAGATGGGTAAATAACGTACATTGGCTTAGGTTGCTGCTCAACGTGTTCAAAACAGTACAAACAAACACAGCCATGGTTGAGGAAGTTGGTCGGTGTAACTGTGGCGTTTTCATGATATATTTTAGATAGAAAGGGCGGTTGAAATCTTAGCAAATCCTTAATTGTTTCTCAAGAGTTCTTTTTCATCTTTTTTCTTCATCTTCTTCTTCTTCTGTATCATTTGGACCATACATCACATTTATACAAATCATGAGAAGAGTGAATAGCACAGTCGGCATGGTAAGTCGAGCAGGATGAACAAGCTCCTCTTGAGTCACTAACAAACAGGCACACACTAGTCTGGAGAAATAGAGCAAGTTGTAACCAAGCTACTGAGAACGACAAAAGCTTTACTGGAAGCTCTGACTCAATGGTCTCTTATGCGTGCCTCAAACAGCGAGATATTCGACATCCATGACACATTGGAGAAGCAGTTCTTCCTCGTTTCGCAAGCATTTGAAGAAGCAAGCGTATCCATGAGGTAATTCTTGATAATAGCGCAATAGCACTAGACTCTAAAACTGTATTAGTGATTTGCAATGGATTCCTCGACAACTGCGTGATTCAGTTTCAGTTGCCATGTTGGAGCCTCCTTCACCCGCTGGATTGGATCAGTATCTGCCTCGTATTCGTGAAGTAATCGTTCATTTGTTGCATGGTCTCAAGGGCAAACAAGCTCTGCTGAGAGAGAGGGAAAGAGAGAGAGAATCACGTGGGTCTATTCGATCCAACAATACGGATTCTTGGAACAGAGAAGTACCATTAGCAGCTTTAAACAGAGGAAGTAGTTCACAACGGATCATGATGCACCCACAGCCACCTTCGTCGCCTCCTTTACCACCTCATCCTCCTATTTCACCTCGAATGGCTCCTTCTGGAGAATATGAGCCATGGTCAGGTGGCATGCCACGCCCATCTATGCCTACCAATGACCTCTCATCTCGCATTATGCCACGTAACAGCTCATCAGCCCATAGATCCTACTCGCCATCCAATTCACCCAACATGCAAAAGCAGCCCTTACCACTGCCTACTCGTTCCACATCTTCCAATCGCAGTAATCCTGCTCAACAGATGCCATCTCCTCCTCCACCTCCACCACCTCCTATTATGCCTGCTGCTGCTCCTACTCCTCTTGCAAGACAAGACACACAATCATTTGACGAAAGCGATCCCAATACAGCTAGTGCATTGGCTGCACTGAAGCGACAGGAGAATTTAGCTCGTAGGTCGTCAGTACGTCGTGCCTCCATGTTTAGAGCAGGTGGTGAGTATAGTGGTGGCAGTATATCCAGAGGTAAAGGACAGCAAATGTTTCAACCTGCTTATGAAAGTAGTAATGTACCTCCTGTACCTTCTTTGCCTACGCACAACCATTTACCCCTGAAAAATGTGGACTACACAGTGGCAACACCCACAACAGCACCCACACCCACATCTCACAGCTTGAATACAGTATCCGAAGCCAAGGAAGAGGATAACAACAAGGATGATGGAGGTAGCTTACTATGAATGCGCCTTGCGTGTGTCTGGATAGACATAGACTGACATGCTTGATAGTGTTGACATTGTTTCTGCAGATTGGCAAGGAAGTTCAAAAGGTTCAATACACTGGCGAAATCAGCATTCCTGCTTTGAACATGTTGTTTTTGGAGAAATTCAGTTATTCGGTTGGACAGAATGATTTTCCCAAAATATACGTTCGAGATCCTGTTGTAGATGTGTCCTATGAGCTTGTGGATCTGTCAGAAGTGCGCGATAAATCCATACTGTCTTTCAATATCAATGGTAATGTGCTTATATGGCTTTTCTTTCTCTTTCTATCTACTCATTATGGGCTTCTTTTACAAAGACAAAGAAGATCAAAAGGAATCTCAAAAGGAATGGCTGTCAGAAGTGACAACTGCATTCAACAAGGAGCTGAGCGAAACCCGTCGCATGTTTACAGAGCAGATGGATGAGATCAAAAAACAAATTGTGGAATCCAATATCAGAAATCAGGAAGCAGACGAGGAAAAGGAGCGCCAATTGATCCAGCAAGTGACAACACATATCTTGAGCCAACACCAGCCATTGAAACCTCCGCCAGCAGCAGCAGCAGCAGCAACAGCAGAAGAAGAACCAGAGGATGAACCCAAGGAGGAGAAAGAAACGACACTAGTGCAAGAGGCTCCCGCTACTCCAGCTGTTGAAAATGCAGGTCCCATTATATCCAAGGAGCAGTTTGAAGCCCAACGTAAAGAGATCGAGACATTACGTCGAGATGTTGCAGTACTCCGTCAATTGGAAAGAGAACTTCGTGAAGGTACAGCTTCTGTCGTTTCAGAGATTAAGGAAAAAGCAGAAAAAGTCAAGGAAGAAGCCATCAAAAAGGCAGATGCCGAGCTCAACCAGACCTCCACTGCTCGCTCACACTTGGAGGAGGGTAAAAAGAACTTATTGGACAAATCAGACAAGGTGACAAGCCGCTTAGAGGACCTCCAAGATACCATTGATCAACTCAAGTTGGATGTCACTCAACGCAAATGCCGTCCCTCTGAAGCGCAAATGACACATTGCGCTAACGAACGTAAAGCGCTCGCCGAGGAGATCGAAGAGTTTGGCAAATACATTGCTCAAGTGAAGCCACGATGGAAAAAGACCTGGGAATTGGAGCTGCAGACCATTGTCAAGGAACAACAAACGCTCAAAGATCAGGAGTATTTGTTGTCAGATATGAAGGATGATTTGGACGCTTTGTTGGAGGTGTTTGAACAGCTGGAGAAGATTTACGCTTATCAAGCCAATACAAAACCTCAACCCCGTGAATTCCGAGTAGCACCCGCAGAGGAAGGATTTGAAGGCATGTCCAGCGTGTTTAAGCAAGTGTCAACCATTGATGTGGATCATACCCGTCGCTTACGTGCCTTGGAACAGGCTGAAAAGATGAGACAGAGAGAATTGGCCAATCGCATTGATGATTTTGAAAAGGAATTGGTTGGTTTTGTTGATTCCAAAAAGTTGAAAAAGACGGGTGGAGCCATGGAGATTGATCGATTGCGTAAACAAAAGGATGAAGAGATGATGAAGGCCATGTATGCTGAAAAGAGAGCCGCTGCTGGAAGTGGTGCTTCTACACCCTCCGTCTCCACCGTGCCTGAAGAGAATGTAGAGCAAGAACAAACAGATGAAACGGCTGCAGCTGCTGCTGCAACAACAGAAGATTAAACCAAAGAATAACCACTATTTCTACTCTATTATTATACTATTATTGCTTACCCTTGTCTTTCCGCTTAGTTGCAACATTTGCGAAATAAAGCTTATTAGATTAGACGTCTTCCTTTCGGCCCTTTTTGATACAAATATATGCCAGGTTCATGCTTCTTTTCACACAATCTCTCTCCGTACATGATCAAACCGATCCAAAAGCCGAAGATGCTAATGAAATTGCCTAGACCCGCTAGACTTTTGGTTTTTTTTTATTATTGTAAAAAAAAAAAAAAAAAAAATCTAATACATGGTACGAGGTGTGGATTTGATGGATGCCAACATGAGGAGATGATTTGACTCTAATTCTTGGTCAATCTCGGCATCTATTTGCTCAAACATGGTTCTTAATTGCTCCCTGACCATGAATACATCCGAACTGCTGGGTGTTGTCTGGACCTTTGTTAATGAAGTTACTTGTTCCTCCGATGACGGCGGCTCCAATGTTTCAACCATGATTGGTAGTTGATTGGATTGATCTTTTGGTGTTACAGACATCATGTCCAGATCCATTTGATAATTGACAGTGTTGGTTGTTACGACTGTAATCATGACATCTTTGCTAAATTGTGTTGTCGATGAACTGGGTGTCATGACATGTTCCTCTTCTTCAGAGTCTTCATTGTTGGCTGTAGCAGAGGACATAAGTGAAGCAGAAGATGGCGATGGTCTGACGGAAGGAGATGTTGTATCGATCATTGGTCTCTGCTGCTTGGTGCGAACAAGCATAGAGCCGAATCTTTTGACCTTGGATAATGTGGATGAACGTTGAATTGAATTGGCATCGTACTTGTTGCCAGTGAACGTTGAGCTTCTCGTCAATTGATTTGGCTTTTGATGAAAGAATGATGTGATGGAGGAGGATGTCATGATTTTGTATGGTGCAATGGGATGAAATGGGATGAAATAAAGTATGAAAACAGTGCTCCCTTTTTAAATAGTAGTAGTGTGTCTCCGGTTACCCCAAATGACACCTTCCAAAAACAGCTCGCACACTTTTCTAATGAGCCCTCTTGTCAATACTCGAGCACTGCACAAGTGGCGTTATTTGTCAACGATTACAGTAAAGATGAAAAGCCGATCTTTTTATGTTTTGACGTAGTTTGATGACATTCAAGGTGCTATAGCAAAGCCAAAGTTCGATATGGTTAAATCTGAACGCCTGCAAGCTCCAGCATGGCAAACATCTATCCAGAACCCATTGAAAACAGACTCAAGGTGCCAAACGGCCTTATGGTAACGATAATGCCGTTCAGTGAGACAGAAAAAAGCCGACCCCCAAATCATAGCATATGGTATTGCCTGCTTGACGTTTGCCAATTACTAATTTAGCCGATCAAATACCCCATGTATGATTAGAAGGGTTCAGACAACAAGATTATTTGATTTTACCATAAACAACTCGTTTTCTTCATAAAGTGTATATCAGCTCTTCTCTAAAAGAAATAGTTTCAGTAGTTCCTTGATTGCCCTGGACAGTTTGCTATGATCGAAGAATGGATATTGACAATCCATGATGTGACGGTGCGGGAAATGGGATAAATTCAACATTCGTAATCGTATTTGCATAATGCTCTTTTACTTTTATCACTTTATACATCATGGCAAACGATATCGACACTCTTGTTGGCATGGGATTCTCCCTCGCCAAAATGTAAGTGGATCTACTTGAAAGAACCGACGCGATAACTGATGTCGAGTCATAGAAAGAAGGCCATGAAGGCAACAAATGGTGCTGGTCTTCAACCTGCCATGGATTGGTAAGCATAACAGGCGCAAATACATTACCACGAGTGACGAATCAGTGCGTATGTATAGGATTCTTGCTCATCCTGAAGTCTCTGATGAGCCAGAAGAAGAAACTACTCCTCCTCAGGTGTTAGGAAGTGCTAGTAGTTCTACTCCTGCAACGGCCAACGCCCAAGAAGAAGGTAAATATGCACAGCATTAGCTGAGCAGCAAGAGAATTCAACAGGCACGTGTAGGTGAGATCCAAGATGGCGAGCAGACTGCCCAAAGCTTGATCTGTAATGATTGTCAAAAGCTGTTCCGCGACGCTGCTGGTGCCGAGAGACATGCTACTTTTACAGGCCATCAAAACTTCGCAGAAAGCACAGAGGCCATCAAGCCATTGACAGACGAGGAAAAGAAGGAGAAACTAGCTGAATTAAAGGCTCGCATGGCAGCAAAAAGAGCAGCTCGCGAACAACAAGAAATTGCCGAACGCAAACAGTCTGAAAAGATTAGACGCAAGGCTGGACAGGATATGACTGATGCCAAGGAAGCCCTGGAAGCCAAAGAGATGAAGAAGGCATTGGACATGAAGAAGAGAGAAAAGGAACAAGAAAAGATTGCTAAAGCAAAGATCAAGGCGCAAATTGAACAAGACAAAAAGGAGCGTGCTGCAAAGAGAGAAGCAGCCAAACAAGCACATCAAGCACAAGCTCAAGCAGAGGCATCTGCTCCAGCACAACAGCCCACTGTCAAAAAGGAATACAACGAAGCAAGAATTCAAATCCGTGCCCCTGGGTCCGGGCCCATCATGCACACATTTGATGCCAATGCAACATTGAATACTGTCTTTGGCTATTTACAATCTCAAGGTCTGTCCAATGCTTTCACGTTATCCACCACATTCCCAAGAAAGACATTCAGTGATGATGATCGACAAAAGACATTAAAGGAATTGAGTAAGTGTGTGAATGTGTGTGTATGCGTTGTTATTAAGGCGTATATTAACTGTTTATTTCAACTAGATTTGGTGCCATCTGCTGCTCTTGTTTTGGCATACATTTAAAAAAAAATTTACAAATAAAAACTGATTTAAGGGTTTAGTCCAGCAAATTGTTTCTTTCGTTCGAGTGGCTATTGGAATAAGGTGGTGGATCTGGTATAGAGTTTTGGTTGGTATGGTCACCTTCATCATTATCATCCATGGTGATCAAGGTGTTGGATTGCTGATGACTGTGCATTGAATAAGCGTCACTGTCAGCATGAGGCTGTCGACTCGATGAAGCGGAAGATGACAAATGTCCACCTGCTCTTGCTAGCAAAATAGTATCGTTTTCAATGCCGTAAGCTGGAGGAGCTGGTAGTGTGCCCATGCTCGGTGCTAAACCCCACTTTTTGACATTGGCTTCGACAAACACAAATCCAGATTGACCCAAATTCACATGTATTTGACATGGTCCGTTCGCACCAATAGTAGGGAATAAATTCCAACGTAATCCAGTGTATGCATCCTCCAATCTCCTGCCATTGCGTGTAAAAAACACGGTGCCTGTTCTATGTCTATATCCAACGCCAATGATGTCTCCATGATTGAAGGGAATGCCATATGGTTTTCCGTTAAAAGGTGATGAGAAATATTTGCAGCCATTGTTTGAAAAGTATCCAATGGAGTATCGATTCCAGCCTAACCATAGCGTATATAATGAGTATACTACTCGATTTCTACTAAATCCAAATATTTACCTGGTAACCTCCATGTGGGGTATGGTTTCGTCGCAACACCTACAGATACAATAGTTGTTTCTGGCTTTTCAAACATCTTGGCCTAGCTATTGCATTAGCTTCCATCTCAAATTCCGTTTGCATAATCTAGTTACCTCCCAGTAATATACTTCTTGATGTCTAGGCAGTGGTAGGTTTGTCTGAATAGAGCATTCACCATCAATGAACTGCAATTCCGTCCTTCCAGCTACATAGATGTTTGCATCAGGCTCTCCCTCGAATTCAAACGCAGAAACCCCCTTCTCCTGAATCGATAAGAACTGTGGTGGTGTAATGTCTGTTGGTATACTATCTGGTGGATGTCTATCTTGCCAAACTAGAGAAACCATGTCAGTTTTTATCATTCTACTGTACGCAGATAGCAACTTACTCTTTGCTCTATCATAACTTAATCTTGCATCTTCTTGTAGACACGCAATTGACTCTTCAGAATCAAGCGGCCAATCGTCAAACTCTGAATAATGACCAAGCGATATCGGTAGCTCAATGGAAGACCTCGTAAAGCAAACTAAGAATACAGTAACGATGAAAAATACAACAATGCCTATAATGAATATAGTCGTAAATGAGTTGAACATGGTCAATAGATATATATATATATATATATATATATATGCAAGAAAAGAAATGAAAAGAAGAAAAAAAAGGAGAAATGGCTTTTTGCTTTACATACACAAGCTGTCTGTCACCTGATTGAAAGCGGTAGTGTGACAAGTTTGGGTTGCTTGATGCTGTAACATGTGTAGCCAAAGAGGCAAGTATCACTATCAAGATCGTCGATGTGTATACAGACAATATCAAATGAGGGGCGTCTTTCTGTCAGAACTAGTCTGCCAGTGCCGAATAAAAAAGAGCAGGGGTATCAGCGATGCATCATTCCTTCTTGATTAATGTAACCCTTCACACAAAACTATCATCAAGTATATACAAATGCTTGTAGATCTATTTACCTGACAGGGTTTTAACTTAATCTTTTGTGGTATCACAGGCAAACGACTCCTCTATTACGTCTTCTTTGACCCCATAGCTAAATACTGCGATTCCTTTGACCACAAAACTGCTCCATGTCTTTTTTGCACAAGATCCACCCACTATGCTTCTTGATATTTCAACTTTTAAGCTACCATTATGAAGTGAGAAGCTTCTTTAAGCAGCTTGTAACTGTAGATCAGACAATTCTACAATGCTTTACGTGCAAATCAGTGGAAGCAACTCGTATACCGGCACTCAACCTACTTGCGCTGCCTCTCATTACCTAAAAGGTAAGCAAAACACAGCGAAATCTGGGTGCCTTCGAACAGTGATTTCTCGAGTTGGAAGCCGTTTTAGACCGCCCGAATAGCGCCACATAATTTCTGTCATCTGGCGCTAACTTCCTGACACCTTTGCTCAACTTTTTTAGGATCGTCAAAAATCGACCAAAAATCATGAGTGATACCTCATGATTTTCATCAAAAACCAAACGATCGCTCTTTTGACCCCTAACATAGACTTTCACTATGGCATATATTGAATCAAAATGTTTCTATTGACCCAATGCAACCCCTGAAACTTTGTTTGTGAAACTTTGATATGTAAAATCTCGACATTTTCGCCAAAAACGCCATTTCATACTTCTTGGGTTTTCTCAATAAGCTTATTAAAAACATCTATTATAATTAGCACCATTGGATGCGCCTTGAAAAGTACTCCTAGAATGCATTAGGAAGTATTTTTTTTTGTAGGGGAGTCGAGCTCCAGGTTTTATTTAAAGTCCTTAAAATGTCATACTGAGGGATAGAAAAGACTGTTGGTGGACCCAATGTCTGCAATGAAGGGGAATAAGATATATAATGAACTAAGTTGGGAAAGAAATCTACTACTAATCAGGTGCGACACCTAGAGCCAATACAATCATGCGAATCGTCAAAATATGGATACTGCATAAGAGCACAAAACAGCAAACGAGGACATCAGTACTATGTCAAAATAATCACCAAAAATGCATTCACTGAGATTTGAACCGGGATCATCCAGATGGCATGTTGGATGCTTAATCACTTTGCCCTACCACCACAGGCTGCATGAGGAAGTATGGGGTGATCATCACACTTTACATAGTCGAATCTTGCAAAATAATTTTTTTTGTAGGGCAATTGTATTGCTTTATTTAAAGTCCTTTTACGTACGCCTATTAGATGGGAGAGGAAAAAAGACTGGATATATATTGGGGGGACTAATTATGGAGACTGATCTAAGGTTTCTTGGAAATGTAAGGTATCTAATGAGCTACGAAGTGATGAGAGTAAAATTGATGGTAGGAAAGGTTTGTCCTGGAATGTAAACTGGTAGTGGTGATACCATATAGTTTGTAGCATGCAGGCGAAAACCTGGTAAGCAGAGAGATTCGGATAGATTGAATGATCTTGACGAGAAGGGTTGTGTTCGAAAAGAAGGAATTTCTGGAAGTTTTGGTAACTGTTTTGGGAGATGAGAGGGGGCATGTAAATGGAGAGGGCGGAAGACCAAAAGGATCGTTTGTGGGGACAGGCAAAGAGGAAGTGTTCCAATGTTTCGGTGGATGAGTGGCAGATCCTACAAAAGGGATGGTGGATATGAGGTTGCCGTTCATGAAGAATGTCTCTTGTGGCGACTTTATTATGAAGGATGCGGAACCAGGTGAATCTTGCAAAATAAGTCGGCAAAGTTGCAAATCGATCAAAAAATTCCCATTTCGAGTAGAAATTTACAATAGAAGATTGAATTATTTTTTGGTGACAAATGTGCGCATTTCTTAAAGAATCTGATGCTCCAGAATCTCCAAATTGCAGAACATAATTTCCATCGTCACTGGAGGCTATACAATGAGCCAGTAACTCATTTTCTTCTAGAGAGAGTCCCTCAACCTGAATCATTTAATGATAGAGATGTCTTTACAGAAAAAGGGACTGAGATGAATGATTTGGCTGAGGAGGAGTATTTTAGACAAGTCTTTGAAGCAGAAGAACGAGAGAAACACCATTGTAATTTGGATCGCTCTTGTGATCAGGGATCTCTCCTCACTCTGAAGTGTCTAATACATTAAATGATAGGTAAGAAATGAACTTGACCACAGCCAGAACAGTCATTAATGATCTCGATGTGTGTCTCTCTCTATTTGCCCCACTTCAGAATATCATTGTTAGGCAAATAGTAAGAGATTTACTGATGGGCTGATCGCCTTCCGAATTGCAGAATCCTTCACAATTTACCCCTCATGATAGACTTACAACAGCGATGGCTAATGCTTCAGCTGGGAATTTGTCTCGCGGTAGTCCCAAGAGACAGGGCAAACCGTCTTGGTGGTAATAACCGTCGTGGAGGTAAAAGTCAATCATCCACTAAAGCGGCGCTAGACCCGAGCCAATTCAAGTTAATTACATCCAGGCTTAAAAATTAAAAGGGGTCTCATTTGGATCCGTTACAATCGAAAATCATATCAATTCAATGATACAAGCGAAATAATGAGACAAAGCCATGAATTGATAAAGATAAAATCAAAATTCCCTTGTGAATGTTCGCGCAGTTCATGAATAAACAGGGCTCAAAAAGGATTTCTGCCAAGGGATAAAATAGCATGAGCTCACTCCATCCATCAAAATGTTTGAGGTTCGATTGACGCAGATTGACGCATTGAGGAAGATTAATGGTAAATGCACCCGCTATTAACATGTTGACTGAAGCTCTTTTTTTCTTCAGTTATTGTAAAAAAAAAAAAAAAAAAAAAAAAAAAAACTATATGGATGGGGAGCCCAGAATCAACGCTTTTTACTGATGTATAATAAATACAACCGCCTCCTCTTTAGTCGGTTTATTCTGTATATTTTATTCCATCTATGTACATGGGGTTCTGTAGCTTATTGTTCTAGAAACTCACATCTTCCCCTTGCTGTTGCTCCTCTTGATCAACCATCTCCTCCACGTCCTCCTGTGGGCTTGCTATTCTCGGATGACCAGCCATTAGTACAGAGTCTACTTTTCTTCCATTGACATTGTATGTATCCCATTGCAGCGTCCATGTATCGTTTTCATTGAGAGCATTGGGTGGTCTAAACTCCAGCATGACGAAATGAAAATCCAACAGTTTGGCTTCATACATGCCCCAATCCTTGACCTGATCATAGTCAATGTCTCCACCCGCACCGCCAATGATAGCATAGTGAATGCCATGGCGCTCCCCACGTTCATAGTTGTGTTGGTGGCCAGAGATAACCAAATTCACACCACCCTTTTCAAACAAAGGCACATAGCGATCCTTGATGAAGGCTCCCCATTCACTTTGTCGTAACTGAAACCAAGCCTCAGGATCCCAGTACTCCAAAAATGGTGGCACATGTACCACGACAATACGAAATTGTGCTTGCTTGAACAAGTCCGATTCGATTTCTTGTCTCAGCCATTGATCTTGCAAATCCCAATCCAAATTGCTATCCAAAATGATGAAGCGGATGGCACCGCTGGCCATGGAAAACGAAAACCAGGGATTGCTTTGTGCATTTTCGTGATGGCGTGTGTATGTGTACTCACCAACAGAATCATAATCGTGGTTGCCGTGAGCGTATATCAAGGGCATCTTTTGACAAAGTCCGTGCATCATCAGAGGGGCAGCGAAATCTGTTTGCCATTGTCGCAGTGAAGGATAGTTCTGCACTGCATCGCCTGCATGGAGCAAGAAATGAGGCTTTTGCTGCTGTGGAAATTTGCGGATTTGACGCAGTAAGGATGAAAAGGTCATCATTCCAAATTGGTTGTCGGCTAAAGCAGCAATTCGAATAGGCTGCAGATCGTCGTTGGCAAACCAGTGGAACAAGTGCCTGGCCACTGTCTTTTTCTTGCTGTTTTGTTTTATCATCTCAATGCGGTACTCTACGGGTCCAGCTGAAAGAGGTCCAATGGTGGTTTTGTAGACTGTGTGGTAGGGATCTAGTACTTTTGGATCCACAGGTCCTATCACTTTCTTTTCCTTGCTGCCTGTCCAATACGTCAGCGTCATGTCTTTGTTGGACATGCCACAGTTCATCTCCCAAACCACTTGCACATGATGCGTGTCTTGCACAAAGAGCATCGGTTCCTTGCGAAGTAATCCACACGATACATATCCACGATCAAACATGGTATTGTCCATCTTTATGGCGATAAATGTAATGTAGTTTGAAATGATGCCCTTCATACAGTAGAGAGTGAATAGTAGAAAAGCAGCTACAAGGAGAAGGCTCTTTTGATGCAGCCGAAGCCAACGAGAGACTTGCTGTTTCTTTGGAAAAATAGACTTTTTGCTTGGATCCACATTGTTGCTATTGTTGTACGGATAAGGCGATGTGGGCTGTTTATACTGAAACGACACTGAAGAGTATGGTTCATTGAAATCTGTGTTTTGGTAGTGGCTCATGATACCATTTATTAGAGAGGATATATATATATATATATATGTAATATGCAGAGAAAAAGAGAGAGAGAGAGAGGGAAGAGAAAGAAAGAGATACAATTTTCATAGGCGGTTATTTAAAAAAAGCTTCTACATCAGATCATCCAGAGTTTGAGCTCAATGATTGCTGCTGCACCAGACTCTTATAGACACCATCTAGCTTCAGCAGCTGCCAATGATTTCCTTGTTCAATGACTTTACCGTCTTTGATGACACAGATCATATCAGCATTTGTAATGGTAGAGAGACGATGGGCAATGGTGATGGTGGTACGTCCTCCCTCCTGTATGATGTTATCCAAGGCCTTTTGAACCAGTTTTTCACTTTCACTGTCCAATGCACTGGTTGCCTAGGGTGGAATGAAACAGCTGGTTACTTACATCTGACGTTTAGACACTCTAGTCGTACTCACCTCATCTAGCAGTAATATTCTAGGCTTGCGGATCAGAGCACGAGCAATGGCAATGCGCTGCTTTTGGCCTCCTGATAATTGCGACCCTTTGTCTCCCACTGATGTTTGGTATCCGTTAGGCAATTTAGTAATGAAATCATGGATATTGGCCGCTTTACAAGCTTCATGCACTTGCTCTTGTGTTACAGATTTGGAGTCATCCACACCAAAGCGAACATTGTCTTCAATCGAGACATCAAACAGAGTTGGTTCTTGGCCTAAGCAAAACAGAGGACATGAATATCAGCTGCATTAACAGGGCACACACACACACACACACACACACTACTTACCCACTAATGCCATATGGCTTCTAAGGTTTTTAAGAGAAAACGATGTCACATTATGATTATCTACACGCACAGTACCACTCAGAGGATCATACCATCGCTGAAGCATACCAATGGTGGTGGATTTACCACAACCTGAGGGGCCGACCAACGCAATTGTCTGTCCTTGCTTTCCTTTCAAGTTGAACTCGCCATCAAAGATAGGGATATTAGGTCTTGCTGGGTATCTGAATGCAATGCTACTGAAATCAATGTCTCCATCAATGTCTTCTCCCTCGGGTTCAATGCCTTCCAGTTCAGGATCAATGGCTGGCTGGCGGTTGAGCACCTCAAATGTTGTGATGGCAGCAATTTTAGCCTTGGCAAAGGTAGAGACAAAGATGCTACTTCTTCCTATGCCATCCGCCATGATCATGATAGACATCATGGTAATCACCATGTCACCGAGATCCAAGTTGCCCTGTGTAATCAGCTTTGAGCCCGCATAGAAGGCCACTGCGTTGGTATAGAGAGATGTGCCTTGCAACAATGCAAACCCGATGGAAGATGTGTACGCTTTACGCTGTGCTAAACGATGCGGTCTTTCAGTGGCATTGTAGTACCGTTCTTCAAAGTAGCTTTGCTTGTTGAGAGCTGTCACTGTACGGATCTCCTTGATGGCTTCACTTGCGACTTCTGCAGACTGCTCGTTGGCCTCTTTTGTACTTCCTTCAAACCCTTCTTGCACCTTGGAATTCCAGCCAGCTGCACCCACAATCAGCGGTGTCATGCACATGACGATCAACGTGAGTTTCCAACTGTGCATAAAAGCGATTGTCAAGCCTAATGCAGACATGTGAACATAAGCTATCAACAAGCGTTCTGTATAGACTACTTACCAATGGCTGACGTAAACGCAATCTGGACAACATCAGGCCACGCACGCGTAATCATTTCATTGACATTCTTGGCATCCACAGCCAACTTGGAAGTAAGCGAGCCCACATTGTTCTCATCGCGGTCAAAGTACCCAATCTCCTGCTTCATAAAGGCGACAAACAGCATACTTCTCAATGCTTTGGTGTACTTGGCACCGGCAATTTCAAAAGACACTGTTTGCATAGCAAAGCCTAGAAAAGCAAACATGCCCAAAACGACAAACAGGAACGAATACACGTTGGGTCCTTCCATCGGTCCATAATCCTTGTCGTCGTTTTCATTTAGCATGGTAATCACTTTGGCAAAGAAGAGAGCATACAGAGGAAACACGGTGCCAGCAATACAAGCACCAACCGAACCAAGCACACACCAGCCCCACTGCGGACGCATTTGCATGAATACCTTCCATACAGGTGCCTTCATCTTTTTGGTGCTTTTCTTGAGCTTCTTTTCACGACGCAGCTTTTCTTCAAATCCATCGAGCAGAGAGAATCGACTCTTTCTAGCGGCTGGCACACTGACGATGGACGAGTGGTTGGATATACGGTTCAGTTCAATGCAGCTCTTTCTGTTGACTTCAATGGCTTCGTTGCGCAATAGGATTTCGTCTTCCTCGTCTTCCTCCTGTTTGGTCTTGCGATTGTGAGTGCTGGATGAGGTTTGAATCTGCTGCTTTTTCACCAGTTCAGAGTAGACTCCACCCTTTGCAATCAGTTCGTTGTGTGTACCTTGTTCAATCAGATCACCCTGCTGCATCACTACAATCAGATCAGCATTACGCACAGTTGAAAGACGATGAGCAACGACAATTGTGGTACGATCTGCTGCTGCTTCATCCAATGCTCTTTGCACCAGTCTCTCGGACTGCGTATCTAGCGCAGAGGTGGCCTTGTTATATAGGTGAGTTGCTGCATACGAGACACTAGGCATATACTGTACATTACCTCATCTAGCAGTAGAATAGCAGGGTTCTTAAGGATGGCACGGGCAATGGCAATTCTTTGCTTTTGTCCACCAGAGAGCATACCACCATGCTCGCCAACGAGTGTATCGTATCCTTTGGGCAATTGCTTGATGAAGCTGTGACAATTGGCCTTCTTGCACGCAGCGGTGATCTCTTCCATACCAATATTGCGATTACCACTTCCCATCATCAAATTCTGACGAATACTAGTGTTAAACAAGACAGGCTCCTGACTGTTACAAAGGCACAAAGGTGAGTCTATTGCCGCTGTCGTGTGTACTCTATCAATATTACCTTACAACACCAATCTGCTGCCGAAGCCATTGGACATTGAGTTGCTTTAGATTCCTGCCATCCAAGCTCACCGAACCAGACACAGGATCATAGAATCGCTGCAAAAGCTGTATACTGGTAGACTTGCCAGACCCTGACGCTCCAACAAATGCGACGGTCATACCAGGTTTGATTTTGAGGCTGAGGTCTTTTAGAATGATAGTATCAGGCCTTGTAGGGTATCTGAATTTGACATGCTTGAATTCCAATTCACCAAGCACCTTGTTGGGGATCACACCATCTGGAGAGCTTGTATCGATATCAGGCACACGCTTGATGGTTTCAAAGATCTTGTAAGCAGCAGCAGAAGCCGAAGAAACAGCAGCAAGATTCGTAGGCAACTGTAGCAGCGAGAACTCACCCATCATCATGGACAAAAAGACCACCAACACTGTGGATCCATCCATGACATGATCGTGCACAAGACGAGAACCATACCAAAAGGATAAACCGTACATGGCGAACAGACAAAACATGAATATACCGAGCCCTGTTCCGAGAATAATGCCACGCTTGATACCGGCTCTCATTGCTTTATCGAGTTTCTCTTCATAGCGTTTAGCAAAGCGGTTCTGCAGTGAGAATGAGTAAACGGTGCGAATACCAGCAAAGACCTGCTCAGAGATGGAGCCGGCATCAGCATAAGCATCTTGTGTCTCCACCGTGTACTTTGTAACTAAAATACCCATCACACCACCCGTGCATGCAATAGCAGGAGTCACTGCAATCATCACAATGGACAGACGCCATCCTTTACTAAACGCCACTGAGCAACCAGCAATGAACTGCGCAAAGCACATGAGAAATTGGCCAAACTTTTCAGAGATACCGTCTTGAATCAACTGCACATCGGCAGACAGTCTTGTTGTAAGGGACCCTTCTTCTGATTTATCAAACCAGCTCATGTCTTGACGTAGAATAGAGTGCACGTATAATTGGCGAATACGTCTGGTTTGATTTTCTCCTGTCAAGACCCACAGACAGTTGGAAATGTAAGCAGCTGTCATGACACCTGTGCCTAGATACACATATAATTTGATGATGGGCATCGTAGCATCCATGAGGTCACTTTTTTCGACAATGGCTTCACCCAATTTTTTGAGCACGTTGCCGAAAAATAGAATGGAGATGGGCTGAACAGCGCCAGTGGTGCATGAGCAAAAACCAGCAATGCTAATCAACAGCAAATCTCGTTTTGTGGCAAACTGGAAAAGCCGAAAGATGGATACTGTCTCCTTCTTCTTGTTCTTGTTGTCTTGTTTGGCTGTTTGACTATCAATGGCAGCAACAATGTTGGCTGGTTGATCCACAGTGTCATCTCTTAGCAATGTATCATCTGGGTGAGTTAATTTTGGCTCTTTCATGATATATATATATATGATATCTATAACGGTGCAAAGGTAAAAGAGAGAGAGAGAGAGAGAGAGAGAAAAGACGCTCTGTCGATAGCAAACCTATATATATATATATATATATATATAATCACTGCTAAACTATAGCATCATTTTATAGCATCATCCTGTACATAAAATGAACGGCTTTAATATAAAAAGCTCGTTGCTTGCCGAAGATGGAGATAAAAAGCTACCGACAAGCCGAGTCAAAGATAACGGGGAGTAAACGGAATACCTCGATCCACTGTTGATTTTGTAGATCCAAGCCTGCCGAAAGACTCGACAAACCGAGAAATAGAGACTAACCCCTAGCACATTGCACTGCACACTTGCTGCTGGATGATGAGACACAGCCGTTGCAATAAATGCAGGTAAATCATCCTATTCCAGGTCGATCTCCCATGTCATTCTCGCTATTTCGTCTACTAGCATGGATCTTCTGCGCAACAGCTACTATAAACCGTAATCCCCACCCACCTTGTCGCATCTAATATCCCAAAAACCATCTTCCTCGCAATCAATATGGACATGCAACAATTTCTCTTCCTTTTTATTGATCAAATTCATTGCTAATCCTGCATTTAAATGGGTCCAGCACCACCAGGTATCAGCTACAAAGACAGATTAGCATACGAGATCCACATCCAATCCTCCTCTACAAGCTACTTACAGTACAAATGTTGTTTCCGTTCAATAAGAGTTGTGGTAATTTCTGAGTCTTGTATCCATCCTTGGTGCTTTCACTGTAAATCATGTCAACATGTCGTTCTTCTCTTCATGCGCAGTGGTATGCACTTACTATTCTGTCACGTCTTCCAAAACCATATCTAGCGTTACAACTGTTGAGTCCATGCGCTCTCTTTCAAGTACGCGCGTAAGAGAAATACTTACTGACATAATCATCGAATCCACAAAGCTTGCCAGTGAATTCCTTTTCATTCTTCATGACAACCCAAATCTTGGAGCCAATGCACTTGTCAATAAGCTCTACAAAATGAGTCAATGCATGCATCCTCTCCATTCAAATATGGAATGCTAACCTAAAGGTAATAATTGCGAAGTAGACATGTTGTGTATGAAAGATAGTTGAAGAAAAATAATAGAGTAAAACAAATTTTTAATGTGAGCTGCTGTCGTTTGGAAAACACCGCGCATGTAGGTGAGACTATACATATAAATCAACCTCATTCTCGAGAGAAAATAAATCAATTTATTTTTTTTTTAAAAAAAAGATGTGGTAAATTAGCTCTAAAATCAGCAAGAGTGAAAAGTACTGTGCTATAGTATATGGTCCTCAAATAGAGATATTAGGCAGGACATCTTGAGATGGGCGCTGCTTCACCGCCTTGAGACCATAGAGCAATTGTAATGCCTGTGGTATATGTCATTGATACAATACCAAAGATGAGAATGGTAATATCAATGGTTTTTTGACGCCAGGATTTAGCAATGGCCTTTAGATGGAACAGTGGAGGAAAGATGAAGCAGAGAGGCACACAGCACAAGGAGCCGACGAGAGACACAAACTTGTCCAAATCACCAGAGCCACCAATAGCAATACAGGCACAAATCAAGACAGAGACAAATCGAAACACGTTCTTTTGCCACTTGACAGTGTTGTTGTACTTTCCAGATCTAGTGAATAATCCATTTTCCACAATACGGATGGCAGGGAACAGCTGAAGGGGGATGGACAAACAAATGGCTAATGCATACAATCCCTGCACTGTATTGACCACAGCGGTACCGGGCATATTCAGCAAGATGACGGTTTGAACCTCGCTACCAAAGGCTAAATACGAAACGAAACCGACCGATAAGAAGATGCCAGTGATAAACAACATGGTACCTGATAACACTTTGGGGAACTTTTCTGGTTCTGCCATGGACTCAGTAATAGGAATGACTAGAAAGTAAACCAATTAATCCCTGATCACCAGCCAACCCCTTGCAATCTTACCTAGGCCCACTCCTTCGTATGTGAACACGGCTGTTCCAATAAACATTGGGAATGACTTAGAGTTGAGGACCCATTCCACATCAGCAATGCCTTGACTTGCCAGTGTAAGGAAATCGTAATAGTAGAGATACACCAATCCGATGAGAATAAATAGATCAGCAATGAGAGCAAAGGCTGACAGTTTTTGAATTTTGCGAATCATAGCGAGTGGCACAAAGATGGCAATTTGGCCGAGAATAAGGTACGATAATGGCACTCTCAGGTCGCATTGCGATACTGACTCTATCAAGGCTTGCACGTTCTGAGCTACAAATACCATATAAGCGCAAACAAATCCCATCTAGAGATGCGCACATCAGTGTGTCGATTTCTCGGTATGACAGTACCTCTCCCCCCCCCCCAACTTACCTGCGAGAATGTAATGGCTGTCAATACAGCAAGTCGCATGCTTTTGCCAAACAAGACGCCACCGATATCACCAAATGAAACAGGCACCTAGATACAGCTGATCAGGATGGCCATCCTCTACCCACACCGTACATTGAGACTTACCTTGTTGCGAGTCTCGACCAACAGCAAGAATGTATACAAGGAAATCATGGCAATGGCAGTCAGTAACCCAGTTGAAAACAAGAGTCCACCATTGTAAAAACTAGAATATATGATGAGTTGATCATGCGTAATGGCTGTATCCACACGGTTTGCCCACTTACGCTTTTGGCAAGAACATGACGCCTGTACCAACAAATGATTTCAACAGCAAAAACACAGCCTTAGCAGGTGTAGCAGTGCCTTGTACAGCATTTGCTTGAGCCCTACGGATCAGGGATGACTCCTCGTTATCCTCTTCCTCGTCATCGGATCTTCTTCTTCTGCGTCGTCTCAAGCCTGACTCCAAGTAGTCATCCTCTACCAAATCATCGTCTCCTTCTTCGCCTTCATCATCGCTTAAATCCTCGCCACCAAAATGGCCATACAGAGCCAAAAAGTCGACAAATGTACGAGTCATCCAGTGAGGGGGGTCTCGACCTTGACGAGCTGCGTTCTTGACTACGAAATGGCGTCTAAATCCTCCCGGATCCTTTAATCTAGCCAAAGTTGGGTCCACAGGTTCGCTGCGAGGCACATAAAAGGACTGAGAGCGTTGACGACGAGCGATTTGTTCATTCTCAACATCCTCTGTCCATTTGTAGATATCATGCGTAATGGCACCGCCTGGAAGTTGATGCACACTGCGCACATTGGAGCTGCTGGCTTGATCATCTTCATTAGTGATACTCCGATGAATGGAGCCGCTCCGTAAAGAAGGAGATGGAGAGGTATCAACCAAATGTCTCTTGACGACTTTGGCTACTTGGTCTTCGGGGAGATCCACACTGACGGTGCCGTCTTCAGGGTTAAATGTAGCTGTAGAAAGGGGTCTGAATAGGCTACCGCTGTTGTTGGTCAGTACGTTGTCTAGATCAGTAGAGCCGTATGTTTGGTGTGAGCGAAAACTTTTTGGGGAAGAGCCGTAAACATTAGACGGAATGGGAGATGAGCCTAAACGAGCAGTCGAGTTGACTCTGTCAATGGAGCTTGATAGGACGGATGAATCAGGCACATAGGAGCCTCCTTCTCTATAGCCTTGCTTTGCGTTCACTGGTAAAGGTGAAGACATGCTGAAAGATAAAATCTGAAAAGAAAAGAAAGCAGGAATTGGGGGGAGAAGAAGCCCATTTGATCAAAAACTTTATATACATATTCTTCTCCGCAACAACGTTGGGCAAACAGAACACAAATTTCGTCATTTACACTATTTAGAAAGTGATCTATTCCATGTACCCCTTGTTTTTTTTATTATCATTAATTAGCGTCGTCTTTTATAATGAGTAGCTTTGGTATACGGGCATCAGTGCAAATGTAAAGAAAACCACCCAAGCAATCAACAGCCAGAACAAGAAGAAGCCGACATGAATGTACGAGTGCTTGGTTTTAAGCTGACTTCCTATCAGCTTTAATGCAGTTTGCTGTTTGTAGTGTCCTTCCTGTTGATTTTCATAGATATAGTGGTGCATTGACATTGCCTTGGCTGTGTCTAGTCTTTCTTGTCGCTGCTTGCGGTTGATCTGGAGCCAGCTGCCCAGGAACTGTCTATCCCAGAACCAGAATAGGAAAGCTAATAGCAAGGCAACACAGCTCACAAACAAGTAGAGTATCATCACATAGTCATATTCATGCTGCAGGTCCACATGATCATCCGAGGTGTCGCCATCGTGGAAGGTTAAATCCTGGACGTAGCCTACAACAACCGACAAGATCGTAGTGCCAATGTTGTTTGCACACTTGTGAAGCCCCACGCCTACGCCAACGAGTTCATATGGCATCAAGAGCGATGTGGTGGTGAGCAGGGCCACTGGACCCAGAGAGAGAGCAAACGATATCAGGATCATGCCTGCTGCAGGCGGAGCCCAGGTATAAGCGAGCAATATGACACTGATGATGAGAACCACTGTCCCTGTGCCCAATATGTACAAATGTTTGCCATATCGATGCACATAGATGCCTAATAAAGGTGCAGCCACAATGGGTACAACTTGGGTTAGACTGCTCTGGTAACCTGCCATCACACTGGTTGTAGAGTATCGAAACTGTGTGAATTCAGTTGCAACATCGTCAAAACTACTGAGAACACTTGACATGGTGATTTGCAGCCATGGGACCATCCAAAAAATGCCTTGCAGATGCAGCAAAATACTGTATCTAAATCGAAACCGTCTGTTGCTGCTCGTACTCGTATCATGCTGCTTGTTCCCATTGGCATCGTATATCACTGCAGGGCTGGATCCAGCCTGGCTGATTTCTCTACCAGAGAGTGTTGCAAATCCACTCTTGTACATGGCCGCCCAATACATCAAATTGGCCAGCAAGGATAGCCCACACAGTATCATAGCAACCGTGATGGGTCTGGTGAAAGTACCTGCTAGATCCACCAGCGGATAACAAATCAGTTTAGCTACAAACTTTGTCAGTCTGGCCATGGACAGCATGGAACCCACTATGATGGCTAGTTGCTTATCACGGAACCAGCGCGATAGAATAGCCTCCTGAAAAGTGACAATGATGCCTTCGCCCAAACCGTAGATGACCTGACCTGCCAACATGATGGGGTAGGTATTGTAGTTGGCTCCCATCGTCACCATCAAAGTGCCGATAAAGATAATCGTGTTGATGCCCAATGTGCCTCTGATGGTGCCAATTGATGAAGAGAGGTCATCTGAAAATGCACCAGCGAAAAAGGGCAGCACTGTATTGACAAGTGTCACCGAGGACATGAGGATACTGAACTGTGTATTGTTGATTTCCATGGTCTATATGATTGCGAGTGTGAGTCGTTTGACATTGATAGACCAAGTCACTGTGCCTACCTTCTTTAAGGTGGTTTTTAATGTACTCAGTGTTGCTTCCATGTAATGACATCCGACTACAAGTAGACTCGAATCAATTGTGCCGCACCTTAAGCTCTGGCATCATAGTCTATACACATACCTGGCATAGTCAGCATGGTAACCAAAATGACAGCCTTGAGTTGCCAAGACATGGCAGCTTCCTGGATTTCCAATTTCGGAGCATCTTGTCGATCCTGATCAAACAACTCGCAATCAATCACTTCTGTCGGCTCAATTTGACTTGACATCCGACTCTGCTTGTCTATTGTCTTTTCTTGTTCCATGTTCAAGGCGAGGCGACAACAGAGATGATAAGAGGCACAGAGAAAAAGAGAAAGAAAAAAAGAGGCAAAAAGGACAACCGGCAAATCGGTGACATTTGCTTTTATTTTTATTTTATTATTAAACTGCAACAAAAAGGTTTTGCATTCTAACAAAATCCAATCAAAAAGTTTAAATGCTCTTTTTGTCAATTGGTAGCGTCCATTGGGCATCCTAGCTCCTAATGTCACACATACACAATGAAAAGGGGGGGGGGGCCTGTGGTAAGCTTATTCCATTCAAGCTTCTATCAGGATCTCAGCCAGAAATCATATCTGGATAGGGATGTTTATGTATTTGCCGCCCATTTGAGACAGGTGTAAATCCTTTTTGCTGTAGAATGAACGGCTTCTAGGGCGACCCGCTAAGCATCTTGTACTGGAAGGGCTTTGTCTTGGAGATATTCGACAGTGAGGATGACATTTCCCAACAGGTAGAATATGTATACATTGCATTGATACGCTTACTGCAGTTGAGCAAAGTAAGCTACGGCTATGGAGTCTTGACAGCAAGATTCACGCACACATCAAGTAATCTCAACACAATGCAGGCGACATCAAGTATCTCACCAAGGTAGAAATCTTTCAGAGATGTGCTTGAGAGTGTACCAAAAGATGACATCTTGTTTGGCAATTGGTCAGCCTTGATGTTGGTTTAATCATGGTTGTTGTGTCAAAGCCAAAAGAAAGCCAAGGGCCATTGAGTCCTGCTGGATCCTTGATCCTGTCTACATTTGTGATTCCTAGTTGAATGTCAGTTCGATTAGGGATCTCAGTGGCAGGGTTTTAGCGTAGGAGTGTGTGCGGTTGATTTTGGTATTTCAACATGAAAAATTAATAAATGTACTCCTTTTTCTTTACGTTTATCACACAAACTCAGACCTTACACTACAGAATGCTGACGAAGCTTGCACTGATACTGACTGTACTATTAGCAGCAGCCACAGAAACATTAGCCAAAGAAGAAACCATCAAAAATATCGTTGTATTTGGCGATTCGTACTCGGATGTGGGCAATCATCAGCGACTGACTAACGGGCCTGTTTGGAGCGAGCATCTGGCTGTAGGCTGGAATGCCTCGCTGTATAGTTTTGCCTTTAGTGGAGCTGTCTGCAACAACGACATGTATTCCAGCGACACCACTTTTATCCCGAGCATCACAGATCAAGTAGAGATGTTTTACAACCAAAAGAGCCTGCGAGAGTTGGACATGGAGGAGACAGCCATCATCTTTTGGGTGGGCGTCAATGATGTGTTCAGGATGTTTGAAAAGAACGGGGATGACAACATGGCAGCACTAGAGCAAGATTACCAACGAGTGGTGGATTGCATTGGGACCCATATTGTAACTATTTGATTGTCTTGTGCGTTGCATGAAATGACTGATACACACTTTCAGAGAAATATCCGTAGAATCTATGCGTCCAACAAATTCATTGTGTTTGGCGTCCCACCTTTGGAACGCATGCCATTCTACGCCAACACAGATTTAGCATCGAGTAGGGAGACAGCTGCCAACCAATTAAACGAGCAATTGACCAAGGAAGTGGAAAAGATGAACAAGCACCTTCAATCGCTGGAATTGGATCTAGTGGACATTCATAAGATGCTGGACGATATAGTCGACCACCCAAGCATGTTTGAAATCATCAATGCCAAGGACCCTTATTGGGACGCTTGTCAAGGCCAGTGTGCAGACGAGGTGGATGCTTATGTGTGGTGGGACAAGACACATTTGACAGGAGGTGTGCATCGTCTGATTGCCAACAGCATTTTAATGGCAGGCTCTCTCGCTCCTGAGACCTATCTTAGTGATAAAGTGGATGTAAACCAGCTCCTGCAAGAACCGCATTCGCCCTATAAATCACCCATTTACAAGCCAAAGCGAAATACCGGTGAGATCGACAGGGTCATTAGGAAGCTCAACGAGGAAAAGGAAAAGGAGCAGCATCAGCATCAGCAAGATGATTTGCTGAATGATCAGGATGGACACCAAACATCACAGTCATCAGCGACGACAACGACGCCCACACACCATTTCGTCTATTTCGGTGTATCTGCCACCATCATTGTCTCTATTGCATTTTTGCTATTCATCAAGACAAAGCGTAGAAGAAGAAATCATTTGGCTGCATTATCTGGACTTTTGAAAAGCAATACAGACAGAGGCCGATTCATGCCTTTGAGAAATATGGATTCTGAGCAAGTGTAGAGAGAAAAAAGTTGTCAGATCATTTCAATAAAATACCTGCAATGTATCACTCAATGTGTGAGACAATGCGCCTTTTGTCTTGATATTGTCTCATAGTATTAGGTAAAAACAGCGTGATGCTTGAGCAGCGAATAGAGACACCTTTTGATGGGTTTCTAGCTGTGTGTATCGATCGAAAAATATTGACAACATTTAAAAAAAGGTATATATGCCAACTGCTGCTCTCTGGCATCTACACCTGTTCTCCTCTCTCTCTCTCTCTCTCTCTCTCTCTCTCTCTTTGATAAATGACTGAACAACAGTTACCTAATCACAGTAAAGACTGGCAAGATCTACCCCCAATTGACGCTCTCCTGGATCATGATGATGATGATGATGACGATGATTTGGATTCTGCGTGTGCTTTGAATCAAGATCCGTCCCTCTGCCATATGAAGGATCACATCGATCTTCATTCGACCCTGTATCATCAGCATGTCTTGACAGCCAATCGTTCCATGCCAGCCTCTTTGAATAGAGATCCAAACAAGATGTCAGAATCAAGCAGTTCAAAATCCAAACTGAAGGCCATGTCAGATACTGGCACTATCACTGTTGTGACCAAAACTACTACCACAATTACCGGATTTCCTGTCGCAGGTGTTTCGTCTCGACGATTCGATACCATGGTACGACGTGTTGCACAACAAGCATCTTCCCCAAACATTAGCAGCAGTGACAGCAGCAGTAGCAGCAGTGACGAAAAAGACAGCGATGCAGACATGTTTACCATGGACTCGAGATCTAAGGTCACGCCATCTTCTCTCTCACCTGCCAGACAAAAGCATAGATTCTCTCGCTCTTACCAGCATCATGCATCATCCACCACTGCCAGCACATCAACGCATCCACAAGTTGTATCTCAATCTACCAGAACCCCAAAGATCCTGAAACCAAAATCAACGGAAAAGACCGCAATGGCAAAGAACAACCGAACCACCACCTCTTATGATGCAGAAACTACTGCCTATCTGAGAAAGGCTTTCTTCAACTATTACAGCAAGCAGTGCAAATTGACCCGAGAACAGCGAGAGGCAGTGATTCGAGAGACAGGTTTGCGTTCTCGCAACATCACATACTGGTTCTCCAACCATAAGCGAAGGTTAGGCACAGAACTTGCCATCTATCGAAAATTAACCAGGGAGCATAAGATTCAAGATTATGATGCGTTTGTACAGTGGCGACAAGACCAAGAGTTACCAACCTACATTACGCGAGAAGAAGTCAGGTTGTTCACAGCATCGCAGTAGCATGTTTAATAATAAAGCTGCAAACCTTAGATTGTCTGATTGGCAATTATGAAAGAGTTCGGTTTCCAAAAAAAAATTATTTTCATCAGATAACTGATATGGATCCACCCTTCTTCTCTTCCTTCTTTTCTTTTGCTGCTTGTACGCAAACATGACACCACAACTACCGGACAAGGCGGTGAGCAACCAAACATCGTGGTTGGCTTGGATCGAACTCGCCTGTGTTGTGCTGCTCAACATGTCGATCAATTTAAGATGGTTGACGTTTAGCCCTGTAGCAGCGCTTTCTGCTGCATATTTAAATGTGAATATATCTGCCATTACTTGGCTTTCCAATTGCGCTACTTTGATCTACATTGCCATCTGTGTCAGCACAGGCTGGGCGTTTGAGAAATACGGCATGAAGACATGTGTAAGGCGCTTCATTCATAGACACATCATCATGGCATGAACACTGATTGGCATGCGCTGTAGTTTTTGCTAGCTGCTGCTACCAACATTCTAGGCTCCTGGATCAGATATTTTGGCACATTTGCACCCATCAATCAACGTTACCCAGTCATCATGCTTGGACAGGTACACAGAGCGTCTTACAACCAAAAAAGATCAGAAACTGACGCCATCATGTTGGTTTAGTGCATTGCATCGATTGCCGAACCATTCATCATGAACATTGGCACTCATTTCGCTGCTGTTTGGTTTGCTACTCACCACAGAGTCACTGCCAATACACTGCAAGGTAAGCACGGGCTGACAAAGCAGATGCATCAAGACTCACGCTCCATGGCTAGCATTGCCACTCGGCATGATTGTTGCTACATTGTCCATGCCTAAACTAGTGACATCGCCTGATGATCTACCTCGAGCTGTAAAGTACACTGCCAAAACGATCGAAACTGGATGACGCTAACCCTGCTGTAGCTTCTGATCACGTCTTGTATTTCCACAGCGTTTGGTATCCCATTCCTATTCTTACCCTCTGGCCCCAAGGTGCCGCCCACTGAAAGTGCTACAGTGAGCCGCATTACATTCAGACAGAGTATCAAGGTGATGCTGAAGAGTAGAAACTATCTGCTGTTGATCTTTGTCTTTAGCATCAATTTTGCTATGTTTGCGTCTATTGTCTCCATCACAAGTCTTATCTTCACTCCTCAGGGCTATAATAATGTGCAGGTGGGATTGTTTAGTTTTGTCAGAATTATCAGTGGTGTAGGTGGTGCTATTATTGCTGGTAGAATCACAGATTGGACAGGTAGACATGCGCTTGTCCTCAAAGTCGCTTGTGTCATGACCGTGGTGACAACTGTGATTCTGTATGTTCAAGGTAGGTTCACATAAAGCATGTATAATTGCAGATACTGATCCTTTGTTAGATTTGGCAAATTCCTACTCGTTTGTCATGATCTCTTGTTTTCTGAACGGCTTCTTTGTCTTTTTGATCATCCCTGTCTCGTTGGAATTAGCAGCAGAATGCACCTTCCCTGTTTCTGAATCTGTCAGTGCCTCTGTTCTTTGGCTTGTGTCTCAAGTAAGCTCGTTTGTCACTACATTCATCATGGATGCATTGCGTGCTGGTCCCAATGCCAATCCACCTCACAATATGAAGCACGCACTCATCTATGCCATTGCCTTGGCCGGTTGTGGTGCCATTCCTGCCTTATTCCTTCGATCTGATTTGAAACGTATCCACCGTGATAGGCATGCCGTTGAACAAGAGCCTCAAGGTCCATCATGTCCAGACATTCAAGAACTGTCTATTGTATCATTGCCAGAGAAGCATGCCTAATCCTTTCGTTCTTCACTTTGTAACTTATATATTTCCCTCTCTCTTATTTTACCACCTAATAAAGCTTGTACTAATTCAAATAGAATCCCATGTATATACAATTTTTATTGCTAGTTTTGTTGCATCGATTGCTTGTATCTTCTCAGTTCCTCCACTTCATTTTCGAGTGCTGAACAAGCAATGTCGACTTGAAGGTTCTGCGTAATCAAATCAGACCACTTGTTCTCTAGTGATTTAAGTGAGGCTGCTGCTTGGGTTTGATCGTTTTTACGCTCTCTATTGATCTCCAAAATTTGGTTGCGAAGGTATTCTGTGTTCTTTTTGATGTTGGCAAGGTCGTTCTCCAGTTGATAGTTGTGTACTCTCCATGCGTTGGCACCGTATTTTTGAAGCAATTCCAAGTTGAACATACTACATCTACGTCAATCCCTAGTCGTCATCTTTATCCGTTGCGTTTGTTTTACCTTCCAGCCTGTGATTCCAGCTGTGATTTTGTGTTGTTCACTGCTGCTTTCCATCCCTCTACATCGTTCTCATCTTCAGGTCCTTGCAGCTCGTATCGCTTGGTGTCCAAAGCATTGAGTGGTTGTTTCTTTTTGATACGTTCAATCTCTTGCTTTAATATGTCGTCCTTTTCGAATAATTCAATATCCAAGGGTAAATCTGAACGCTCCTTTCTCTTCATACGACGCATCTCTTGTTCAATCAATCTTTCAACTGTTGTTTTCATCTCTATCAACAAATGGAATGGTTGAATACTCGGCGCTTTTCTCTCTGCGTTCATTTCTTCTTACCTGCATCATCAAGCTCACGGTCGACATCTAGACCACATCGATGTCAACGTTTTGTCACTAACAAAAGCTTACATGAACTTACATGGGAGTGCGTCAATATCAACATCAGGTCTACTAGCTCCTTCGATAGCTTTGCTTGCCATTGTGTATGTATATAAATTTTGGATTGGAAAAGAAAAAGAGAAACAAGCGAAACAAGTAGACTCGCGTTTGAAAATCTTTTTTGCCCCGCCCTTCAAATCACGCTGGTCTTCAGTCTAGGATCAACACACCACACTAAAGTGATCCATGACAAAACAGTTATTGAGTACAATAGCTCTGCTATGGAGCTATACAATTCACCGATGAGAAAGCTACTCCATGTAGAGGCATTAGCTGAAATCAAGGTGCGCGAGGAGACACTAGCGAGGTATACAGCTGAAGGCCGTGCTGGCACGAAAATTTGGAATATCGGTAGATCAAGCAAGGGAGCTTCTCGCTTCAAAAAGCGGCTCCTAGAGCCACTGTTCATATTACGACAAGGTAAATGATTACTGGCGGCACAGGTGGAAGTGTACTGCAACAAAACAAGGCTCGATGATTGCAGCAAGAACATGACTTCTTGGAAAGTTCGCTTCACAGCTGTGATATATAACATACCACATGCTACCAAATATATTATATAGCTGTTGCTTATTATATGCAAGGGCATTGAGTTTGCCAGCCGGCCCCACTAGCCAAAATTAATATAAACTCAGACTCATGGTTTGTTTCAGATTGGACAAATCTTGATGATTTTCGACTCGATTGAACTATTTTGCCAGATTCGACTATATAAAATATGTTGATTACTCCATACCTCCTTAAGCTTCCTTGGAGTGCTTTTCAAGGCGCATCCAATGGTACCAAGGAAGATAGATGTTTTGAATAAATTTATGGAGTAATTTACGAAAATATGAAATGTAGTTTCTGGCCAAAAAGTCGAAATTTTACATATCAATGTTCCACAAAGATGATATCAGGGGGGTACGTTGGATTGATAGAAACATTTTGATTCAAGATATACCATAGTAAAAGTCTTTGTTATCAAGGTGAAAAATGCGATCGGTTGATTTTCAATGAAAACCATGAGGGGTACCTTATGCTTTTTGGTTGAATTTTGGCCATGTTTTTTTGGTTCCCTAAAAGTTGAGAAAACGTGTCAGAAAGTAACTGCCAGGTGAGAGCAATTGTTTGGTGCTATTCTGGCAATCTAAAACGGCCTTGAACGCGAGAAAATGTAGCTCAAATGCACTCAAATTTTGCTGTATTAGGCACACTCTTGACTAGAAAGGGATAATATCTGTATGATACTTGCCCGTATATGAAGTAGCTACGTGTATATGGATGTAGAGTATCACATAAGAATCAAATCCACAGATAATATAAAGGGTTTCATGTGTAAGTAGAGAGTTAAAATGAAAGTAGCAGTATTTTGATATGATACGCAAGGGCAATCTGAAGTGCAAGCTGCCGCTGCGCAGGTTGGTTCTCACCGAAGCGAAACAAAGGTAGAGAGCCTTCGGAAGCATAAAAACACTCGTGTTTTGTCTGTAAACATTGTCCGTCTTATTACATGTTTTGTAAAACTTTGGTATTACAACAACGTTACAGATGTTGTTCAGATAATTATATAAATTCAGAGTCGAGCTATCATTTATAAGCGCTTTCTAAAGTCTGTCAACGGATCAGGGGCATCTCTAAGCGATAAATTCTCTAGTAATGGCTAACTTCTAGCAATATACAAACTGTGCATTGCATAAATCATTCAGGGCGAGCAAAACGGACAAAGCTAGCCCCAAAGAGTGGTACCGATAGGCTGCAATTTGGCAATTCTCAGTGATAAACGTGTCACAAAATAATGGAACGAGCTTCAAACAATAGGCAGCACCTGTATCAATGCGAGCAATGTATTTCTATTGGTAGTCCATCCCAATTTAATGGCTTGCTATTTGACAAAATCAGTTTTTTTGCACTGATTTCTCGTCGTACAGCCTGTTTTAGATCGCCAGAGTAGTACGAAACAATTGTGCTCGATCAGTAGCTACGTCCTGACACTTTATCTTATTTTTTTTTGGGTCATGACAAATCGATTGAAAATCTCCATTTTTTTCATGAGTAGTAGCAAGGGAAAAATCTCAAAAATCAAATGATTGCATTTTTCACCCCAAAAACGGCATTTTTTTCTATGATATATAAGAGATCAAAAGGTTCTTACAGGTTCAACGCAACATCCAAAGTTGCTTTTGTGGGATTGTTGTATGTAAAATTTCAACGTTTTAGCAAAAAACCAGTTTTCATATTTTTGACATTTACTCATTCTTCTTGTTCAAAAAGTCGGGTGTAATTAGCATCATCAGATGCGGCTTGTTCAGTTCTCCATGAACGTATTAAGAAGCAGGGAACAAAAAGCACGACTTATATAGTCGAATCTGGCAAAAACGTCCAACGATGTGAAATTAGGTCGATTTTGATCGTGAAAACTTTCACCGCAAAAAAATATTTTGAAAGGCCGCTATCGTTTACAGAAGCTGCTGCCACTGCTTGTGTGATGATCAGATAGGGTTTCAACCACTAATACATGCGAAAGACGATGTTTTCGCGCCTAAAAAGGCGAGATTACTTGAAAGAAGATGGTTAGTCATAGATTAACTATTTTGCAATGTAAAAATAAAGTGAATAGCTTGCGAAAACGCTTAAAAACGGAACTAGTGTTTGAAATCTTGTCTCGCGCTTACACATCATCTTTTGTTAATTGTTTTATAGCGCAACTTTGAGGACGCGGTTCAATGATGCCATCACTTGCTTAGAATAGATGTACCCGCGAATGGTGTCCACTATTCCGTAACCTGGTATTGCCGTGGTGAATTCAAGAACGACTCCTTGAAGACATGTCTGTGTGTGAGAATTTCGTACATGCATAAAGATTGAATTTACTAATTTTTAGCTTATAAAACGACGTTTGACAAAATAACGGATGACGGATGAAGCCTTTAAAGCTAGAATTATGAGCTGTTGCATTACAACAACAACAACCATGAATAACAAACAACTGGGTAGCATGTTACACTTTGGTCCTGATTTCCGCGAAAGTGTTAAGCCCAATATGATGAGTACTCGAATGTAACACGCACCTTGACTTTGAATAGGTTTTGAGCTCAACTGCTTTATGATAAAATAGGAGCTCCCTGGAGTCTTCAAAGATAGATAGAAGTAAATAAAACGAGGTGGTACTCTTTTGAGCGACCAGAGATGTGGTGTCTTGATTAGCAGTAAAGCGCTTCATGTCTCAGATACAGCAAGAAGCATGCATACGGTGAATGATGGTTCTGGTCAATAGCATCGTCTTGAAGTTACCTCGGCCTTCTCGAAATGTTTATATTAACGTCCATAGAGTACATCTGGCCCAGTAAAGAGGCTAAAGATGTATGTCTAGCCATGATCGACATGTACATGGACAATTTCTGATCCGTTTCAGCTTCATTTCCGATGGAAGACACCTGCTTCTTGTCCTTCTTCGTGGCAGTTTGGATACCCGATGCTTGCAAATGAATACATGAATATCACGATAATCCTGTATGCAATGGCTCTTTACATGTTGAATTCTAACGCGACACCCAGCTGCTATAAGGCATTCAATACAAACGGCTCCTTTTGACACGATAGTGGCGGATTGACAGTAAAATGAAAAACGGACCTAACTTTATTTGGGCGATCCAAAAGGAATTCTATGTTGAACAGTAGTTGATAGGACTCTCGGTGCGGAAATGAGACCAAATTTCAAGAGATTAAATCCCACTACTCGATACCTCCCCTAAGATTTAATTTCCTTTTATTGTGCCTTTTCCTTTTCGTTCATCAGCAACAAATACAATGCTTCATGAGCTAATGGAATGATGTTGAGCATCGTGGTGGAATTCTCGGGCAATTTAGTGATGAAAGTTGGTGTAACTGACAACATCAACAGCGACATCAATAATGTTGTGAAACCTCCTAAAATTACATCTTTGGTTCGATCTGGTCTTTCTGGCGCCATTTATGTATAAAATGTAAAAATAAACAAGGTTGTGCTACTTGCTCATGTCACATGAGAAGCGAGTATCTTTATCAGCATGCTTGCTGGGTGTATATAAGTAATGCTGAGCAGCAATAGCAACAATAACAGTAGTATTTGATTAGTAAATTTGAGTGCAATGGCTTGGTATAGACCCCAAAATGCGGAAGTGTATATGTATGTATCTCAACCGCGAAAAAGAAGATTCAATTGAGCCTTGCATACTCGTATATTACAAGTAGAGATACACCAAAAACCGGTTATTGCAAGCTGGTATCTTTTGCCGCAATTGATTATGTTATAGTATATACAAACAATGACATTGAATTCGTGCGCAAAATCTTGGCACAAAAACTTATACATCACAAATAAATATTAGATATTTGTAAGAATTACCCGTTTGTATCGTAATTCTTTATTGTTTAAAAAAAGAACAAAACAAAGTTAGACTATGATATACAACAGATTTTCCTCGCCCCTTTCACAATTTATATGTGAGGTTAATCCTCAATAAGCAATTCTTTACAGCGATCCCGTAATGAAGGCCTTATTTTATCAAGTGCACAGTCGTCTAGAAACCCCTTCTTTGAGACATATTGAGCAAATGCTAATTTATTGTATGGAAACTGATGATTTTCACAGCTGCGATGTATATGGTCATCACTCACGTTTTATATGCTACATTTTGTATCAATTGTAATATTACAAAATCCCCAATTATTTTTAGGACCAATTCGTCCATTCTGAGCAGTGTCCACACATCTGGCTCCCTATTGCTGATTCTCTAATTTCCATGATAACAACTGCCTATCGAGAGAGACTGTTTGCAGCGATGTATATACCTTCGGCTTGTTTCTCTATTAATAATAGATCAGCACCAAAAATATCTCTCCAATAACCATTCCATGTTTCATGGAAAGAAAAAAACATAATGGTTACACAAGACGATGTACTTACCCCTCTTCGCCTTCAACCCCCATCACGCCCCTTTGTGCCATCTTGATTTACCTCAACTTGGTTGGGCGATCCTCAGCTTTCATTCAAGTAGTTGTCCAGTTGGTATCACGCGATGTCGTCTTGCTTTACCACACATAATAAAGCAAAAAAAAAAAAAAGGGAACCATGACCCCCCACAAATGTGGTATTATATATATACTTCTTGTACCTTACCCGGGACAAAAAATTGGCATACAAATAGCTTGCAAAAACCCAATCTTTTTTCTTTTGCTTCCTCTAAACAATTCCCTTCCTTTTTTTTTAAAAAAAAACTCTTGCAAAGAAGAATGAAGTTCATTGCTCTTTCAACATTGGTCACTTTGGCTCTTTCAGGTGTTTTGGCAGCTGATGTCCAATATTCTGTCATTGCATTCCCTACTGGAAATCAAGGTGTCTCTGTCTCTGTTGGTGGTCAGACAGTTGCACTCAAAAAGAGCGATGTTCATCCCAATATCTTTACCGGTACTGCTCCCTCGGGCGAGACCTACCAATATGTCTTGACTGATGGTCAAGCAAATACCCCTGAGACAACCACTCGTAAGCTCGCCAAAGGTGCTACTGCCACTGGTAATGAATTCTTCAATCGTACCCAAACTGTCTGGAACGTTCCTAGCCTTCCTCAAGCCTATAATCCCATCTACCCCAGTAAGTTTTATGACATGTACCTGATTTACTGATGTCTAATCTGTCAACTTTAGCTTTATTCACCAATTTGAATAATTCTAATGAAATTGCCACCATCATCATGTCTGTCAACTCGACCGCTTTGGATGCTATTAACAAAGCTCCTACAGAAAAGCTCGATGATGCTCAGATCACTGATTTAGCCTATATTAGCAGCAAGGACGTCTTCAAATTCCAAAATGCCGGTCTCTCTACCAGCGGCCAGTCCACCAAGGATTTTGCCAAGCAATCCTATGCTATTGATTTCAACAAATACAACAAGAATGCCACTGCAAAGAACCTCTTGTACGGCCGTACTACTTTGAAGCTTCGTGCTGAAGAAACCGATGCCACTTTTGCGTATGTAACATGACAGAATGATATACAAACACATGATATGTAGATCAAAAGAAAATTAATGCATTTTACTCTTTGATAGACGTGAAAAGTTAGTACTCGATATGCTTGCCGCTGCTGGCGGTGCCACTCTCTCTGGCTCCTGGACTCGTGTCTTTATCAACAACGAGCCCTACGGCCTCTTCTTGCTCATGGACGATGCCTCCACTCACCTCATGGACGCTATTCTTCACGCTGGTGATTTCAAGTCAGAGAATACAGGTAAAGCATCAGCCATGTACTATTTACAACACAACTACATCTTGTATCATCATTAAACGATGACAACTTGATGTGATATCCTCCTTTTTCACTGCTCCATATTTTCCATACAATTGCACATCGTTCTCCTTATTCTCCGGCTTCCAGATCAGCTTTTACTAACTTTTCCTTCTGCAGGTGTTACCTACAAAGGCAATGCCTTGAGTCCTGAAGTTGAAGGCAACTTGGTTTACGTTGGCGATGATGCTACCAAGTACCCTGCTGACATTTATAAGCTTGCCGACGAAGGGGAGGACAAGACCATCAACAAGAAGAACAACAGCCAAGCCGGTATCATTGACTTCACCAAGCGTTTGAGCCAAGTCAATGCAAAGGAAGCCACTGATGCTCAACACCCTGGCAGCATTGTCAACCTCATTGACCCTCAACACACTCTCATTCATATGGCAATCAACTTCCTCATCGGTTCTTGGGATGGTTTCTGGTACCAAGCCAGTAACTACTACTTGAACCAAGATTTGGGCAACAACAAGTGGACTTTGATCACTTATGATTTCGATGAAACCTATGGTAATGGTGTTGAAGATGCTGGTATGAACACTGTCTCCTATCAAAACTACTCTCGCCCTGGCTCCCAACGTCCTCTTGTTGAAGTTTTCCTCAATAGCACTTACTATGATAGCATGTTCCAAGATACCGTCAAGACTATTGTCAAGCGCTTCTTCAAGCCTAGTGTTGTCGATCCTATCCTCCAAGCTTGGTCTCAAATGTTAAAGGAAGATATTACCTGGACTCGCTCCATTGCTGGTAGATCTCCTGGTACTGCCACTACTTTCACTGTCAAGGACTTCCAAGATGGTTTGCTTGGCAACGGCACATCTGTCGTCTCCATCAGTCAATGGGTCTCTAAGCGTGCTTCCTCTGTTGCTGCTCAGCTCAACTTCAATGACACTGATGACCTTCCTGCTTTGCCTGCATACACCGCTGGCACCCACTTGGATGCCAATGGCAATGTCGTTAATAGCGATGGTTCAACTGTTGCTGGCAACGGTACCAGTGTTGCCCCTGGCGGCAACAACAATGCCTCCGCTTCCAAAGAAGGAAGTGCTGCACCTTCTACCAAGGCATCTATTGGCTTCAGCATGGTTGCTATTGCCGCAGTTATGGCCATTGCACTTTAGATTTGATGCATAACATGTTACCTCTCTTTTTCTCATACTGTCTCTATTACCTCTCTCTATTTAAACACTATTTTTTATTAACTACTTTATACTACACAATCGCTACTACTATTGCCAAGTTGAAATAAATTTGCTGAATAGGCATAAAGTATTGTATTCTTAGAAACCATGCTAAATTCCCGTCGGTGTCATACAAATTGATATAATCATCATTTTGCTGAACAGGTAACATGTTGTACGAAAATAATGAGAGAAAATATAGCGCCTTCAAAAAGAACAATGTAGATCTAGTCTAATTTCACATTGCAATGGCTTTTGCAAATACAACTCTCTTCTTTCCAAGCGAATTCTTGCTGCTTTCTTTTATTCGATGCAAGGAAAGATCTACTGAAACAAAATGCTTGTTGTGTCACTGTAATTTGTGCCATAATTACAAACCACAACAAAGTGATACTAGGATTGGCATGCTATTGAGGAGCCGCATTGACTGAGGCGCAACCCAATCTAAAAATATTACTCCAATGTTCTTGCTCTTCCAAGGTGATAATGTTCTTTCATCATCACAGTTGTTTGGCGCAACTGAATCCAGCGGTTATAATGATTTTCCAAACGTATTCATCGTGGTTGTGCTAAACGATTAAACCTGAAGACAGAAAGGAATTTCTTTAAGAGCTATCGGCCGGTTTAAACCGAATTAACGAGATGAATAAGCTTTTGAAATATGAAACTGAAAATCATTCCAGATACATGGTTCCATTGAGAAGTACCATGTCTTTGTTTCTATCTGTAAAATACAGTTGTGTTTTACTTTAATCAAATACTTTGATGCTTGGACACATGTACAAAACAAAAGGGGAATCGAAGAATTTAACATTCGAGCATATGGATATAAAGGCACCGAAACAAATGGTAGAAAATTAATTTCGCTCTGGGCGAGCGTAAAAAGTCGGAGAGGCACAGTTTCTTCGAGCCATCATCAACAGACCCAAAACCAATTTCGTCGGTTGCCTTCGTGCATTCCTCGACGATACGCTTCGTTCTTTGGTATGCTTCATTCAAGACGTCATTGCAGATTTGTTTGAGTGGCCCAAGGTCCTGAAAGTGAAAAGGATAGGATTAAAGAACAATTGGTTCATTAAAACACTTCAAATCACTGGTATATATATATACTGGCTGTGCATCTGCGTACATTGATATCAGATTTTACTTTCAAGATTCAGAGCCATCATCAAGCAAGCGAGCTTTTCGCGTCTGATCAACTACAAGTCTGTCTGATTCTTCAGAACCTAAGAGATCCAGAAGACCTCCTTCAGGTCATGGCCATCTTGCAATCCGAAAACTGTCGCGACGAAAGCTTTATTTCTTCTGCGTCTAACATTTTATCCTGAAAGTTCAATCCCAAATGTCGTTCATTCACACTATCCCAGATTTTTTATTACACAAAATCCACTTTGAAACGCAAATCTCCGCAGAAAATCCTTTTCAGTGATAAAAAGGTATATGGAGCATCTAAAAATACCTATTTTTACTGTATGAGTATTGGTGTGGAGGGTCAAAATTAAGATTATGTGGTCAGTATCACTAGAGAAGATTCCATCAATTGCAGTGTGATAAATGCAGATAGATGTAATGAGTTCAATATAACCAGATATAATCTTCTTATACGCAAATGACAAGATTGCAGACGGAATAGACATAGTGTCGGCAAGAACAGAGAGAAATCTTTGAGGGGAGATCGTTTTCCACGAATATAAATAAAGGAAATTTGATGGTTTTTAGTTAGATTACACGCCAAGTTTCTCGCACTGTTGTTCTCTTCTTTCTCTTCTATGAAATGTAATTCTTTAGCATATAAACAATCAAAATGTCTATATATATAGATGAGATGGGGGGGAGTTGTATGCAAGGTAAGCAGAAACCAAGGAAAGTTTTTATATTATGCTGTTTTTAGAAATTTGTCTATCCAAATGTGAAGCGCAATATCAGGCGAATAAGTGCACTCTGATTCACATGAGGAAAGGGCCACGCAATCGCATCGCCTTGTTGTCTTGCGAAACCATACAAAAGCTTTGAAAAGAGGTTTGTCACGATTTTGGTTACCTGTTTTGAACACAAGCGATCCAAAGCACGAAATTGCACAACCGTCTGTATAGAACGACGATCCCATAAAGACTAGTCGGGTAAATCTTTTCTGTGAAAACATGTTCTGGGATAGCATCCAGACATCTCCAAAGGAAGGACTTATTTCTAAATAGTTAGGTTTCTTTGTTTCTGCCTGAATGAGGAACCAGGTACAGGTACCTGTTTAGCTTCAATTTTAATCATGCTTGTACTCATCTGTTTTCTGGAAAAATACAAAAACAGGAATATAATAATATGCCTCGTCAAAACATCTGGGCACTCTCATTGATGTTACATAATTGTGTGCCAGTGCTACGGCAGCAACAGCTATATTTACGTTGAAGCATTTGAAACCTCAAGTTTTTAATTCAAAGTTGTAAGTTCTTTTTCAGGTGGTATCAACAGACGAAAATAGTATTAGAAGTGAAACAAAACAAGAAAGCAGATAAACAAGGAGACTTTTGCAGCGCACAGACTAAAAAGGGAGGATCTTGATCTTTTATAAGCAATTCTCACTGTCGTCAGATGTGGTCATCTCTTGCCCGGGTACATTACTTGAAGTTTTCTGTAAAAAATAATGTATAGATTGACAGTTGTTTACTATACGGACTATCCCCTACAGGAGAGAGATGGGCTGCGATTGTGCCATTTGTACATTGCACCTAATCTTGAAAAAGAAAAAAGAGATCGTGTTGCCATATAAAAAAAGCTCATCATGACGATGAGATTAAGGTAAAACCTTTGCCGTTCATTTACAAAGTCGGGAGATGTGTAGTCTTTTCTGGTGCCATATGCTATTGAAACGGAGAACAGGGTAATGGCAAAACAATGCTAAAAAGTTTCCTAGAAAAATCATATAAATAGCAGATGAAATGGGTCCATAAAACTCTTGGCCTTCTTCTACACTTTTACAATGAAAATTTCTATTATCACATCTGGCATTATTAGCGTTGCCATCGCTTCCTTGAGCCTAGTCAATGCTGTCGATGTTACATACTCCGTTGTTGCTTTCCCCGGAAACAATGAGACAGTGGCTGTCAATGTGGCTAACAAAGACTATCCTCTCCAACCTAGCCAGTTGAGCTCTAACCTTTTCACTGGTGTCGCTCCCAATGCTCCGGATTACCATTATACCTATTTGACAAGCAGTGGTGCCAAGCCTGAAGCCGTTGTCCGTCATTTGGCTGATTCCGCTACTGCCACTGGCAATGAATTCTTCAACAGATCAAGAACTGTGTGTGATGTGCCTGCCCTCCCCAAGGCATACAATGACATTTATCCTGGTATGTAATACTGTGATCTGCCTTGTTTGACTAGCACACTAATGCATCCCATGTAGCCCTTCAAACTGCCATGAGTAATTCCAATGAGATTTCCACCATTATTATCAATGCTGATATGGAATCCATTGATAAGTTCATGAAGAAGCCTATGGAGGATAACAAATTTGCTCAAGTCTACAACATGAGCTACATTAGCCATGATGCTGTCTACAGCTTCCAAGGTGCTGGTATCAAGAACAGTGGTCAATCTTCCAAAGAATTAGCCAAGCAATCCCTCAAGATCAAATTTAACAAGTTCAACAATGCCACCAAGGATACTCTGTTTGGTCGCCGTGCCATCAAGTTGCGTGCTGAGGCCAATGATCCTACTATGGCCCGAGAGAAGCTCATGTTGGACTCTCTTTCTGCTGCTGGTGTTGCTACTCTCAATGGCAACTGGGTTCGTCTCGTTATCAACAACACACCTTTTGGTTTATACCTCATGACTGATGATACCTACAAGGGATTCACTGAAAACCTTCTCAACGGTGGTAATGTTACTCAAGCTACTGGTGCTACATACAAGGGTAATGCTATGGATGAGAAGAATGAAGCCAACCTTGTCTACAAGGGTAGCAACAATGCCAGCTACAACTTTAATGATGTCTACATCTTGGAAGACGAGGGAAGAGATAAGAATGTTACCAAGGATAGCTTCAGCGCTCCTCTCATCGATTTTATGGAGAGATTGAACAAGACCGTTGTTGGCACTGATGCTCAAAATCCTGGCACCATCACTGACTTGATTGACAGCGCTAATCACACAATGATCCATCTTGCTATGAGTTTCCTCTCTGGTTCTTGGGATGGTCTCTGGTATCAAGCTAGTAACTTTTACTTGAATGAAAACTTGGATACCAAGAAATGGTATGTGATCACTTACGATTTCGACGAAACCTTTGGCAATGGCCTTGAAGAACCCGAGCTCATGACTGTTGCTTATCAAAACTACTCTCGTGCTGGCTCACAACGTCCTCTTGTTGATGCATTCATCAAGTCTCCTTACTATGAACCCATCTTCCAAGATATCTTGAAGAACATTGTGAAGACCTTCTTCAACCCTCGTGTCTTGAAGCCTCGTCTTGATGCATGGACTGAAATGTTGAAGGAAGACGTTGAGCAAGACTATGCTCTCCCTTACCGTTCTCCTGGTGAAAAGAGAGACTATAATGCTGCCGATTTTGCCAAGAACATGTACTCTACTGTTGGCGATAGAATTGGTCTTCTTGAATGGATCTCCAACCGCACTGAAGCCGTTGCTCAACAACTCAACTTCAATATCAATGATGATGCTCCTGCTGCTGCATCCGCTTAGATATGACTACCTCCACCACATACTGTATAATTTCTTTTTGTAATTTAGACTTAATCATTAGCCAAACCACGCTTTCAAATAAATAACAATCATTATATATCAGAACGTCCGAGTTTACAATATGTGAACATTTCAGTCTACAAAATATACTGTACAGGATATACTGTACAGTCTGCACTAGCCGATCAATTTCGCTACGCTCAATGACGGCGACGCCCTACGGGCTCTCGCCGAAGACACCTCAAGTCAGAGATAATAAAAATCTGGTATATCAAAGTAGATTTTGAACAATCAATCAACAGTAAAAAAAAAAGGCTATACTAGAGTCACGAGGGAGAGCTATCCATTTACTGATGTTGCTCTTGAGATGGCGGCATAAAGCTGGCCATGTGGAAATACATGACTTGTACAAGATCTACAACAGCTATTTTTTTTGAGAGATTATCATTGCAAAAGACACCTTTATAGGGAAAAAAAATCCCAGGAAAAAAGTACCCGAGCTAATCAATTGTTCTATCAATTCCATGATCTCCATTTAATCAGCATCGCAATCATCATTGTTATCATCATTGTCAGTATCAGAAAGGTATTTGGGCCAGCCAGCAGCAGCGCCGCCAGCCGCCGCCGCCGCCAAAATCAATTCAAACTCAGTTTATTTTTTCTGTTTAAGATTGGCCAAATTCTGTTTTTTGTCGACTTCTTTAATCTGTTTTATGATATTCGACTGTAAAAACTGTGATGAACGTCCTATGCTCCTTAATACATTCTTGAAGTACTTTTCAAGGCGCTTTCAATGGTGCTAATTGTAATAGATGTTTTGACTGAAATTATTGAGAGATTTGGTAAAATATGAAATGAGGTTTTTAGCGAAAATAACCATATTCTGCTATAAAAGCCTCATAAAAGTAGTTTCAGAGGTTGTTTTGGATCGAGAGAAACATTTTGAATTAATAGTTGTCATAGTAAAAGTCTTCGTTTTGAAGGTGAAAAACGCGATTGTTTGATTTTCGATGAAAACCATGAGGGGTGCCTCATGCTTTTTGGTCGATTTTTGGCCATGTTTTTTAGGTCTTCAAAAAGTTGAGCAACGGTGTCAGGAAGTTACTACTACTCGAGTACAACAATTTGGCGTCATTCTGGTGGCTCAGAAAGGTCTATATGTCAAGATATGAAGGCTTGAAAACTATCCAATTTGGTTATGGTTTGCTTTATAGCTTTTATTTACACAGCATGAATTACATCTTTGGTAGCTGAAATCTTCTGGAAGAGTAGTTCTACAGCCTGTGCAATTTCTAGTTCGAGTAGAAGGAATTTTGATTTTGGTAAGTCTAATTCATACGTTATGTTGTTGGTAAGCTTATTAATAATGAAAATGAAAAACCGAATTTGCTGCTTGAATACTATGATTTTGTACTTTTGCTTCGCTACGGTAAAACCCCCCTATAAACCAATGCTATCAAGTGTTGAATTAGATGTGTTATGTTCTTGATGGAGGGGATTTCGAATTATATGCTGGTCGAACCATAGGAATCAATCATAGTTTTGATTGTCTGCACAATTACATTTCACTCCCTAAATTGTACATCAGGTTTTGAAATGAAGCTTGTATGCTATGCATGCATCTATAGCAAAAAAAGGAGGGCTGATTTGCCAAGAGAAAGCCTATAAGGTAAGGGCTTCTTTTGTATCTCGTTTCTCTCTCTCTCTCTCTCTCTCTCTCTTCGTTTTAAAGGAATCTGTCTTTATTAAATGAGCCCTTTTAATCTACACCATGAAGACATAGAATTCAATCATGGTGTTTGCCGCTTTTCTCGTGGTACTGAGCAACTGTATGCACTCTGCTGATGCTTGTATTCCAGAAGGCTCTCCATGCGATAAATCAAGCTTTGTTGGGTGTTGTAGGCAGCACTTTTGCGATGGTGGAACATGCAAGCCTTTCATGAAGTTCTCTGCATACTATTAGATATTGAAAACAAACGTAAAACTAATAAAGTACATCATATTCAGAGCCTAGGCTCTGCTATCTCTCAAATGTCTTTTTATTCATCTACATTGTCGAAATTCATGGACGACAATCAAAGTGTCCTGTCTCAACGGAGATCAAACCAGTTTATTGTCATAAAAATGCTTGTCCTTCTGTTTTATTCTTTTCCCTCTTCTTCTTCTTCTTCTTCTCTTCAACTTTTACTCTCATCATAAACCACATGTAAGGCATCATTCCTGTGGCTGTATGTACCAGTAGCGCAGTGGTTAGACACTAACAATCTTGCTGCAGTTGTTATGGCAGAATACAAACAAAAGCTTTACGAAATCCAAAGACGTCCTGAAAATCGTACTTGCTTTGATTGCCCTGCTCCCAACCCACAGTGGGCGAGTGTTAGTTATGGTATCTTCATATGCTTGGATTGCTCAGGCGTACATCGTTCATTTGGTGTTCATATCAGGTATTTTGCAGCTATCCTATGTTCAGCGCTTACACATGTATTGACCTTGTATGCTTTTGATTTAGTTTTGTTCGCTCTATTAGCATGGATAAATGGTTCGATGATCAACTAAAAAAGATGGATGTAAATAGCCTGCTGATCGTGGCTTCTATGTTGATCAGTTTTATTGATATGATATGTTGTATTTAGATTGGTGGCAATAAGAATGCCAGAGAATTTTTCGAATCTCAGCCTGATTACTCTCCCAACATGGCACCTGCCCAAAAGTACAGTAGTAGATTTGCTACACTCTATAGAGACAAGGTAAGACTTATTGTATCAATTTGGATAAGGGCGAGTGATCTGATAGTCCTTCTAGCTGAGCGCAGAAGCTGAAGGTAGAACATGGACACCTACATTGGCATCAACCACACCTATTGCTGCTCCAACTCCTAAGAGAGCGACTGCAGCCACTCGATCTCTGGGCGGACAACGTAGTGGCACTTCATCTGGAAGAAACTCTCCCGCTTACGGCAGCAACACCAACAATAACAGCAATGCGGCTGGATTAGTCACTGACAAGGAGAGAAATGAGAATTATTTTGCGACATTGGGTCAAGCCAACGAGACTAGAGATGCGTACGTATAGATAGAAACGGGAGTGTGATTTGCAAATATTAAAAACGAGACGATAGTTCTTTACCTCCTAGTCAAGGTGGCAAATTCACGGGTTTTGGCAATCCAGCATTTGAAAATCAATCCAACTCGAGAACCTCCACACCAGGTATTGACGATATTATAAACGATCCTATGCAGGCATTAACAAAGGGATGGTCGCTCTTGTCAATGGGTATGGAAGAATTGGGTAAAGCCGCTGCTCAAGGCGCTCGTTATGCAAACGACAACTACGTCAAGCCAGCTCAATCACAATGGAACGATCCCAACTTTAGAAGCAATGTCACTGGCTATGTGCAAAACATCAGTGAGAAGACACGAAGCCTTGTGAATGAATCATTGAACGGTGGTCAGAGAAGCAGTAGCAGTGCTAGTCTGAGAAGCAATTACAGTTCTTCCAGCCATACCAACAATGACAATACCAACGATGATTTCTTCAATTCCACCATCTCCTCTTTGCAGCAACAATCCGCCCCCGCTTCTCGTAGTGCTTCTCCTTCTCAAGCTCCTGCAAGAACGAGAACACCTCTTAGAGAAACAACTGCCAGAAAAGCAGCCACTACCAAGAAAGATGACAACTCGGATGATGAATGGACAAGTTGGTAAACTGAGGAGCATACAGCCGATTTGATACCTACAAGACATACATGATTAGAGATTAGAACAGAAGACGAGACCCTTAATATAAATGCTAGCTTATTACTATTACTATTAAACCATGACCGAATATCCTGCCACACCCACATCATCTCTTGATCTGTCCAACTGGAAAGAATGGATATATATGTATATATATATATATATATATATATATATAATTTATTGCTTCAGTACAAAAGGATTTGCAGCTAAAACTCTGATCAATGGGGGGCTACGGATGGGATCTGCAGTAACTACTACTTTTACAAAGTCAAAAGGTCGGATCAATTGACGACACTCACTAGGGAAAGTGCACTCCTTTTGCGTAATCCAAGCATCTTCACCCTGGATAGCTCGAATGGACGTGGACCTTCTGCGGTTCTTTTTCAATTCGTCAAGAGCAGTGGTAGATGAGGATTTGATGGACAAACGCTTGACTTGCTCATCATTGGAGTCGCCAATATCTACTAGAACACCGTCATCTTCCTGAGAGTCTAGATCGTCCCGTACGCTATAGGTGTCCATGATACTGTCGTCGTAATCATCATCCTCATCATCAGTTGAAATAGCGGTCTCCACGCCAGCATCCACCGTTGCCTCGCCCTGAATCCAGATCAAATGAAGCACATTTTCCGACAGACTGTAGGTATCTGATTTCAGAGGCAGATTAAGAGTATGAATGCGTCTTTCCAAGCCCAAGCCAGGCACAATTACATCAAATGCACCTTCTTGAACACCTACAACGATAGCATCTTGCATACGATTGGTAGATGTGCCCGAGTTGTTGGCCAAATAGTAAGATGAAAACATATGCTGTGTTTGTTCATTTGCGTTTTCAGCTGCTCTCGTCTTGACATTGCAATGTTGTGCAGTCTTTTGTACAATCTCGGGTTCCATAAAGAACACCTTTTCGCCCTTGATGACAGCTTCCAATTGCCGATGAACAATGGTATCAGCGTAGCGCTTGGTGGGAGCGCAAAAATGCGTATACAGAGGCGCGTTGTTGGCGTAATGATGGTAACGGTTAATGTCAAATGCACCGGTACAAAAGTATTTCTCTTGGCTCATGCATTTCATCACCAATGTCATGATGACAGCTTTTGCCTCGGGATTCTCAATAGCATCAATTGATTTCTGAAGACTGCTTGGTGTTTCGGGGTGGATGGAGTATCCCAGGCTGTCCAAATAGTGGGTCAACTCGCGCAACTTTCTTTCGTTTGGTGGTGATTGAGATCGCAGCAAGGCATGGTCTGGGAAGTGGCTGCTGATCTTCTGAGCGACTTGCGTGTTGGCCAAGATTTGGAGTTCTTCTAGTATGCATTCAGACTTGAGATGGACTTTGGTGGAAATGCTGCTAGGGTAATTGCCATTTTTAAAGCGAATATCCAGTTGAGAGGGCTTGATAAAGAGAGCCTTTTCAGACCGTGCTTCATGCAGCGAACAGGCAATTGAATAAAGCGATAAAATGTCGGTTGAAAGGTCATTGTTGTCATTGTTAGGGTCATCAATGACGTGTTGGAGCTCTTGCAAGGTCATTACTGCGTTTGAACTACGAAGTAAGGTTAGCCATGTCCTTTGTAGGTACAAAGTCTGTAGACTTACTTGATGACAGTCTTTCCAAACCAAGTCTTCATCACCTCGCCCGAGCTACTCATCGTCCAGATAATGGAGAAGGTCAATTTATCTTTACTTTGCACGAGATCTGTGCAATTCTCCTTCAAAAACTCTGGCCAAAGGGGTACCTTTTCAAAAATGGTGTGGTATACATCCACGCCTCTTGATCTCGCTTCTTTATCCAGGGCTGATTCAGGGCTGATGAAAGCGGTGATATCAGAGACATGAATGCCTACCTCAAAAGTATTGGTATCTGGCACAGATGTAATGGACAAGGCATTCTCCAAAAAGCCGCCGTTCTCATCAACAATAGTGATACATCGAGTGGAGCGCATATCAAGACGTGCCTTGCTTGCAATGTCTCGCTCAATCATCTCGGCGCTCAGCAGGCTGGTGGGGATGCTTCGCAGCATGGAATCGTGGTAAGGTGGAGAATTGACATTGTTATCTGCTAAAATAGCACGCAGCTGAACTCGTGTGTCCTCTACTACACCCAATTCGTTCTCAAGCACACCGAAAGGATGCAGAGAAGTGATAGGCCATCTTTTGATGGATCCCTGTAACATCAACAGTAAGCTATCTGACTGCAGTGATAGAGTTATTAAAGATGTTGCTTACCAAGAAGAGCTTGTTTTCAAACGCATCGCTATTCTCAATGAAGCCTGGAGGTGCTTGTTCGACAGGAATAGCAATCAAGGGCACACGCTTATCTGTCGGTTTGAACCAGATGATGCGAGGCACTGGGCTGTCGCGCTGCTGCTGATGTTGCGGCTGATCCTCACCACCTTTTCTCTTGTTGCTGGGACGAGTCAATCCCAGTGTGCCTGAGAATACTTGCTTTTGAGCACGATCCAAAATGGCAACCACAACACCACAAAACTTGGGAGTGACTAGATCCACGTCTTCTTCACCGCCAAAAATGATCTCCTTTTCATCCTCTTCATCAGGCTTTCTCACCACAGGATGGCCATTGTTTCTAGCAAGCTTGGCCTCTTCTTTTTCGTGTTTCTCCAGCATGACTTGATCCACTTCAATCAACTTGATAGCGACATGATCCCCCTCCAAAGCACGATTGCGGTCGCGAGACCCACAAATGTAGATATCGGCATTGAGATCTTCACAAAACACGTACGCGTCAGATCGATTACGCTTGTTTACACGAAGCAGACCACTCACAAGCATGTTGGATTTGAGGTAAGGCACTACAGAGGAGAATGGTAAATGGGATGTGAATAATGGCTTTCGCTGGTGGCCATTATTGTTGCTGTTTCCAGACTCCATGATAGACGAGCCAGTGGACAGTCGATGATGATGATTGATCATGGAACTAGGCCTCGATGTGCTGGTAGAGGACGCAATGGGTGTCATGGAAGTGGGGCTCTTGGATCTCCAATCACGGCCTGAGCTTCTTCTATCGACATCCACCAGATTTAGTTTGGACAAGGAGAGACGTCTGGAGGCAGCATCGTTGCTGTCCAGTTGATATTGCCTTGATGAGGAGGAAGAATGCTGGTAAGACATGCGTCTATTGCTGCCAAAGGCTGGTCTGTCACTGTAGTAGTCTTGTTGTTGAGGTTGAGGTTGAGAATAGCTGTTACCATAGTTGTAGATGCGTGTGTTGGGTTCAGATAAGCGGCGGCTCTGTTTATCATCGAAACTACGATTATTGCTACTGCTGCTGAAACGGTTGGTTGTTGTCGCGACGTTATTGTGTCCGTTCAGCTTGGCTTCTGTTTCTGCTAATACATCTGCCCTGGATAGGCGGCTCGATGTGTCATTCAGTTCATCTGATCTTTTAGACAGTGGAAAATTGTTGAAATGAGCCACTGAAGAGCGTTGTTTTCTCTGAAAGAGCGGGGAGGCAGAAGATGAGGAATCGAAAGAGTCTCTTTGCTGCAACTGGCGATAGTCATCTTGATTCTGAAAACTGATGGATTCACGGTTGTATTTCCTTTGTTGTTGCTGCCTCTGACTGTAGAAGTCCTCTTCATTGACTGTATGTAATCCGCTTAAACGTTGCTGTTGCTGCTGCTGCTGCTGCTGGGCTACACCAAATGATTTGGCATTGTTACCTCGAGGACCCAATTCAAATGACCGACGCTTATCAATCCAATCACCTCTTCTGACGCCAGAAGCAGGACTCTAAAAAAGACAACAGTGTTATGCTGATTGCATGAATTTATGAGAAATAAGTGTACACTTACGTCTGGAGAATCAAATAAACCTCGCGTAGATTCAGGGGCAGTTTGGCCGTCTAGATCCAGGCTGTTGTTATCCATTCTGTTGATTTGGGTTACTAATAAACACGACTATGTTTGCTTGATGAAATGATAAAACGAATGGAATGGATTCTGAGGAGTCCTGTGTGATGTGAAATGTTGGCTAGTGGAATAAAGAAAGAAATCTAACTAGAAATCAAAAAAAAGAAAGGTAAAATAGAGAACAAGGGGCAAGAGAGAGAGAGAGAGAGAGAGAGAGAGAGAGAAAAGGAGAACAAGAGAGCAAGACGTATAAATAAATAAATAAAGGAGGAAAAAAATTAGACTAAATACAAGATGATATACACGCAAAAAAAAAAGGCGGTAAACTTGTTCGAGAAAAGAAGGGGCAAGCGACACTTTAAATGTATCCATGTAGATGTCGAATACGAGTAGATTAACGAGAGCACCTTGATCTTGTAATTCTGGCCATTTAAACTCTTTAAGAATTGCTACTATTGAAGATATGTTTTCAGTCTGTGTGTGTGTGTGTGTGTGTGTGTGTGTGTGTCAATGCCACTTTCAATGTTAAAACTTAACTGATCGATACTATTATTTTAAAATGAAACATGGCAGAACAGCAGCCCTGAACAATGCCCCATCCGCCACTCTACAGCTGGCTATACCTTCTTTACTGATCTCATCAAATCACCTTGATTCCATCATGTAAAGTGGGTATGCGTCACCTTGAAACTAGGGAGACCTCAAACAAGATGAGACACCAGACACAAATTACGCTACAAACAATAACAAACAAACACAATTTTATTACAGCGTAAACCTTTCATACTCTTGTGGTGTTTGGATCCACATATCAAACACTTGATCCAGTAAGCAAGCTTTGGTCTGCTGATACATGGTAGCATTTTGTTTGCAATCATAATAAGAGAGCGTGCCATCTTGAATCAAACCGTTGGCTACTGATTTCTGGTACAAGCTCTTTTTACACAGAGAGGGTCTGGTTTTGTCATTTACAGGCTTGTTCTTGGGAGCACCTTGTTTGCCACCATTGACAAATACCTCTGCTTTCTCCGCACCCACCACCCAGGACAAGGATGTGCCGCATGACACAACCGCTTGGTATTTGCCAGTAGACTCGAGATGTGATTTAGAATGGATGAATGGTATATCAGTGGATGCAATGACTGGGTGATTTAGCTTGTATGGTTCTGACAGATCTTTAGAGTAGTGTCAATACCAACTAATTCACCGAACCCTGAGAGGTTTTACCTTTGATGGCGGCCATTCTTCCATGCAGTGCTCTTTCTAACGCTTCCCGATCAAACATGTCACCCACAGTGATGGAATCAAGGTACATTGGCTTATAGGCATTGGAGAGCAAGGCAGATTGCAAACCTAATACGTTCCATCTTGCCAGTTTATCGCTACATGACATGCACAGCGAGGGTTCGGAGTCAAGTCGGCCTAAAAGAGAGCACTAGTGCAATTAGAAATGTCAACTAGGCGAGAGACTTAAAAACACAAAAACTGACCTGGTTTAGTTCTCAAAATGCCAAGCTGATTGAAATCGAATCGACCTCTTTGAAACTGCTTGCTTGAATGTTGATCCTGATGAGCATCATTTTCAGTCATTTTCAGCTTTTTATTTGCATAAATATTTTCAGTGAAATATGGGTAGTCTTCCAATGTCGTGCGTTTGCGTTTTTTGCCAGCTTCAAAAATGTCTTTGGATTCCTTGGATTGCCCAAGAGCCAATGCCGACATGGACGCATCGCCGCCTATCCCATCATGCGTGAATAGCGTTGCTAGATCAATAGACACATGTAAACTTACAGGGCGACTGACTCACGTACATGTGAAGCGAGTACTGTGGACGTAATTCCAGCTGATGGCCGCCATCCTGCTTGATGAACGGAGAGCTGTCTTGTTTAGTGTAGGTCTCCAGCAAATATCTATGAACAGTGTACATTAAAATACCTTGCGGGTAAAATTTAATATAGACATACTTTATGAATCCTCTGCGAGCAATGGTTTCTGCATGACCATCGTTTAATACATCACCCGTTTTGCACAATTTACTAAACGGCAAACATTTGAGACCAGTTCTGCATATATTAAAAAATCAAAATAAGCTCATTTTCCCCCTTTGTACTCCTTTTTTGTACCCTAAAGATATGACCTTGATGGAATAATCATCCCTACTTGCTATCCAGCTATTACGTCAAAACAACTGCCTACATGTAAAAAATTGCAAACACGTACGGCAATGAATCATAACAATTGAGGCCAGCACTGTCCATTCGGCCTTTTTTTCATGCAAAATTGGCTTTCCTTGCTTTGAGAGCTGGTTGTATCGATCCAGCGTCGCTTGCACAATCTTTGCTTGCACATTTGGTATGGATTTCCACATATCTTTGACCCAATGTTTGTATCTGTATAGTGTGAAGAGAAAAATGAAATGAAATAAGGAAAAAAAAAAGCCCGCCATTTCTACCAACCAACCAAGGGCCCTGTTGTGAAAATTTCTAGGAATGAAAATTTGAAAGGGGAGATTTCTTTTGGGAAGCGTTTGAAGGAGAGAGTCTGAGAGCAGACTGTATATCAGCAGAAGCATCAGGGAGACGTGTGTGTGTGTGTGTGTGTGTGTGTGTGTGTGTGTGTGTGAGAGAGAGAGAGAGAGGGGCAGGAGGCCATTATAAAATTCGGAACTTTTTTTGTATATATTATTATTATTCTTTTTTATAACAACAACAATAACAACAAAACATATGTGTATTTTTTTTTTTTTTTTTTTTTTTTTTTTTTTTTTTTTTACATATGTACTTATATGACTATAATTGCACTGTATAAATATCTGATTAATTGCCTCTCTTCACCTCTTCATTCCACCTCTCTCTCCTCTCCTTCTTTTTAAAATGTCGTATCCCATCTTGACTTGCTCCAATGCCGCACAGCTATCAGAATTCGTCGCTCAAATGGTGCCAAAAATCTGGACGGGATCATCATTTACAACCACAGGCAGATCAGCTTCATTTCGTCTGTTTTGTCAGAATATCATCAAATCAACGCAAATCTCTAGCCCATGTATACTCGTCGCATTGCTCTACATTTACAAGCTAAGATTTGCCTATCCATCTATACGAGGTTCTATGGGATCAGAAATTCGACTCTTTACGACAGCGCTCATCTTGGCCAACAAGTTCCTAGATGACAATACGTTTACCAACAAGACATGGTCTGAGGTATCCAGCGTGCCTCTGAATGAGCTGAATATCATGGAAGTGGAGTTTTTGTCAGCGCTGCACTACAAGACATGCATTCATCAAGCTCATTTCTTTTCATGGACAGCACAATGTCAGCAATGGATGTCTCAACTCATGCACAGTAGACAGATGCATAGGAAAATCATGGAGAAAAAGAGATCTACAAATTACCATCCTTACGGCATAAAATCTAATTACATCTATTACGATCATCAACAGCAAAAGCCGCTACAGCCCTTTTACCGCCACCATCACTCTTCAGCAGTTATCACAGCAGCAGCACAAGCATCGTCAGTTGCCACCATGGCTGCTGCAACGGCCATGAATGTAGATTATTCCAATTTCATTCCAAGGGTCTAAATGTATACCCTCTTTTTTGAAATGATACCCTTTTGTACTATGTAAATAGAACTTCCTTTATTACTATAGAATCCCCTTGATCATTCTGTGGATGATCGCACAGTTATCCCTCCTCCCTCACCTTCCCTTTATATATTTTCACAAGCCAAAATCAAAATTTTACAATAAAAATTTGAACCCTTTTGTCATTGTGAAATCAAATATGTGTGTGTTTTGTTAGATCGGCATATTTATGAAACTGCTGCTACTTGGAGCTGTATTATGATTGATTAAGGGGATATCAATATTTAAGGATAATAAAGATAGCATGAACAATGCCTATAATAAACACATATATATTGAATACACGGTATCGACATTAGGATGAGATTGAATGTAGCTTACCAGGAATCCAGCCAAAACAAGTCAGTACAATATTGATAAGCAAATCAACACCACAGCCTGTTGATTCATTTAGTATTATGTAATGACATGTGTCTAACAGATCCTTACCTCTTTCACCAAATACACCCAAAGGAGGGAAGATAACGGCTGTTTAAATTGCAATGGGTATAATATACAGCCGAATCAGAACAAGTGCTGTCAAATTCAGAACACGTACATACCTAGAATAAATTTACAAATGTCTGATCCAGTCAATGCCATTTTCTTGAGAGAAAGACAGATACTTTGTCTAATTCATTCAGCACGATAGGTCATTTTATATACGCTATTTCTACAGGAAAAAACTTGATGTTGTCTCACCGATTTTTTTTGTTGTAACATTTGCTAATGTTACAACCTCGGTTCATTCTAGCAAACGATATCATCACATCAAGCCTCCGATGATACAAGCATTACAGACACTCTATATGGCTCAATTAAGCAAGCATCAAGCCAATGTGAAGGATTGGGAATTCAGACGTTTCCTTAGCACCGAAAAAAATCAAGGAGGCTTCGAGATGTACATGGTTTGTAAACAAGTTGTTCTTATACGCTTCTTACAGCTCTATTATTGTATCACGCATGATGATCACCCTGCATCATTAGAACAACAGGAGGCTTATCCTTCGTTGGCCTCATGCGTGTAAGCGACTTGAAGTGCTTGTATATAGTAGCATGGAGGATAAGATGTACCTTGAATGACATCACTTTGGTTTGCATTTATGGTGTCAAGGTAAATACAGAGTGGGTTTCATGGTTCAAGGTAAAACGAGGCGCTGACAGGCGAATATATAGATGTCAGGTAACCCAAAACTGAACAGAATGACATGGAACGATATGAACGATTCCGTGCATTCATGCACATTAGAGTAACGGAATCACGTCTCCATCGTAATGGAAACGATGGAGAATGAAGACAGCACATGCATATATAGCCATAACACAACGTAAGCGTCATTATTGAATGTACTGTATGAGAAACACACGTTGTTTGCCTTTAATAATACGCTACAAACAAACAAACATAGACCGAAATCCTTAAAGATCAACGGTATATGGCTCTGTATTATAGTAGCCGGCGGTTCGGCATTCTCACAATGAGTCAGTACACCTGCTATGAATCTGATGTATGATGCAAAGCATGTAGTTTGGCATAGTGGCTCTTTTGTAAGCATAGCTTCCATAGCATTTGTGTTGTCGATGTAATTGCAAATAATAGATCTACTTGTTGTGATCCAATGCATTTGCTTTCTCTCTCTATAAATGAACTGTTGTTGTGATATAGGGCTGAATATTTGTTGTTATTATTGTTGTAGTACTTAAAATTAGGTGTCAAATCGCCATCTTACAAAACCGTTGGCCTTGCAGTTGTTGTTGTTTGGTTCTTGGTCGCACTAAATAGTTCTGCAAGTTGCACATCTTATATTCATCCTACTTTTTTAAATATCATAAAAAACAGTGTTACAAACGAGCGAGAAATATAAAAGAACGTATGGAATCTATTTATACACACTGTCATTTTGCAATGCAAAGAAAACAAGTAATCATCCCGTTTTGGCTCATCGACTAAACATACAAATGAATTGCCATTCGTGAGTGTCCAAAAAAGAACAGGATTCGCAGCCATGTCAATTTCAAATGGTTGTATAGGCTTATAGTAAGACAATGGGCGTAGCAAGATGAATTAAGCTATGTTGCTTAGCTCGGGGCACTCGTGTACCACGACAATTGCGGTTTTTTTGTGCACTGTGATCTTTACCCGGGAAAAAGCTGCAATAGTAAGCAAATTATCTATAAGCGAATAATTCTTTACAGGCAAAAAATACAAAAATAGAACAATTATTCGGTGTAAAGTGTAACATGTCAAGAGAGGCTAACAAGCTAGTTATTATTATCCATATCATCAGCCAAATATACGATGCCTGACACGATAAATAATATTAAGACATCTGGAGAAAACCAAAGACAGTATAAAAAGAGGGGTACATCTCCAAGTAAAATTTCTTTATTTTCTTCTTACTTCCCCCTTGATTTTGTGGTTATAGCATCCTCGCTTCGTCGTCTGCTTATTTTGCTATTTGATCAGTTCTCCTTTATTCTTTTGCCTCTCTCTCTCTCTCTCTCTCTCTCTTCTTTTCTACAACATCGCATCATGAAATTCGCTTCCATTGCTACAGTCTTGACCTTGATCTCGGTGATTCAAGCTCAAAATGTCACTTCTTCATCAGCCTCTAAGCCTGCTACTTCATCTGCTGTGGCAGGAAACGGCACATCCACATCCACATCTTCTACTCCAGGCCAATTGAGCAGTGGCTATCCTACAGATGGAGCAAAGCCTGTTCCTAAACCTGAATGGTTGGACCTGATCAAAAATGCAAACATCACCAATGCTCCTGTATTAAAGAGCAATGGCGACAATGGTAAATTTCGACATTTTCACATATTTTGACATGTGTGTGTGTGTACTCATCCCATTCATCAACAATAGGACCAAGCACTAGTGGTGCTGACAATTATTGCGATTGGGCTAAATCTGGCTGCATGGGCACTAGTATTGGCGATTGTCCTAAAGGCATGTGGGGTCTTACTTATGATGATGGACCATCTGAATTCTCTCCCATCTTGTACGATTTCCTCAAGACTACAAATCAAAAGGCTACATTATTCATGATCGGTGCCAATGCCATCAAATACCCTGCTACCGTGAAGCGTGCTTACGACGAAGGTCATGAGATTGCCATCCATACCTGGACTCATAGCTACATGACTACCCTTACAAATGAACAGATTGTCGCAGAACTCAAATGGACCGAATTGGCCATCAAAGAGATTACTGGCGTGTCTCCTAGATTGTTCAGACCTGTAAATATCAATCTTGCATGATTCTAAGATGTAGAGTACCTGTTTATTTACTGTTTCTCTCTATAATAGCCTTACGGTGATATCGATAACCGTGTTAGGGACATTGGTACCGCTCTTGGTTTTACCTGTAAGTTGTTTATCTTTACGTTGCACAATCAAATGTAACTCTAACTCTTATATCGTCTATCAGCTGTTATTTGGGATCATGATACCAATGATTGGATGGTAAGTTCACGTAACATGTCCACATGCATTTTTACTCATACATATATTACAGCTTGGTGAAAATGCTCCTGGTTTCAAGGCTGAATGGATTGATGGTAACTTTACTAAATGGATTGCCGAAGCTGCCACTGCTACAACTGGCGGTCTCTCCCTCGAACACGACATCCAGAAGGTTACTGTGGATGCCGCCATCAAAAACTTGCCCGCTCTTCAAAAGGCTTACAAGGTTGTTACCGTTGGCCAATGTGCTGGTATTCCTTCTTACAAGGAAGGCAACGCTACATTACCTATCAACAGCACCGCAATCAGTTCATCTGCTGTTCCATCTGCTACCTCCAGTGTTCATGTCACCCCTGCTGCACCTACTACCACGCAAGCCAGAGCCTCCAATGTAAACAATGTCAGTACAAGTGCTGCTATGCGTAGCACATCAACCTTCTCATCCTCTGTCATGTTGGTCTCTTCTGCAGCTGTATTCATGTTTACGTTATACTTGATTTAAATTATCGTATGATTCTCTCTTGTAATTTATAATCTATTTTCTCTTCTTTCTTCATCATTCATTGCTATATTACATAACTTATCCTTAATCCAACTTTTTTTTGTTAGAGTATCATAAAATAAAATTTTAGTTTGCCATATCTACATGCAAACTTTCCCTAATCTTGTTGCTGTTGTCTCGTAATAATATGTACCTGCAGCTTTCTTATCCTGACTAAACTTTATTATGCAAGTACATGGCTAAACATTTGTGCCGCTCCATAATACGAACTGAGTACAGCGTTGTAAACGAGTAAGATAACATTTCCATATGGATAGATGCGTATAAACTACTATTGCAAACAAACTGTCTCGAGTACTCACTAGGCCTTGTACTCAAAGCAGCATACACAATGATGGGCAGCTTGGCAGTTCCGCATTGCTCATTATAGATCGCATTTGGATGAGTAATTTGCGACCATTATATCTATTATAAATAAAAATGCGCAACAAAAGAAGGATATAGCAGCCTTGTAGATTTCAATTACTTTTCAGACCGCACTTGCCTTTTTATTCGCTTTACAAATGTCAATTGCCTATAACATCATGAAAGGCTTTGATTCTGCCACCAACCAGAATATATTAAAACTCAGATATAGATCGGTTCCAGATTGGACAAATGTTGATCAGAATCTACTCAATTGATCTATTTTGCGACATTCGACTATGTAAAGTGTGATGATCATCCCATGCTTCCTAATACACGTCCCTGGTGGTAGGGCGAAGTGGTAGAAACTCCCGTATGCCAACGGGAGGATCCTGGTTCAAATCCTGGTGAACGCAAGTTGTTTGATTTTTTGAAGTAGTACTGATGTCCTCGTTTGGTGTTTTGTACTCTTATCCATGATCTATATTTTGACGATTTCCGCAAGACTGTATTGGCTCTAGGAGTCGCACCTTATTAGTAGTAGATTTCTTTCCCAACTTAATTCAAAAAATATCTTATTCCCCTTCTTTGCAGACATTGGGTCCACCAACAGTCTTTTCTATCCCTCAGCATGACATTTAAAGGACTTTAAATAAAAACTGGAGCTCGTCTCCCCTACAAAAAAAAAAAAAAAAAAAAAAAAAAAAAAATGCTTCCTAATACATTCTAGGAGAACTTTTCAAGGCGCATCCAATGGTGCTAATTATAATAAGTGTTTTTAATAAACTTATTGAGAAAATTCAAGAAGTATGAAATGGCGTTTTTGGGGGAAATGTCGAAATTTTACATATCAAAGTCTCATAAACAAAGTTTCAGGGGTTGCATTGGGTCGATAGAAACATTCTGATTCAATATATACCATAGTAAAAGTCTTCATTATCAAGGTCAGAAACGCGATCGTTTGATTTTAGATGAAAACCATGAGGGATACCTCATGCTTTTTGGTCGATTTTTTGGCCATGTTTTTTGGGTCCACAAAAAATTGAGCAAACGTGTCAGAAAGTAAGTGCTAGACGAGAGCAATTATCTGGCGCTATTCTGGCAGTCTAACACGGCTTCTAACGCGAGAAAAAACGACTCAAATACATCCAGATATCACTGTGGTTCATATAATTCTGAGTTGATGAAGGCTATTGCAAGCATACAGTCTGTCCGTATATGAATCGGACGCATTGCATTGACTCAATGAATTTTAAAATAGATTGGTTAAAGTTGTAATCCTATCAAGGAGACTATAACAACAAGAACATAGCCTTAATGGAAGCAATTGTGCATCTCACAAAAGCCAACGAGCTTGTAGTGATTTGAGATGGGATAGTATGATGGTGTGCGTTCTTTGAGGCAGCTGAGGAACGCCTATTTCATCAGCTAACACTGTGGTACCATCGCATGAAGGTTTTGCCTGTTTCGTCATATTACAGCAACAAGGCCATTTTGCATGAATGTAAAACAAAAAAAGAGAAAACCGGGGTATAATTGCCTTTTTCTTTTTTCTTTTCTCTTTTTTTTTTCTTCTGTATCAAATAAACACAACATGGAACAAAGAAATGAATTACCAAAGCATATGCCTGTCGATATGGCATTAGCTCCTGACCAAAAGCCTTATGAACATACGCATGTCATACACACAAGCAAACCCACCTCGGAAGAAAATAGGCTCGCTCAACACAGTCTCTCTCCAGAAAAACTAGGCGTTGTAGGTTATGTAAAGGATGTCGCAGGGTTTGTAAAGGACGTGGTTCACGAGAGAAGATCTGCTCGTAGAAGCTCTGCTTCGTCAGTAACATCTGCTTCTGATAAGCCATTGATTGAGCAAGAAACAGCAGCGGGAACAGGAGAAGAAAAGCAAAGACGAAGATCCTCTGCTGAACATGTGTTGCAACAACAGCAAAAGGAACAGCAACAACAAAAACAGCAACAACAACATCCTTCTGGTTTAGCAGGCGCTGTAACTGGTTTATTCCCTGGTGTAGGCAATAGCAATGAAAATGCTGCTGGTTGTACTCATGCCGATGATCTCCGTAACCAGATGATGCATATTAACAGCGAAGAAAATAATCGTAAGATTTTGTAAAAATAAAGTGTATATTTATGAATAAAAGCTATTTTTTGTGCTTTCGAGTACTGGATTCTCCCGCGATGTCTTTTGCTGCTTCTGATATCAGTTGATACTATCGAAATTTGTTGAGCAAAGTGTTTCTTTCAGAGTGTATGAAATCATTACCAAACTGTCGTTACGTCGTGAACACAACTAAAGATGGCATGATTTAGTATACAGCTTGCACTTTTGTCAGTTGGCTCTTTCTATACCTTGACATCTTCCATTGATATAACTGCTCTTTTACCGTGCCTAATCCACTCGTTATTCACTATTTGGGCCATTGACTCACATGATACTTACACTGCAAATGCCTCGAGATCAGTTGCCATAGTTTCTATTAACATTTAGCTTGCAGTTTAACACATATATCAGGGTATATAGACTTACGCATTTGAGTCATCACCACCTCAGCCAAAGAAGCCACAAAAGCCTCAGAGACATCCTTTCTCAAATGTCTAGCAACTGCAGATTCCGCGTTATTTGAGAGATGTTGATATTGCTTTACTACGAGTGAAGTACCTTGGTCTTTGACGATTTCATTGACTTGCTGCCAGATGGCTGTCTGTAATCTCTATGCAATCTAGTTCAGTGGATTAGATAGTGCGTAAAGGTAAAGGACCTACTTGTTCTGGTTGTTGATTTTGATCCTGAGATTGCTCTTCTTCACTCTCAAAGTTCATGTGCTTTTGTACAGTGATTACACAAGAAAAGAAATTTAACTACACCAAAATTTTTGTGACCCTTCCTCCTCCTTCTCTCCACAACTCTTCCCGCGCTCAACATAGAACAGAAACGAGCTGCATATAAAAACTAGCGACGTGGTAGACCACTTGACCAATTACGCTACATCCTGATGATATCCTCATTGCCATAACCAGCTGTTTTGAGGGGGGGAGGATATCCTCATTTTTTTTCTTTTCTTCTTTTTTCTTGTTCTCCAACAAATAATCATGCCAATTCCATCCATTGTATCTTCATCTTCTTCAAACGCTACTCCACTTCCTGTGGTTACTATAACAAATCCATCGCTCGATGAGATTGTCCTTCAAGAGGACTCAAAATGCAAACAGCAGCCCACGATCAAATCCGAAGCTAGTACAGTCAGTAGCAATTCTATGGAAACTGAGGTCAGTTACAATACAAAACAGCATGTCAAGTCATGCCACAAGATAAACAAAGCGGTGGTGTTGCTTCATGCGAGACGTGAGGAGGACGACAAGGTTGCAAACATCAACGAAGATAGACTTCGCCCCGTGTGCGTTGGTGGTTTGTATGCTGGGTCAGTTTTCCGTGGCACACAAAAGTGTGGTACAGCTAGTTATGAAGTGAATGTAGAGCTGCTGGTAAGTGCCGTGTGTGCGTTTGTGTGTCTGTATGAGTACAAGCCTCACTTATACCATGCCTTTCCGTTAGCATGTAGACATGAAAGAGAGCAATCTGTGTGGCTACTTGAAGATTAAAGGTTTGACTAGTGAGTTCCCGGAGCTTACGGTATGTGGGTTATTATGGAAACATACTCATGTCAAATGGGCTTACCTGGTTGAACGATAGACATTTTTCCAAGCTGAGATCATTGGCCCCAAATACTCTTTTCACACTCGCAAGTGGCAGGCAGATCAACAAAGCGATCTCTTGCATTGGGTAAGGCAACTACATATGTATAGAATCGTCGATAAAGTTTTGATCAAGTTGATTCCGTATAGAAAAAATTTCCATCTTTCAAGCCTTATGTAGACACATTCAACCGTGATGGTTTCAACTATGATTACAAGGCAAATGACGACTTTATTTACATGCGATGGAAGGAGACCTTTTTGGTGCCTAATCACCATGTGAGCGCTATTGATGGTGCTAGTTTCGCTGGCTTCTATTACATCTGCTATCAACGCTCAACTAACAGCATCAGAGGCTTTTACTTTTTCCGTCATCACAAGGATTGGTTTCAGGAACTTAACTTGGATCATACTCCTGCAAATGCTTTTGGATCATTCGAGTTTCGTTGAATCAATTCAGGCATTGCACATTTCAACAGATATCACCCAATAACTCTCACAATACCTGGTTCTTACACAACTTTTACTTTCTTTCTCTTGTTTCCTGTATATATTAATCCACTCTTATTCTGTTCACGCCTTCCTTTTCCTTTGTATATCAATCTGAAGATTAAAAAATCTTGTAATCTCACCATTCTGAAGGTGATCTCGGTGATCAATGACTTGTGCCTGATCCACTTTTTCGGCGTGATAGACATTGTGCATTAGTGGCTTCGAGATAAAGCTCGACAGTAGACTACATCAGGATACTTCATATTGAGATAGAGGGGATCTGATGTTCCTATCTCGTAGCAGGCTTTCATAACACAGATGCAATGCTTGCTAGCTCTACCATCGAGTCAACAGGCTTCCCGAGTCAAACAAAACGTCATTTCAAGCTGGATCAGCTTTCGATGATTTATTGGCTGGAGGATAACGCGTGTGGGTGGTCTTGAATAATAAATTCAAATTGGCGCGCGATTCCCTTGTCCATTTTACATATTCCCAACATGACAATCGATTGCTATAAACTTTTAGAATTGGACAAGACGAATGCCACGATTAGCGCTATTAAAAAAGCCTATAGAAAACTCGCATTGAAATACCATCCTGACAAGCAGCCCGTAGATGCAACAGACGAACAAAAGGAGCAAGCCAACACCTCTTTCCAGCAATTAGGCATGGCGTATGCTGTGCTCAGTGATCCCAAACGTAAGGAGCGCTATGATCGAACTGGAAGCATGGATGAAAGCGAGTTTGAAGGCGATAAGGATTGGAATGCCTACTTTAAAGAACTGTGGACAGGCGTTGTCAATGCAGAAACCATTGAGGCACAAAAGGCGAAATATCAAGGTATTTTTTTTTTGTAAACTAGTTGCATGCTCTCACTTGACATTCATCAAATGCTATTTTAAGGCTCTGGGGAGGAAAAGAAGGACGTACTCGCAGCTTATGAGATATACAAAGGACATATGGGCAATATCCTGGACACAGTCGAGTGCAGCACAGCTGTGGATGGGGAAAGATTCAAAAAGATGATCCGCTCAGCTATCAACGACAAGACTGTGCCACATTATGAGTTATTTGACAAGACAACAACGCCAAGAGAGCATCAAAAACGCCTGGATGCCGAGAAAAAGGAAGAGGCGGCATTCTTGAAACGACAGAAAAACGACAAGAAACAAAAGACGCCAGAGAAAAAGGACGACGGTGAGGATGGCTCACTTTTAGCATTGATACAGAATAGAGCCAAAGAGAGAAACGCAAAGATGAATTCTATTATTGATTCAATTGAGCAAAAGCAAAAGCAAAAGCAAAAGCGCGGCAAAAAGAGAAAAGAGCCTGATATGCCATCAGAGGAAGAGTTCTTGAAGTTGCAATCAAAAATGTTCAAAAAGGACTAGATCACATCAACAAAGGCTATACGAATAGGGATAAAACTGTATATGAAATGTCTATTTGCCACCACCAAGATGCCTGTCGTTTCAGTGTATCATGTTAATACTACTTGAAATAAAGCAAATCGTCCTCAGTTTACTTACTTTGCTTTGTGATCTCCAGGAGAAACATACTTTTTCAGTGACCAAATACCTCTTTTGAAGAATCTGATAAAGATAGACGTTAGATCCATATCAAAAATGGAGAAAAGTGTATTATTACTTCGCTCTGGATTCGTATTTCTTTAGCTGATCCAACATGCCTGCGTATTGTGCCCCCTTGGCTACATAAATGCTTGCTAATCCAGCCTTCAACATTTCTGCAGATACATTTTTCTTGAGAAAGAACGGCGGCTTTCTAACATAAGCCATGGCCACCTGTAGCATGCATTAATTAAAGTGGTTTGCACTACTAGCATGTACACTTACCACACGAGCGTATTGATCTCTACTGAGCAATTGCACTTGTACCCTTTTATTCAGCACTAATTTCGTCAAATATTGCTTTGCCTCGGCACTGAGCGGTTGGGCTGGCATGCCGAAATGAGCTCCTTCAGGTGCATCCACACCAGCTATACGTATTGAGATGGTTTGATTTTGCAATTCCTTTCGGGTCTTTGGTATATTTCTGACCCATCCCCAACCCAACCCTGGTGTATGGTAAAGACGAAAGTTATCGCTGTCTCCAACTGCCACTACCTTTCCTCGTATCTTGGTCGCTTTCTCGAATACTTCGGGTGGTATATGGCCAGCTGTCTTGTATCTCTTACCGACTACGAATCGAGATACTGCCCAGACAGCAGGTATGCCTATCACGATGCCCACTGCTACTGGACGCCATATACTTTGGACGACTGAATCTGCCCAGTTGCTCAGCTCCTCTTCTGATCCTACATAATCACGAAACTTTGCTGTGATATCGTTCCATGTTTTCCAAGGTTCCTTGTCGCCTTGTTTGTTATTTGGCATGCTGCCTATGTATCAAGCAAATGAAAGAAAAAGTGTGTGGCTGTATTGCACTTGATGGAGGATTGTAGGCCATCGAAGACGCGGAGTTCATCAAACGCAATGCAATAGTACAACATTGGAGTTGCTGTGAGATGATTGCCCTTGACTACTAGGCCATATCATCATCCATGGCTTGAAAAAAAAAAAGCATGTGCGCACCGGTCAGTCCAAACATTCGGCTGCAAAATCCACATGTCTCTGCGTTTGATGGTGTAAATCTGTGCTCATAAAGCAGAGGGCGTTGTCGGAGTAGATCCATCATTACGAAATCCACCATGCTTTTATACAATTTAAAGAGGGATTGTTTGCCCAAATGCTCGAATTAAGTAAGCAAAATTTCACATAGACATTGCGTATCGATATACCAACGATTTCCATGATCAGTACAGGTATCAATGTCGAGTAGATGAGCCAATGTTGGCATGACACAGACCGTGTCAGTAGTCACAATGAAAAAAATTCTCCAGTATTTGACTCTGGTAGCCCGTCCCAAAGATGGGTGATGGGTTGAGCACTAAACATTTACTCTATTTCACTATACCAAAAAAAAAAAATTATTATCTTGGGAGACGAGACAGATAAAAAATGAGCAACAACAACAATAATAATGGCGAGAAAGATGATTCTCTTGTTCAACAAGTAAAAACTTGATTTAAATATTGGAAAAATGCAAATGTCTAATATTTTCCTATAGAATAACAGCGGCACAGCCTCTCCTTCGACATCTTCACCAAACACCAACAACAACGATGATGAAGAAGTGATCACCCAACTTACGCTGGCCGGTTTGAAGGTGCTGATGGTTCGCAAACGCGACCAGATCATATACAAACTACCTGACAACATGCAAGTGGCTGCGATTGGTGATGAGCAGCGCCAACAACTCATGAAGGAAATTCAATCACTACACGCTGCTACAATGGCTGCTGCTGCCAATGCTCAACAACAACAACAACAACAACAACAACAACAACAACAACAACAACAACAACAGCAGCAGCAGCAACAACAAAAGCAACAACAACAAAAACCAACTGATATTAAACCTATCGCACCTAGAAATGAATCACTGAATCCTTTAGATACACCTCCTAAACCTACTGCTGCTGAAGCTGATGCTATCAAGGAGACAGCTCGCAAGTTAAGAGAAGAATTAGAGCAACAGCAACAATTACAAATGCTTCAACAATCTCAAAAAGCTGGCAACGCAACCAATTTCGATCCGAATGACAGCAAATCATCCACCCGCAAATACAACAAGACTGGAAAGTATTCAAAGAAGCGTCAACAGCAGCTGCAACAGCAATTGTATCAGCAATTGCAACAACAGTATCCTCAGCAGCAACAGTTGACGCAGCAACAGTTGCTTGCCTTGCAACAGTCGCTACAGCAACAGACCACGATCAACACTGGCTACGATAATAGATCATCTTCCACTATACCCATGACAGGCAATACAACTGCCACTAGTACACCTCTCAGTAGTGCACCCAATTCGTCGCTCCCCTTCCCTCCTATTGCTCAGCAACAGGCACAGCAAACACAGCAACAAGATAACAGTGCCAAATCCTCGCCTGTTCCTCCTACTCCACCTCCTGTGCCTATTCAACAACAAATCCAACAAAAGACGCTTCCACCAGCAGATTCTATCTTGTCTAAGCGATTGCCAGAAGAAGAGTTACAGCATCGAGAGGTCAAAAAGAGGTGTGTGATGAATACTCCAATGCGTTATTGGGTTAATATTGACTTTTTGATATCTAGATGTGTGGAATCATTATTAGCAGACCATAGATCAGTTACTTTTCCTGATTACGAGAAGCCATTCACCTCTGTTCGAGACGCCATGAAGCGATTGATGCCCTATCACATTTATCAATATCCTAAAGGAGATTTAGATGCCAACAAGATTCCTTTGGAGAGACAAGGTAAAGAATGTGGTCTAAAGAGCGAAGGATATGAGTATTAATGGTTTTGTAGATCATACTATGATTGAGATTTTTAAATGCCAGTCTGATCTATTTGAAAAGCATGGAAATACCAGCAAAAAGATTGAAAAGGTTAGTTAATGGGAGCTTGTGGCATAGACGCGATCACTGAAATCAGCCTGCAGAATCAGGGGAAGCTGTCCTTAAAGATAATGATGGAAAGACAAGTTTTAGCTGAGCAAAGACAAAAGCTGACAGAGGAGCAGAACAGAGTGCAAGCTGAACAAGCAGCACAACACCAAGAATTGATGCGTTTACAAACAGAGAAAGCCAGAATAGAACAGGAGACCAAACAGCAACAGCAATTACAGCAACAACAGCAGCAAATTCAACCTCAGTCTCAGACACCAGCACAACTACAACCTCCACAACAATTGCAGCAAATCTTGCAACAAATCTTGCCTCCACAGGCTTTGGAGCAACTCCAGCAACAACAGCAACAACAGCAACAACAACCCAATTCAGGTAATGATAACTGACATGCTGCTTTATGTTATTTTATACTAAATACCAAATACTATTAGCAGCTGCTACCGCCAATTATGCTAGTGGACTTGCTCAAGCAACTGCTTTATTGCAAAATCCGCAATTTGTCAACCAATACAGCCAGTTAAGCCCAGACCTACAAGCTAAATTACTAAGAAATAGAGAACAGTTAGTTGCTTTAATCGAAAAGCAGCAGATCCCCAGCAATCCCAACAATAATAACAGTGGACAGCAATCCTAATTAACTGTAAATATCTTGACGTTACTATACCTTCCTGTCGCCATGAATAAAGCAGAGCTACTCGTTTTAGTAATACTAAATTTCGCAAATTGAGGTTTTGATAAGCATAGTAACATCATGCGGCTCCTTTTCTCTTCTTTATCGTCATTTCTACTGACTGAGATATTGATACAACATCTCTGAAAGTAGTGACATGTTTTACGGCCAAATTTTATGAGACAAACCGTTGTGTAGTTGGATTTTAGATTGGATGGGTTATTGCTGAGAAATAGACGATATTCGAATCAAGTTAACTTTGAGTAATGAGCTTCATAAAAGAAGAACATGTTAATTACAAAAAGTGTTTACGCGTAACAGATTGGTGGATCAGATGTTCGAAAACTTTGCATTTAAAACCGCTTGATTATAAGATGCTTCGTTGAGGATTGGCAAAGGTTCAAAGGTGCTGTATGCTGCGCATTTTACGAGAAAGGTGGAACAGTTATTCCAAGCCCTATGCTGATGCTAGAGACTTTATATTGGATCATTATTATATGCCTGCATTGAGGGGTTCAACATCAACGTATAGACTTTAAGTCTATTTTTACGGCTGGACATGGCATCTCTTTTGTGGAAGACTATCAAAAGTGCCCTGCTGATCTGATAAACATTACGTTCAATCCAAACAAGTCGTTAGATTCAAATTTGCTTAATATCATGAACGCTCAAGGTTTCTAATTATTATAATAATCGTGTATTTCAAAAGATAGATTTGAGCCTAAGAATTAGAATACACACGTCTATCACTTAGAAATCAAGTTTTGTACAATGCGGAACATCTGGATTATTAGAAAAAAAAAAACTCTGATTTACTTGCTTGTTTGACAGCACAACCTACTAACCTACTACAACTTATTTTCAGGCCAAATTCTGTTCAAACCTAGCTATTTTCAATTACTCATAACTCATGGCACAAAGTGTTCTGTGATGTATCAGAAATAAATTATTTATAAAAAGAGTGTGAAATTAATCAGGTAAAGAATGTCGTTTATTACATTGAAAATAAGAGGGTTTATATACTATTCGAATTGAGGGATTTGATGTGAGGATAAGGTATTAGATGGGTTGATTTGGGTGATAGGATAATAGATCCAGTCAATTATCCTGAACATGCCATGATATAGATTCGTAACTGAATCCTGTTTCATGTCAAAGTTTATGATCTGATGTGATCGGTGCTTGAACTGATTGTTTCTACGCATTTGGGGATCCGGTTTAGAAATGATACATCAAACTGGTTGACTTTCTGTCGATCTGTCATGTATTATTATTTTGTGTTTGTAATAAAAATGGATTCAAATATTGACACAATTGAAGTCCTTCTCTATTCAAATGTAAGATAAGATGCGATGATTGAATGCATCGTTCATTAAACAGTTTCATGTGAGGAATGTCTTTTAAAGTTATCAGATGCGAAAGTTATACAAGAGGTAGTACCACTTCAGCACAGCGTTGCTTACGTTGTTGTTGCAACAGTATTATTCTGGCTATCCTGCCACTAAACAATTGTTTTTGTTGTAGTTGATGAATTCGTAATAATAAGTCGATGATAATAATCAGTTGTCAACTGTATCTTAAACGAAAGCCAAAAGCTTCTTTATTACAGGGCATCTAACTAGCTTAAATATGATAAATCCCTGGTCAATGACTACTACGTTGAAATGGTATATAAATAGCAGGCCACTGGGGTCCTATGGATTGTTGGTATAACTTGTTGAAAGGCCACCTAAGTCGATATGTTGCATGTAGTGTAGGTGGATCTCGATATCTTGACATTAGGGAGATTGAATCTATTGTAGTTCCTGAGGCACCTGTGCACACACAATTGACTGGACTTGTAAACATAGATGTGATGTGATACGATAAACATCATCTATGCTGCTACCCTGTAAAAGGTGGCTTGAGGAGAAAGTGAAAGTACCCTAAGATGCATGCTTGTAGGCAACAATCATGCAGTATCCATGAGCTAACAAGACTTCACATTTCACTTGTTGGGCCAGCTGTTCCGGTAACACATTGTAGCTTGTGGCTAACGGGACAACAAGCCTGTATGCAAAAGGGTAACAGATGAAGCTATTTTGAATAAATAATATTCGAACAATGGCTTTTTAGTTTGTCTTTACCAAACATCTACGATTGCGAGAACTCGTGCATGCTACGTTTAATATGTGCAATATACCGGTCTTCTTTAGGATGAAGTTGTAAATTTGCATTTATCAAAGCTTTGCATCGCAATATGAGAAGTTGTTGTAGCCGAATGATTAGCTCAATCCCTGGACATTTGGGACCTTCTAGAGAGTGTATAGTGGCGTCAGTAGGACATGCTTAGATTTATATTATTTCTGAGCAATAGCCATTGCATAAATCACAACTGAATCCAGGGAAGATTGGCTTTGATAGATGCTGCAAGAAAAGGGGCGCAGAGGATTACTAAGTCAAATGGTTTGAGACCCCAAGTATTGGTATTTGTGTGATTGATCTCCCCTTTAGTTTGGATGAATGTAGATAAAGATAGACTTGGTTTGGTCAGTTGCTTGGCTATATAATAATAGAAGTTGGCCTTCTTGGATTTAGTACCATCGTGTGCCAAGTGATGCGTTTGGCCTCAAAATTAGTATAAAACCAAGAGATGGTACCAATATCTGCTGTGGTTTTTTCAGAAACATTTACATTTACAAAATGCAAAAGTCTTTCGCATCTATTGCTTTGCTCTTGATTGCCTTTTTGATTTCTGTTACTCAAATAGCAGCTGCTTCTGTCGAAATTCAAGATGACAAAGCGGAGGTCAGGGAAGCAGGTTTCCCTGTCTATGATATGTATAGGTCCATGTATGATCAGTATTACAGTCGCTGGGTCGCTCATGCCATGATGATGTAAGTTGCCAATCTTGGATAATGTATGATTGATTTGGCTGAATTCATTTCATTTATAGGGATAGAGAAGCTGAACCTGCTCAATTTCCCCCTTTCCCTCCATTCCCACCTCCACCTACTTTCCCTCCTTTCCCTCCTCCACCTACCTTCCCTCCATTTCCTCCATTTCCTCCTCACTCTTAACTTCAGATAGATTTAAATGGCCTTGTGATTTTGATATCATTGAGATCCGAGGAGCTGGTTACTTTTTAGCAACCTAAACCTTTCTCTTATGCAATAAACTTTCTTTAAACAATAATCATGTCAACCATTACTTTTTATGTATATATTCAATTTGAATGTAATGCGTGATCTTGGATCAGCATTGATTACTATTGTCTTGTTTAGTATTGTTATTACCAAAATAGAACCAATGATCGAAATATTTCGCATCTCTTAAAGAAATTTAAAGTATTTAAAATAGAGGAGCTGATAGAACTGTTAGATATATGCTATGACTCTTGGCTACGCTAAAATCGTCCAGATTTAACAAATAAATTTGTTTTTTCCAATGGTTGAATCAATATTTCTCCTCTTATCATCCAAATCCTCATCTCCAGAAGCTAATTTATAGTATTCATGATACAATAAAGGGGTTTAAGCTATTTCTGATAGTGATAGATTGACTTAGATGTAGTTACTATTTTGAGCGTGCCAAAATTAGAGAAATCATCATCAAATAATGTAAACCAAACAGATGCACACCACTGTAAACTACATAAATCACAAACATCTATATACATCTTTGCATAATCTCCATTTCAATGTATCATTCCTCCTTTAATATAGAAACTACAAACCTGATTTGGCCGCTTCTTTCAATGGCATTATTATTAGAAGTTGGACTTGGCTGCAGCTTTCCATGGTTCATGATGGATCAGGCCCTACATTTGTATAAAAGCGAGAGGATTTGGTAGCAATATTGGAGATAATTCCGTCTACTCTTCAATAGTAAAATGTTCAGTCTTTTGAAATCCATTGCCATCCTCTTGGTGGCCTGTTTGGCTGCTTTGGTTTACGTATCGGCTGCTCCAGTTGAGCGTCCAGTCAATGGCGCAGTTGAAGCATCTGACATTGAGAAAGCAAGTTTCAACTCTTTGAATGACATCTACAAGCCTCACTATGATCGATATTACGCTAAATTCGCCTCTAATTCTCTTGTGTAAGCTTTCAACTTGCCAAATAAAGGGTGTGTGTATTGACTAATGCTCTTGTAATCGCTTCTAGTGCTAGAAACCATGAACACGATGACCATAATGGCGACGATGATAACGATTCTTGCAACGGTAGAGATGACGACCATGATAGCTGCGATAATGACGATGAATCTTGTGATAATTGTGATAATGAACATGATGACTGTCATGACAATGGCTCTTGCAACCGTCAAGGTAATGATCATAACGGATGCGGTGATGATGGCTCGTGCGATGATGAACATGATGGACGTGAAGAGAGCACAGGAAACGAACCACACTCTTCTACTTCTGTTACTGTAATTTATCCTCCCTCCCCACCACTTGCACCCTTTCCTCCATTCCCTCCTCCAGCTACCTTCCCTCCATTCCCTCCATCTTCTTAGTCTTTGATACTGCAATTACGATTTGGCCTCAACATCATTTTAAGTCCAAGCAGTTAATCACATTAGCGCCATGATCCATTCTCTTTTATAATAAAGGAATTGCTTTTTCATCCTGAACTTTGACATTAAATATTCAAGCTTAAAGGATATAAGAGAGCTGTTTGGCAGCTAGTTGGTGACAATTGTATTCATATCTTTCTTCCAATTTGATTAAACTATAGCAATACTTGTTCATCGATGGGTGATTTATTGGCGATAAATGCACGGATAACGCCCTATTTATACTTCAACAGTATCTCGACGGAACGCCTTTGTAACCAACTTCCAGCGAAAGAGCAATGTGGTTACCAATTCATACAATCCTACTAACAAGATGATGGGAGAATAAATAATGTACCAGAGTACTTGATGTGCCTTTTCAACCCAAACAACAGGCGATTGGCATTTGAACACCACGCGAGCGAACCAGCGAATGACACCAAAGATCAGATCAATCATAATGCTTGGAATAAAGGCGTTCAATATAGGACTAGACTTGAGGCAGCGATTGATAACCCAGTTGCGCTTCACAGTATCAATGCGAGTGTTGATTTCCAAAATCGTGCTCAAGAATGAAGCAGTAAGTAGTGATCCAAGAATGACTACTGTCAAAAAGAGATACACAGCAAGCAAAAGACCAGCTACTTGAGGTTGATAAAATAGAGTGTCACCAATCTCGGGTGCACTAATCAAACAACTTGTATTAGCATCCAAGATGTCAAGCTACCTGTGTATGTACTTACTGGAGAGCACCTAGGATCAACAAACGCAACATGGCCAGAGGATGAATATCGTTGAACTGCAATGCACCCAAAGCGACCCAGAAACCAATAATGACAAAAATACCAAGAGCAAGCACCCAAAGGCTGTTGACAAAACATTGATGCAAAACGTAGTTGGTCTTTGCAGTGTTCCAACACAAGTCAGAGGACGTTGTGAAGACACGGAAGAACATCAAAGGAGTAGCCAGAATCAACAGGATGAATGAGAAATTGAGAAAGTAATATTCATCTTCAATACTCTCGACGACAAGCAAGGTAAAAAATCGAATAATAAAGGAGGACATCAAGAGGCCAACAGTAAGCAGAGAGATGTATGACGAAATTTTTTTGAGGTATGTAAAGGGCTGTACCCATAGTTTGAAGAGCTCGGCAAGCATATCGGAGACGACAAGAACATAGTAAATGTACTCGTACGAGAAGGGAGTATCTGAGGTGTATTCAATGTTGGAAACGGTAGCCAAGTGGAAAGCCAGGTAGATCAAGGCAGAGAACAGGGCAAGCAGAGTCTGGTACCTTGCACTCGGCCAACGAGCTAAAAAGTCGACAAATGTACGCCAAATAACAAACCATGCAAAGTTCTTTTTAGGAGGCTCCTCACTGGCTTTTACCCCTGAATTGTGCACCCAAATGTTGCTTGGATGTTTGGGGTCCTGACGCCAATTGGGACCTGATCGCCACAGATCCTATTCCAAAACCTGCTTTAGCATGCACTCCACTAGAAATCATCAACATACGAGTACCTCAATCACACGCTGAACGCGTACATCATTCAGAATCAATTGACTGTCGTTTTCCACAGCCCATTCCAAAGCTGTGGACAGCGGTTAGTAGCCATTTTCCTTCAATGTACAACATAGCACTTGCCTGATTTGTTATTGAGCCACTTATTTGTTAACATTTCATACAAGACAACATGGGAGACAGACTTATCCTGTACCTTGAGACCAATATTTAAAGTAGACAAGGCCAACGACTGCAGCGATACATCAGTTTCGACAGAATGACCGGAAGATTGCCGACGTTCGTGTAACAGGGCCAAAACGGCACAGACGGAAGCGTTTTTGGCTACATCAAATACGCTTTCAGCGGATGAGGGGATCCCTTCTCCTTGCTTCTTTTGTTTCACAACAGTTACATTAACCCCATCACCACCATGAGATGTCGAATTGCCATGGCCATTATTGAGCAAAGTAGTCGTCGTAGTTGTCGTTGCCGTTGCAGTGCTGTTTTCTCCATTGGCAAGCAAGCTAGCGGAAGAACTGTTGTTGCTCCCTGTTGCCCACCCGTGCTTTATCTTCCATTTGTCAGTGGCAAATTTGAGAGCATCCACCGCAAAATCTCGCCTTCTTAAGCGCTTGCCACCTTGATCAGATTTAGTCGATTTATTGCCATCAATGGACCATTCACTCAATTTCTTTTTGAGCAAGATGCGTGTACTGCCAGCATCACTATCACTGTCGCTGCTGCTACTACTGCTGCTGCTGCTACTGTTAGAAGAGGGCGCAGGTACAGCGGCATCACTGCGTTGGCTTTGCTTTTCCTTGCGTTTCTGCTTCTTTTCATCAAGCAAGGCACGCTCTTGCTGCTTCTTCTTGATCTCGCTAAACACCAAGATATCTTGAATCTTTTCAGTGAGCTGATGTGTGGGAATAGCGGGTTGTCCAGCCGAGATGACACTATTATACAAATGACGTGTGGTAGTAAGAGTAGCATTTCCATTGCCATTCAGAAAGTGATGATGGCTCTCCTGAGATGAAGTGCCCATAGTGATCACCGTCTGGCTTGTAGTGGAGGATTCTTGATGCACTTTCTCGCGAGTGCTGTAGCTCGTGGTGGATGTATTTAGGAGCCTTGTACGCTCAGAGGTACCAGTAGGCACAGGTGAGCCTGGGATATTATCAGACATACTTGAATGAGAGAAAGAGGAAAAGAGAAACAAGAAAAGGAATCAATGGAAACTAACTAACATCAAACTTTCATGCTGTGAAACTGTAAATTGGCGTAATAATATTTTGTTTATTATCTATATGGTAGGGTGTACAAATATGATATAGTAAGGTATATATTGATGAGACAGCTAGCTGATAGCGAGTAGAAGCTATCAGCTAAAAAAAGGGGATGAAATATTAAGGGATATATATATATATATATATATATGTCTATGAGTGGATTTACATATTAGAGAAAAGTGAGCCTGTCATTTTCCACTTGAGAAGTACACAAATAAGAGATCCAAAGAGGTACACTGCTCCGGAGAACATTTGAACGCCTATATAACCGTTACCAGGTGTAACCTCTTGAATGGCAGATGCAACAGGTGGTCCAGTGGCAGCAACTGCACTCACAACAAACAGAATGGACAAGCCAGATGAAAGGTTATCAGGGCTGACGACAGCTGCAGTGATGGGTGGAGCAAGAGCATAGTAGATACCACACGTGAAACCAAAGAGGACAGCGAATGCCATCAAGGAGCCGTATGTCTTTGCAAAGGGCCACAAGATCATACAAATAAGACCTGCAAAAGTAGATGCGAGCACATACATGTTCAAGCGACCAATACGATCAGCAAAGTAGCCGAGAACAAGACGACCAATGGCATTCATGGCGCATGCAACACCTACGATATTGGATGAATCAGCACGGCTGATACCGTAAGATGAGCAGTACTTTGGCAAGTAAAAGAGAGGGATCAGATAACCAGTAAGAGCAATGACTACGCCAAATAACATGATTACGAAATCGACATCTTTCAACATGGAGAGCTTGATGGGAGAACGAACAGGCTGCTTGTTGTGTCCTGGAGGCAAACGAGTACGGATCAATAACGAGGCAATGATACAGATACCAAAAGCCATCAAACCAACAATACGGTAAGCCCAAGGAAGCCCATATTTCTCGACAAGAGACGTTACCATGGGACTCAGAGCCAAACCACCAAAGCCAGAGCCAGCTGAACTGATACCCATAGCAGTACCTCGTCGCGTAGTAAACCACTGAGGAATCACAGCGACAATAGACATGTACACTAAAGAAGCACCAATACCAAACAAGACGCCCTGAGTCAAATAGAGATGCCAAACTTCTGTGCTAAAGCCAGCCAAAATGATGCCCAATGACATGAGAACACTGCCAATGACCATCGTGAGACGAGCACCCAAAGGAGCTAATAATGGACTGATGGGAGTAAACACATTCAAACAGACAATCAAAGTAGAGCCAACACCCATCAATTCAATGGTAGTTGCTTTGTCTTTAAGGATAGTTGTGGCGTATGCATTAGAAAAGACACCTAAAAGAGGCAGTTATAAGTAAAGTTAAACATTTAACCGCGCAGAAGTAGAAAGTTTACCCCAAATGGAAGCGGTGCCAAACATGATAAAGTTGATGAGAAAGCCTACAATGGCTACAACCCTAGATCAAGAAAGAAATCAGATCAGTATCAATTGATATACGTTGATTTACATATGAGAGCTTACCATCCATAGCCGCCATCTGGAATACCTTTGTAAAAGGCATCTTCAGGCAACTCGATGATGCTGGCCATAGTGACATCTAAGTAGACATGTTGGCATGTGTTGATCTGCATAGCGATAGGATGACCAACTTACTAGTCTTGTGTGTCTCCAAGGCGTCTAGTCCGCCTGTCTCTGGATCGTATTTCTCAGTTTTAACAGTAGATACTTTTTCCAGATCAGATGTTGGGTGCGCTTGACTGTTAGTGTTGCCATTGTAAGGTGTTAATGTCAAGTCATTTGCTTCGTCATAAGTCAGGGAGGATCGCTGTGATAGCCGATCGACATCCTCTGTGAAAATCTCGTTTTGATATCTGGTTGATTTCTCCATTTTTGTGTCGAAATGTTGCATCAAGTGAAGAAAGCGATCGAAAGAAAAAATTTTCAAATCAATGTTAGTATGGATTCTTTTTATACATGTGTGATAAAGATCCGCTTTAAACATTTTAGACAAGGAACTAGATTGTTTAACCGATTCACTGGATGATAATCAGCATATGTCTGATCTTGTACGGAGAGATGGATTTGAGTCATACGGATTCAATCCATGTATATTATCGTTGTCATTTACAACCAATTTTCAGGGTTGATCTGATACTCGCCCAAAGGATTACCAGATATTGCGGTTCTCAGGAATTTGATTTGAATGAAATCATCGCCTTTATGTTTTGCCTGGAAGCGTAGTTGTGTGTAACAAAAACATGCATTCTTTCTTGTTGGTCATCCAAACGATACCCCACGATTAGTAATGTATGCTTGCATGAGTTTTGATTTCTTACCGTTTGTATCATGAATTTTAGATTTTTTGTATACATCGCCATGTCCTAACCTCGGTATCAAGAAGAACGGATCACGTCCAAGTCAGAGATATACTACTGATGAGAAGCAGATAATCCATGGTTTAATTCAAAGCACTTACCATGCTCCCACACTGTTTTAAAGTTTTGTTGGAGCATTGAAGGGCCTACACGAAAATTGAAAACAAGGGAGATTATTCTCCCTTTGTGAGTATGTTGGCCATGACAATGGTTACTTTGAGCTCCGCTTTTAACTGAGTATACGGACTATTTTACATATGAGTCAAACCATTCGAATTGTATAGTTCTTGATTCAGGATGTAGCAACTACTTGTTGTTCATTAAGCAGCCATCACTGACGTCGGCAATACAATGTTATTCTTGACACTGCGACCTATTAAAAGATATCAGTGAAATGCATCACTTGCAAACTCTAACGCAAAAGCTCACTAAATTAGTGCACATCTTTCTTCTGAGAAAATGCTGGACAATCGGTTTGTTCTACAAAGTTAATGATTCCATGGAATGCGCAAATTAACTGCTTGGCTCGACGATAATCTCTACACACAAAATCCAATTCAAAGCAATTCGGACTCACTAGAAAATGCAGTATCGTTACAGATCTCACCATCTTGGCAAACATGTCTCATTGCCTTGAAAACACATCAAAAGATCAACAAAAGATAGGCATGTTTTAAAAGGGGAAAAAGTTAAGGCTTCCTATAAAAATGTAAACCCGCGAGGCATATTAGCGAGTTATCAATGTTAAACATTGGATTAATATATACACACAGCAGGTTCATTATCTATGAATTCTTGGATTTGCATCCACGAAACTTTCTTCGCTCATTTTTGGCCTGTAACCTGGTTTTTAGAGATAAAGAAAGCATATTTTCTCACGATAACCAATGGAAGTTAGCTACAAATCTTGTCCTGTTGCATTCTTGACTTTGCTCGAGGCAATACGTAGCAAGACGAATTAGGCAAAGAAAAGGTCGTATCTGCGGTGTAGTTGAACGTCTTGATGGCCAATTTTGTGGTGTACGTCGAGTGCTTTGGCTGTCCTTTCAATGTTGATGGCAGTAGTCAACATTCACGCTAACTTTGTTGATAATCAACCCAAGAAATGGAATGCCATAACCCAACCAAATGTCTGACACAGCCAAATTTGACAGATTTCAAGCCTTCATATCTTGACATGTAGGCCTTTCTGAGCCACCGGAATAACGCCAAACGATTGTACTCAAGTAGCGCTAACTTCCTGACACGTTTGCTCAACTTTTTGGGGACCCAAAAAACATGGCCAAAATTCGACCAAAAAGAATGAGTGATACCTCATGATTTTCATCGAAAATCAAACGATCGCGTTTTTGACCCCAAAAATGTAAACTTTTACTATGGTATACGAGCCTTTCAGCACTTCGGGTGGTTTCCTGACCTACGCTTCGCTTCGGTGGAAACCAACCTACGTTCAAACGGCTCGCGCTGCCGCGGGCCTTTGGCTAATATCCCAAAATTAATATAGCTAAAATGTTAGAAGAGGAACCCTGATTGTTGATTGATATATAATCACTAATCATATGAGTGTTTATGCTTCGGATGGTTCTCACCGAAGCGTAGCGAAGGTAGAGAACCAACCTGCGCAGCGGCAGCTCGTACTATAGATTGCTCTTGCGTATTTTATCAAAATACTGCTACTTTCATATTGACCCTCCACTTACACATAGTAACCCTTCATATTATCTGTGGATCTGATTCTTATGTGATGTTCTACATCCATATACACGTAGCTACTTCATATACGGGCAAGCAGCATACTGGTATTCCCACTTTTTAGTCCTTAGTGTCCCTAATACAGCAAAGTATGAATGCATTTGAGCTGAATTTTCTTGCGTTCAAGGCCGTTTTAGATCGTCAGAATAGCCCCAAATGGTTGCTTTCATATGGCAGTTACTTTCTGACACTTTTGCTCGACTTTTTGGGGACCAAAAAAACATGGTCAAAAATCGACCAAAAAGCATGAGGTATCCCTCATGGTTTTCATCGAAAATCAAACGACCGCATTTTTCATCTTGATAATGGAGACTTTTACTATGGTATATCTTGAATCAAAATGTTTCTATCAATCCAAAGCAACCTCTGAAATTATCTTTGTGGGACTTTGATATGTAAAATTTCGACATTTTGGCCATAAATCTCTTTTCATATTTTTACAAATCATTCAATAAGTGAATTCAAAACATCTATTTTACTTAGTACCATTGGAAGCGCCTTGAAAAGTACTCCAGGAAAGCTTAAGGAAGCATGGGGTGATTATCATACTTCACTTAGTCGAATCTGAAAAAATAGCTCGATCGAGTCCAGTATTTTTTTTTTTTTTTTTTTGTATGGAATGAAAGTTTTATTAAGTAGTTATGAATAAATAGTTAATAAAATCATTGTATAAATGGATCAAGTGTATACTAGGTAAAGTGACTTGCCATATTGTATCTTATGAGGTCTTATAAATCAATACTATCCATTTTGGACAGCTTATCCAGTTCTCTGTTGATATTGCTAACAACTGTTTGGGGCTCAAAAGGGGTACCACGGTAGTGTACGAAGAAATGGTGGGTCCAGATTATTCGGATTATGGTGGCAAAAAGGTCGAAGATGTTGATCTTCAGGTCCAGGTTGTAAATGTAGTATCTTGATAATGTCAGGTTCTGCATGTCTTTGTATATGCGGTGAGTGTTGATTGTGGTTGGGTAGCTTAGGTGTTCTTTAAAGACGGACTCCCAGACGTCGTGTTTGTTTCCGCATTCCATGAGAAGGTGTCTGGCATCTTCTACTTCGTTACATTGTATGCATCTGTTGTTTTCTATATCTTTGATTTGACTTTGGTATAGGAAACTTCTGCAGGGGACTTTGTTGTATATGATCTTGAGCCATAAATTTCGAGGTGACTGGTGCATATGTGATCTGTAGAATGCTTTCCATTGCTTGGGGTTGATGTTTTTGTTGTGATCTTTTGGCAGTTGTATAGGCAGTTGTTTGAGGAGCAGTTGTCTGATTATTTTGTTCTTGCAGAGCCAAATGATGTTGCTATCGTGCTCAAAATGTTGGATTAGACTTGCTGCCTCTTCCTGGTTGTTGGGAGTTGAGTTGTTTGGATGAAGCAGGTTGCTGAAGAAATCTTGAAGGTGTAACTGGTTGTTGTTGTGGTCTCTTTTGAGCTTGTACAGTATCTGCGGTGATTTGCATTCTTGTCTTGTCTTGTATTCGAGAGCTGTGTAATTAAGATTTGGCTTGAAAAAATCCTGCACTAGGCTTCTCTTGGCTGTAGGGTTCCTGAGGTAGTCAGTAGTTTCCAAGTCTTCCCAGTCCTTGTATATAGTGGTCAGTGGTAAAGTTAAACAAGTGTTGATATTGATGGGTGTATTGGTAAAGTCTGGTCGGCAGTTTGCAAGAAGACTATTCATTGTTTCAATAATCAGTTTCATGGCCCCATCTTTTAGGTTGTTCTTGTAGCTTCTTGCTTCTTTAAATATCAGTATGGTATCAATGTAAGGCAGGTTCGTCTCCATTTGTAGCGTATGTGACATCAATTGGTATAGGTACTGCGGGATTGTTTTGTGCTGGTCGTGGTATAGTAGTGCTGTGATATACCTCATTTGCAGGGTTTGTTGTTGGGCGCCTACATGTAGCAAACCTAGTCCTCCTTGGTCCTTGGGTAGGTAGTACACATCTTTTTTGATTTGCAGTCTCTTCTCATCCACTATGTATTGATATATGATGGAGTTGAGCTTGTTGATGGTTGCTTTCGGTAGAGGTGTCAGCCTGAGGACATGCCACAGTTTGGACAGGATAATTGTGTTAGCGACATTAGCTTTACCGTACATTGATATTTTCCTGGGCTTGAGGAATTCTACTTGCGCTTTGATCTTGGCGGTTAAGTCTGCAATGAAACAATCCCGTTGTTGTATTGTATAGTATATTGGATACCCTAGGTATTTGATGTACTCTGGGCTACTGTAGTCGAACCATTTCATTCGCTGTTGAGTGTAAGTTTTCAGTCTTGTACCGAAATACCCTTCCATTCTGCCACCATGTAGGGGAAACGCCAATGACTTGTCATAGTTGATCTTTGAGTTTGATGCCTTACCATACGTCTTGATGCATTCCTCCATTGCCATGTATTCCGTTCTTGATTTGACAAAGATGAGAATATCGTCCGCATAGGCCATGATCTTTGTAGGTGGTGGGGTGTTGAGCTGAATTGTCCTCTGTGGTGCTGGCTTGGTTGGTTGTATTGAGTATCCAGATATGTCTTGACTGTTGATGATTGACAGTATGAAGGGCTCTATTGCAAAGTTGAACAAGATTGGTGAAATAGAGTCTCCTTGTCGCAATCCTCTCTTCTGTTTGACTGGTTTGGTTAGAAATCCGTTCATGTTGATGAAAATCTCGTTGCCAAAAAACAGGTTTTCTATACATCTAATGAACTCCATTGGGAATCCAAACTTCTGGAGTACCTGAGCCAGGTAGTGTGGGT